GGGATAGGGGGTCTACCACATCTCACCAAGGTGGAGGGCGGTCCAAATTATCAGAAACATATCTCACGTAATTAATGGATGTCCCCTTATCACAACAATTAATTGGTTAATTCATTGTTATCCATTATACCATAGACAATAATGGAGAGTTAAAATTCAAAATTTGATTCAGTCATAACATTTCTATAAAATATAATATGTATTCCTTTATAGTTAGTAATACTGACTGAGTATGTATTTGTGTTTGGAGAATGCTTAAAAAGTGCAAGTCATTTAGCCTGTGTGTGTTGATATTTGTTTAGTTGATTGATAATTGTTTAGTTTTTCTTCATAGATTAAATCTATGGTTTAATAAGTTCCTGACAGTCCCTGTATTTTCTTCTGTCAATCTGACGTAAAATAGATAACCTTTATCTACTATTACATTGACGAGCTGTGACTTTATGGCATTTAAGTCACGGTCTGAAGTTAGGTTTAATATAAGGTGACCAACTGTGTAAAGGGGAAAACCAGAATAGCGGTGGCCTGTAGGAATTTTTTTTTAGAAAAAGAGGTGTTGCCCTGTTGCCTGTTTTTTGTGCTGTGTTAGGTTATTATTATTTAATCTCTATTGAGTTAAAAAACACAAATTTCATAATAGTTATTTTATATATGGATCGCCAAATCGGCCACTTTTGAACCCGACCCCTTTGATTTGGCTGAAATTATGTCATATTTTTTCACCCCACTAAAAGTTTTTCTTAAAATGTTGTAGTTTTTTTACCCGACAAAAAACATGTTAAAAATTTTTCAAAAAAATGTCTCTTTTTTCCCAAACTTTTTTGTATTTTTTTTCTGAAAAGTTCATTCAAAACCAAAAAAACCGCCCCATTTAGTCAAATTTTGACAAAGTTATGTGTATTTTAAAAGAAAATTGTCAATTTTTTTGAAAATTCGTTACTTTTTTTTGATTGGGTAAAAATATTGGAAAAATTCTGAGAAACTTTTTTAGTGGGGTATAAAAAATATTAAAAAGTTCAGTCAAATCGAAAGGGGTGGGTCAAAAGTAGTCGATTTGGCGTGGAATTCCCCAAATATATATTTATAAATTAACTATTATGAAATTTTTAGTTTATAGGTACCTATACCTAATAAATAAATGAATATATGAAAATTGCAAGTTTATTTTATATGGTAAGCTAAATCAGAACAGACCAGAACCAAAATAGGAAAATCAGAACCTTTACTACCTTCGATTTCCTGTCAGAATGAAGACCTCAAAAATAGTATAGTTCTGATTAAATCAGTTTAATATAAATTGGGGAAAAGTGAGGTTAAGTCCGTTGACATTTGACAGATGTCAAATGTTTAACAATTAAAATTGGCTTTAAATTCTTCTTTGTGTTCGCGTAGATAAAGTATACTATATATAGTATGTAACTCGTATTATAAACTTCTCTAGACACTCGTTTTTATTAAACAATCGCTCGCAAGCTTTGCTCGTGCCTAATAAAAGTCGTAACTAAAATGGCGTTTATAAAAGATCATACACCTTAAATTAAAGATAAAATTAATTATGTAATAACATTTTGTATAGTTTTTACTATTTTTAGTAAAATGATTATAAGGATTATAATTTATAGATATAATTACTAAAACAAACTACTTTTTTAACAAAGTTCCATTTGTGTGAATCATTTAACTAATTACTCAATTAAAGTCTTGATATTTAACGGTATTGCACTTCTCGTTACGCAATTAGACTTGGCACAAGCTCCACAACATTACCAACCGAATAAAAAATTCTTTTACCCGGGGTAGTAGTGCTCGAATTTCGCACGTGTGCGCTGCACTTTTTCATCTACGAGAAAAATCTCCACCGCGATGGACATCGACGTCGACCTGACCATGGATCTGTTGCTCAAGTTAAGTAAAGTGGCCCGCACACGGCCGTGAGCTCGTGACATTGCCGCGGGCATCCGGAACATATCGAGTCGAGCGAGAGATCCCCTGTTACGTCAGCGGAGTGGAAAATGACGTCACTGGCAGTGCGAACGCGAACTCGATAATTTTCTGGCTCGAACTCTTTTCCAGCTCTAGGTTTAAATTTAATAATAAAATTATCTTTATCCATGTTTTTTAGAGAATGTTAGAAAGTTTTCGCGATTTTCTTCTACCTTTTTTATAGAAGTTTAGTTACTCAATATTTCAAAATATTTATTGTTACCAATAATAAATAACCAAACAACACTTTAAAAAAAGCATTATCGAAAAAAATAAAAATTTGGTAATTTTAATGCAATATTTTCAGAACGACTTCATATTTGCACTAGTAATTTTTATTAATAACAAAATTTATAAACATATCTGTCGGCCGGTTTTAACCTGACTTTCTCAACTTTTTAAAGATCATAATAGTTGCCCCCCGTATATATGAGGCGTTGAGTACCAAAGTGGATGTAACCCACAAAATGTCATACTGGGATAAAGTGTCTTAAAATGATAGTTATACCACAATCTCTCGTTTCGCGCAAACTAAAAATCACTGCAACACTGCACATAATGTAACGGCGGCCATTTTTATGTTGTTTTCAATTCTTGTTCTTTGGGTTTGTGCTTTTTATACAGATTAAAAATGAATTTATACGTTGTGTTTCTCACAGTGCTAAGCATTTAACTCCTCTTTTGTAAAAAATAAACCTTATTTTATCAGGGCTGTCATTAAACTGTCAAATGTCAATTTTAAGGTTAATTTACCATAACTCAAAAATTAACCTTAAAATTAACATTTCATAGTTTGACGCCAGCCTTAATAGAATAAGGTTTACTTTTTACGAATGAGGAGTAAAATGGTTGCCCTTGGCATTTTAAGGCCACTAAGAAACACAACCTTCTAGTCTGTAACCCATGTTAGTCCATGTTAGGCGGGGCGGTTACAAGGAGTAAATAGTTATTTATGTCATTAGGTTAAGAAGTAAGGCTTTTTGTGCTAAGCTCAAGGTTTGAAGGCCGACGCGTAGCGGAGGCCTACAATTGAGCGAAGCACAAAAAGGCACTTCTTGGCCGAATGGCATACAACATTTTATCTTCAAAGCACTTTATATAGGTCAATTTAATTCAACATCAAAGCGGCCTAACCTCACTTTTTTAGAATCTCATTTATTTATTAGCTAAAGATTACATTAAACGTACAATAATTATTATTGCTTTTAGAAGCAGTAATAGTTTGACCATACCTAGCAACATGATTTAAGTAGAAATGGATTTTTGCTATTACATTGAATTCAATTAATTGTTTAATAAATAGGTAGGGATCTAATTTCAATTTGTTTGGATTTTTATTTAAAAAATAGGTAGTTTGAAATGTTTAAGCTGTGTTTAACATTTAATTTTGCAATAATTTAATGAAAAATAATAAACATTAACAGTAAAACAAACAAATTAGTGCTTATTATAAATAAATTAAACCAGTTTATTATGTTAATTTGTTATTAAAGGATTAATTTGTCAAAACAATACCCCTAGCGAAAAAAAATCGAAGTAATTACTTGCCTCATAAAAATTTTTATTTCCACCTTCTTAGTAAATGACATTTTATAGGTTAATTTTGAGTAAACGATACATTATGGGAACAGACCTGTAATATTTTACGGGCTTGTTTAAAAGACCTGTAAAGTTTTACAGGCTTGTAGAAAAGCAATTTATGAAATGAAATGTCACATTTGACAGATTAATTAAAACTTTAAATTTGAAAATCGTTATCTAAAGGTGAAAATAAAAGTTTGTACGTGTCACGCTTTGCAATTAATCTTTACTAGGCTCCTGCGTCGCTCACCCCACAAACTTCCAGCTCGCCCGTAAAGATTCATTTACAAAGCTTGACACGTAAATAACTATTATCGGCCTAGGCCATAACAAGGTATTTCTTTATCGAATGTTGACAACAATAAAGTTTAAATTATAGACCGCGTGGAGATAAATATAATTTTATTGTTTTGGGGTAGCTATATATTTAATTTTGTGATTTTTTGCTTTGTATAGTAATATAACCCTGTATATTTGTTTGACGTAAAATGATACAGGGACTATTTTAACCATGTCAAAATTGAAATTAACTCAAAATTAATTATGCACAATTATTTGTCTGTGTTGTAGTCAAAATAGAAATGTTTTGAAAGCTTCTCCAAAATGTAGTTGTTAACTGTGTTAGTGTTCCAAAAACACGAGACTTCCAAATTGTTTGTTTAAATCAAAAAAATTGTGATTAACATCATTGACATTTACGTTTTAATTTTTTTGGGAAATTTTATTACCACAAATGAATGGCGAACGTACACGAAGAGTTTTTTATGGTGTTGTTCGATAAAATGGAGGCGCACACGGAACCAAAGTTCGGTATTGCGTCCAAGCCTTACAAGGTATTCCCCGATAACGTTTTTTTAATCTGATAATTTTTTAATAAAATAAGATAAGTTTATATTTAATAATAATATATATGTGCTATGTGCTCATGCGAGCACTATAATTTGGACAGTTTTAAAGGATAATATTTCTTAAACAAATGTTTCTATAAAAAAATATTTTACCTGTCCAAGTCCTACCGAAGAAAGTAAATTAATAAGCAATCTTATAACTCCTTACTGTGCCAATTTGAATGCGTCAGTTAGCAATAAGCAGGGGAAACAATTTTAATACATAAAGCAAATATTGATTCATATTCTGATAACCCTTGTAACATTTTTTCAAACACGAGCGAGATAAGGCGACGTTGTCGAACTATCGAGCTCAGTCTCCTTTTGTGAACCTGTTGCCTAGGATGAGTGAAAGTTTCCCACGAACGAATTACGCTAGTTGATCTAGTTGGTAAATTAAACATGGGTCCTTTGATGTTGTTTGTCGTGGCAAAAGAGCGCCACGCCATTGTGGCGTTTAGTTTTTGGATGCTGGAGGTACAAAAATTTAAAAAACAACGTCAAAGAAAAAAATGATCTTGATTTTAATTGGTTCTCTTTATTTTACAGTACCTGGACATCGGAGAGGATATGAACGTCCCGGATGACTTCACACAGAGTGAAATGCAAACGGGAATGTGGTGGCGACATCTGGCGGCTGGCGGTATCGCTGGCGCCGTGTCCAGGACATGCACAGCACCCTTAGATAGGCTCAAAGTATTTTTGCAAGTAAGTGTATACCTCTACTTTAAGAGAAAATTTATAGCAACCCTTGATTTATTTGAAATAAATATATAACTATATAATTAAAAAAAAATAGTAGACTTAAATTATGATGTGTTTTTAGCAGAAAACAATCTTTTTTGATAACGGTTTTTATAATATTGATAATTAAACCAATGACTTAAGTAGATTACGAATTTCTATAGAAATTTAATACAGTTAATTTTAATATTAAATATTTTCCTATTACACTATTATAAATGACCAAAATAGCAGGAACAATATTATTATTTGGTTATGTAATACCTTAATATTATTTTGTAAAAGTTACACATTCATGGTTCATTAGAAGTGGCGGTAGAATTTTTAAAATCTTAAAACTTTGTTTAAAAGATTATATGTCAATTCTTTAACATTTTTTTAAAATTACCTAAGAAAACCCAGGGCAAATTAGGCAAACTTGAAAGGTTAATAACTTTATTTTAAATGTAACACCCGGTATATTTTTACATAATCAAATATTAAATTAAAAAACCTTTAAATTTATCTTAATTTAATAATTTTAAAGATATTTAACAATTTCCAAAATTTTAAATATTATTTTATCAAGAAACCTGTGATGGGTGAGTTCGGTATCTATGATCTATTATTGTTTAAAATTTAGTGGCGTAAATTTTTCAGGTTGTTATAAACAATTTGTTGACTAATTAAGTGTTTTGTAAACAATATTAAATAGCAGTTTGTCACTTATAAAAAACATTGACAAGCCAAACATTTAAAAAATTTAAAAGTTATACTTACAGTATTTGTTAATTTTGAAAAAAATCATCAAAGCTGTATGATGTTAACTAGATAAACCACTGGCTCATTGAAAACAATAAAATATAAAATTTATTTTATGAAATGTTTTAATTAACAATTTTTTTCACTAATGTATTACTAAAGGTTTAAAGTGATCTCCACTTACATTTAAGCATTTCTTAATTCTTACTTCTACATTAGACGTTGCTCTTCTTAATTAAAATATTATTGGTTAATTGAATTATTATAACAACCTGAACAATTGACGCCATTAAATTTTGAACAATGACAGATTACGTGGTAACCATAGATACCGTCAATTCACCCGTAACAGGTTTTTTGATACAAAATAATATTTAAAATTTTATAAATTGTTACAACATACATCTTGATATTTATTTTTTTATTTATTTATTTTAAGGTTTTGGTCAAAAATCAATTATATCAGCGAAAAATATTAATTAAAAGTTCATCATCACATCTTTTTTCTTTGGAATTGTACACAGCCCTACCATAGATTAAGAATATAAAACGATTTCGCAGCCAGTATAAAATTGTGACCATCTTCTTTAGACAATGCGCGACAACCAAAAAATTAAACAAATTTTAAATTTTAAAAAAATCACATTTTTAAATTATTAACTGTAAATTTTGTGTTTAATAAAATCTACAAGTATTTATTAAATTCCAAAAATGGAAATAAAGACTCTAAATTAAAGGCATTAGTAGCGCCATCTATTAAGAACAATATACACATTTTTAAAATGTTATAATGGATCACATTTGAAAAAAGCTGTTAAATATTTAATTCTAATAGTTTTATTAATACCATTGCCTATAAATATCGATATATACCGTGATAAATATCATGATATATATCGGTGATATATATTGGTCGAACCCTGATAGATTTAAAATAAGAAAGATTTTCTGATTTTTTGAATTTGCCTTGGGTTTTAGGTAATTTGTTGAAAAATGTTATAGAATTGACAAAGAGTTTTTTAAACAATGTTTTAAGATTCCTAAAATTCCATCCCCATATTTGCAAACCTAATAACAAAAAAGTTATAGGCTATTTTTGATTGACGCGCATTTGTCAAATTTTAACGGTATATGACATGGTATAGTAATTTTACTCAGAATTTTATGTGGAATCTAAAAATGTAAATATATTTGAAATAACAAAGTTAATGTCACTTCCAGTTAAACCGTATGGATTATAAACGCTTTTAAAATTTCAAATCGATATCTTTTTCCGTTTCCCAGAAACTTATGGACAACGAATGTGAAAAACCCTGTATATTACCAAAAATGTTATTAATTTTAGACCACCGCGAATTTGTCTTATTTTTTTTTTATTTTTAACTACTGTGCGAGTAGTAATATTTTGTTTTGGTTTTAGGTTCAGCCATCTAAGCAAAAAATATCGGATTGTTTCAAGAACATGTTGAAAGAGGGAGGCGTAAACGGACTTTGGCGCGGAAACGGCATCAACGTGCTGAAAATCGCGCCCGAAACGGCCATCAAGTTTGCCGCCTACGAAAAAGTGAAAAGGTTCATAAAAGGAGACTCGAAACATACCCTCAGCATTTACGAAAGATTTTTCGCCGGCGCTACGGCCGGCGCCATCAGTCAGACCGCCATTTATCCTCTGGAAGTTTTAAAAACTAGGTAAATATTGCTTCATATAGAAAGTGGTTAACCAATCATAGTACTGCATTCCCTGTCGCCATCTAGTGTGCGATGGAGAATTCCAATATAGTCGCGGCCAAATCTGTATGGGTGCAGGTCATCAATTCGATATAATGACGTCAGCATTTCCAACTTTGAATTGTAAAGTTCCTGCCGTTAAATTTGCTTTTTTAAGGCGTAATTCTGATGTGTTATTAAAAAATATCAATCATTTGCGTATTGTTTACCAAGAACTCTAACAATTTCCCCGTTTTTTTTACAAAATTATGAAAATAAAACAACTCACTTAGTAATTTTTGTGTGTGCCAGTTGCTAATATTTTAAACCTGAATGGTTGGGACCCATTTTAAATCAATTTTTTTTAGATGGGTTTCGTTTGAATAGTATGTTTTAGTATAAATCAATTAAATTTTTTTTCTCCTACAAACATTTTTTTGTGGTGGGAAATTATTATCCCAAAGAATTTTTATTGTAATAGTTTATATTATTGAACCGTTGGTATAAATAATTCACACTTATTTTAGAAAACGTTGAACTCAGTTTTTACCGAAGTTATATTATATCGAATGATACAAAAAAATTATAGTCAGAATACACACATCAAAAATTAGATTTGTACATTTAGCAAAATTACAAAATTTTTGAAAATCAACAAAAAATGTTTTCTCAAAACACGTGTCTAATTAAAACTCCATATTTATTAATATCGCCATGGAGAAACATGGACTAATGCTATTCCTAAGTGTAAAAATTATATTTTTAAAACTAAAAACTATATTTTTAAAACCATTTGTACTAGCACTTTTTATTTACTTTGGGAATAAATAATTTTTTTCTACTCCCACCTTTAAAACGCCCTTTATCGTACATGTTTCCATGACACTAAGTGACCTTTTAAATACACATTGACAAGTTGTGGCTTTATGGCGTTTTAGTCACGGGCTGAAGTTAGCAACAGGTTTTTAGTCAGGGGCTGAAGTTAGTTTTAAGTTAGTTGACAGTTGTCAAATGTCATACAATCGTGGAGTCCGTGCCCGAATTTAAGTAGAAAAAACATTTTCTTTACTTTCACTGTGAAAAACTGTCAATTTTTAAAAAATACATTTTGATTTATAACCTTTATAATCTGTGTTTATAAAATAGAAAAATGTGACATTTGACGGTGACACACAGATTCCCCCATTGTTTCATAGATGGCGCTCTATACAAATTTTTGATTTAAATCATTTTAAGATAATAATAAGTATTTGTCGTAGAAAAAGTATAGTATGCACCTCGTTTATAAACTTTTCTATACACTTATTAATTTAAGCACTCGCTCGCAAGCTCGCTCGTGCCTAAATTAAATTCGTGTATAAAATGGCGTTTATTAAACTTGATACATAATATACTATTATAAATCATGCAACAGTTTTTAGAAAAAGTCAAGATTTTATTGAACCACTGGGATAATACTTTTCCACCTAAGGTGCTTTTTTTATTTAGAAAAATACATCTTAATGTGCCCTAATGGGCCACTACATCTAAATAATATATATACTGTGTCTATATATATTTACAGAATTTTTACGAATAAAATATAATTTAATATTTCAGTCTCATAAATTAATTATATATTCTTCCAATCACTTTTTTTAAATCTTTGGTTTGATGTTCCTTTATTTTTGCTGGTAATTCATTATATTTCCTTATTCCCTCATGCATCAGCTGTTTTTGACTAGTTCTTGTTTTTGCTCTGTTCCCTATTTCTAGTTTTGTAATTGTGTATTTCTTCCTGTTTTGTTAGGTTTATGTTGTTGTCTATAATTTCTCCCTTGTTCAGCTCATGTAATATTTTTAGTGTTTTAAGTATATATAATTCATTGATTTTCAAGTATTTTGTTTTTTTATATATTTCTTTAGTAGTTGTTTCCTGTTTGATGTTATGTATTCTTTGTAATTTGTATATTTCCGTTTTGTTAGCCGTTCCCCAAAATGGTATCATGTAGATATTGATGGTATGTTTTTTTTTCTATATGTTATGCTATGTAACATTTTTCCTAATTGCAGTCCACACATCAAAAAGCAGATTTATATCTTTACATTTAGCAAAATTAACAAAAAATGTAACGTTATAATACGTGCCTAAATAAAAATCCATATATTTTAATAAAGCCATGGAAAACATTGACCACTGTTATTTTTAAGTGTAAAAACTATATATTGGAAGTACTAACCGTTTGTTTTAATAGACCTTAATGCTGACGTCATATGCAGTTGATGACGTGCACCCATGCAGATTTGGCCGCGACTATAGCAACCACTTTCTTTATTAAGTCTTAAAGTTCAACCTACGAATGAGTTTAGACGTTATAAACATAAAATACTTGCCAAGTTGTCAAGCAAAAGAGACCTTACATATTTTTTATTTTTACAGGTTAGCTTTAAGAAAAACCGGCCAGTACAAAAGCATAGCGGACGCAGCGTACAAAATATACGTGGGCGAAGGCATGCGCAGCTTTTATCGCGGCTACATTCCGAACATTTTGGGCATCATCCCGTACGCTGGCATCGATCTGGCGGTCTACGAAACGCTGAAGAAGAAGTACTTTATGACGCACGCGCAGGACGAGCAGCCCAGCTTTTGGACGCTTTTGGCTTGCGGCAGCGCTTCCAGCACCTTGGGACAGATGTGCTCTTATCCGTTGGCGCTGGTCAGGACTAGGTTGCAAGCGCAAAGTAAGTACCTAAATCTCCCAAGTTACTTTAAAGTTTCACCCTTTCATATCATTATAAGGAAAAATATTCTGTATACGGTATAATTCATAGGTATCCATAATCCATATTATTTGTTTACAGTTTAAAAACAATAAAAAAAAAATGTTTTTCCGATGTCGTTTTTCAAAATTGTTTTTATACGGTAAACAAATAATTTAGATTATACCGAAGTATAAAGCTATAAGTATACTTATAAAGGGTTTTTCAATAGAGGTGATGTTTTTAAATCGAGAGTGTGCCGTATTTGAAATGTCAAAATCTTCTGTCACTGTCAGTTATATCAAGATACATACACCTTAAGATAGGATGATGCGCATGTTGGGCGGGGCTTAAATACCTCACTTGATGAGTGTTTTTAAATCTTTAACGTGCGTTTTAATTATCTGCTGCTAAAATTCTTGTTTTTGCGATGCTGTTAGATGTTAACTTGTTATTTTTTTGTTTACCTTGTTGTTTTTGTGTTTGGTAAGGTTCGAATTACTTTTCAGTGTTCAAATTATTGTTATTGCGTTGTGTTAACCTGTTCTGTTTGTTTATTATTGTTTTTGTGCTGCGTTAACTTGTTTTATTTGTGTTTTAGTTTATGTCGTGCCATTTGCATTTATTAAAATGCAATTTGGACAACCAGTCCAAGAAAAACCCTTTAAATAAAAACATTAAATTTCATCGATTCCCTAAAAAATTTGATTTGTGCAAACAGTGGTTAATTGCCACAAAAAGAATACACAATATTAACGTTAAGACCGCTTCTATTTCCTATAAACATTTTCTGGACTGTGACTATAAGTTTAATTTAACACCAACGCTTAAACTACAGCCCTAAATGTTATTAAGGACTGAAAGCATCTATTATCCATATTATAGCACTTTCTTCATAATATTACTATTATTCGTGTATTCGCACGGCAACTACTCATCAAGTGACGTCATGCGCGGCACGAACCAAAACTCGTACACGGGAGCATCCTGAGTTATATTAAGTAAGGTGTGCAATTTAATCATGGAACGATACACTCCTCAACAACGTTTGGAAATAATCTAATTTTTTTATCAAAATAATCTTTCTTATAGTGAAACTTATCGTGCACTTCCAAATTATGGTCGTCATAATCGGCTTAGTGTGCTCGCTATTCGCCGAACTATGGAAAATTTTGAACGCAATCTTTTTTTACAAAATGTTCGCATGCCAGTGAGGCAAAGTTCAGGTCGAAGTAAAGAGAATGTTGCTGTCGTTCTGGCAAGTGTTGATAAAGACCCTAATTTATCAATTCCAAGACGTTCTCAACAGTTGGGACTGTCTGCCACAACAACATGGCGTATTTTACGGTTCAATTTGGGCTTGCATCCTTACAAAATTGTATAGCGTAAAATTTTCTACAAAAATATGTTATGTAATTAATGTAATATTTCATAAATTCATAATTTTGTAAAAAAAACGTTTTAAAACAGGGAAATTGTTGCAGTTCTTGGTAAACAATACGCAAATGATTGATATTTTTTTATAACACATCAGAATTACGCCTTTAAAAAGCAAATTTAACAGAAACTTTAAAGTTGTAAATTTACAATTCACAGTGGGTTATGCTGACGTCATTATATCGCATTGATGACGTGCACCCATACAGATTTGGCCGCGACTATAATAAAGTTTCCAAATATCATTTTTAATTTAACTGCTTAATAATATAAGGCATTTTTGCTTAACAGGTCAGCTGCACTTATACCACTTTAATGTTTATGTTGTCAATTAAAACTCGACATTATTATTCTCAAACGTTTGGCAAATACTAAAAATAGTACTCATCTTATAAGACGTTTTCTGCATTTTCTGCACTCGCCATTATTTTTATAAGGAATGCATTGCCACCTTTAAAACATTTAAAAACTGATTCTTTAATATATAAAATCGTTTAAAGAGTTATCGGTTATTTGCAAAACTCTTTCTTTACATCCATTTAGAAGCTAAACAAGAAACTCTCATTATTGGTTTGCTAGTTAAACATTATAGCGAAGACTGGATAAAACTATAAGCCTTCTACAAAATTATTCAAGATAAAGCTTAAAGTTTAAAAAAAAGTGAAGGTGATCAAGATGTGTGTCAAAACGTAAACGACATTGAAATTATTTAAGTTTTTTTCGTTTGCATACAAATTTTTGTTTGTTAATAAATTAACGTTTAATTTCACTGTGTTTACCTTTTTCTTTTCAAAACTCTCTATTTGCAGAAAAAAATTGTTTCATGTGTACGATTATTATATTTGTTAGTCATGCCGATTAATGTAATGAAAAAAAAATTAAACCGAAAAAATAATTTGCGTTCAAGCTAAAAAGCTTTTTGTTGGTCCTGAAAAGTAAACCAAATAGCAAAGAGAGAGTTTTGCAAATAATTGCCTCACATTACAAAACTTGCTCCTTGAGTTGCTATGACATATTCGTTTGTAATAATACAAAAAAGTTTTCTTTTAGTTCCACCCTAACTTTCTATGAAGTCCCATACGCTAAAGAAGTATCGTTAGTAGCGCCACCACTCGGCTGTTATCATCGAAACAAAAGTACCACTTTTAATAATCAGCTGTTAAATGCTTGTTACAAACGAGTGTTTTTGAGAATAAAGCCGGAAAATGTTAAAAAAATATCGAAAAAAAAAACCGTGGCTCGTTGTTGGGTGTATTTCGAGAGGAAATCCTGGGTTGAGTTTTTACCGGTTTTTCAATAAACAGTGTTAATCTGAATGAAGAAATAAATTACATACAGTCTCTGTAAATATAAATTGTACCTATTAGATACAATAAATACACATTTTAGTAGTGATTAACGTGAAAAGTGTCAACATTTCAATTCAGTAAAAATCGTCAAACAAATAAGTCGTCTAAATTTAAACAGCATTTAGCATTATTAAAAGCGTTGTTTAAGAAAGTCTCCACTCAACGGTAAAATACCATTATATTATGTTGCCATGAATTCGTAGGTATATTTTGTTGTTTAAAATGCAGTTGTCGGCGTTTTTTAGAGAACATAAAATTGGTTTATTTTAAGGTTATGTTTGTGCAAAAATTATTTTTAACTAATTTCTTAAAAATGTCCAAACTTAAATATAAATTATATTAGGTAACGTTATCATTAGTTAATTCTGCACCAAAAAATGTACTTACCGAATTGGATTCTTTGGCAAAACATTAAAATGCAACGATTTAGTTCTTGAATTTTATTTACAATTAAAAACACACCATGCTCGCTTTGATAAAATACACACACTAACGTAACTATATAAGCATTTAAGCGTTGAGTTTCTTAATCAATGATATAAGGAATAATCAATCAAAATCGAGTACTAAAAAAGTTTTTTATTTTTTTCCTTGCTACGTAAAACACAAATTTGTCGAGTAAGACTTCTGCCTTTCTCTATTTTGTAAAAAAACTACCTATTTATTTAAAAATAATGTATAATCTGTGCTTTAAATGTATTGTTGACAATTCTTAAATTCACGCAATGCATTCGAAGTCCACCAGATGGCGCGCGCGTTGCGAAAACCCGATACTTCTTTAGAGTATAAGTCAAAATAAATTTTTTAATACAAGCAAAAAATATATCGTCCTTTTTGTCCTCCTGGAAAGTGACATACTTAATTTTTCGATATTAATAAATGTTTCTTTATTTGCAGTAATCCATCCTTCGATAGACCCGTCAACGGTGACGATGACGGGAACGTTCAAGGGGATAATAGAGAAAGAAGGTCTGCTGGGATTGTATCGGGGGATAACGCCGAACTTCATAAAAGTGATGCCTGCCGTCAGTATCAGCTACGTTGTGTACGAGTATTCGAGCCGGCTTCTCGGCGTGAACATGACGTGATGCCGGAGCATTTTAGGAACAAATTATTTATTTTTTATTAAACAATTCCACTCGAAGGGGTCCCGGACGCGGACGATACTATCTCTAGCAACTAAACGTTGCTTAGCTAATTTATTTACTGGTACAGATAAATATTTAAATAAGATTCTCTCCTTGATAGGCTTTAAATCCTACAAATTACTAATCTTGTTCTAAAAATTGTTGACGTTATTAAATGAACAACGCTTCTCAAGAAAAACCTACGTTAGTTATGGGAAATTTTAAAACTTTACACTACCTACTCTGAATGTTGTTGAAATTCCATTCTTTTTCTTTCCAACCAAAGATGGCACGGTTATATGACACTGTGCAGGGTGTTCAAGTTCTGTTTTGAAAACTCTGCACACTTATTTATTAAAAATTTATAAAAGTGAAGATTGTGATGTACTTAATATTTTAATAATTGGTATTTATTATACTATGTATAACTGTATTTATATATAAAATATTTAAATAAAAACTATGATTTAAACTTTATTTTTAATTTTACTTAAATCCCATTATAACAGTATTTGTTCTGCCCTACTATGGAAAAAGGCAGTAACTGCAAAAAAATGCAAAATGCGTTTTCTTGTGCTATGGTAAAGCTATGGACATTTTGTAACCGAATTCAACACAAATGAAGTCAAATATCTCATAAGTTAAAAAAATCAATTAAATACCTACTGCTTTTTATAAAAATGTAGTTTATGATAATTTTCCACAAATTTCTTGTTAAGCAGTTACTGCCTTTCTCCATAGTAGGGCAGTGTTTTGTTCAATAGCTTGAATTTAAATCAAAACATTTTTAACACCTTTTCCAAAAATTGTTTAAAAAAAAATACTTTGTTTTGTTTTGTATTTTTTTAACTCAAAATAATGACCCACGATTTTAAGTATAAAAAAATACGAAAATATATTTTTTGGACATTGGAAGACTTGGCAACAATAAGGCAGCTGGGATTGACATTATTTTCTGATGTGTGATTTTAACTGAATTGGTGAACAAGTCCAATAGTAAATTTTGGCAAAATATTTCAAAAAATCAGTTTTATAGTTCTAAATGCATTTTTGAATATTTTAACTACCTATTTAAAAAAATATACTATTCATATTCTATAAAATAATTTATATCTTCTCACAAAAATGTATTTTGAACTTTAAAATTGATTTAGGAAAATTACTGTTCTTATTCTCACTGATTCAACTGGATTTGTTTTAAAGTTTACAATTTGATAAACTATATTTTTGGAGCAAAAAACACCATATTTTTACAAAATAAAATAAAATGTATAAAATGTAATAAAATGTATTTTGAACTTTAAAATTGATTTAAGAAAATTACTGTTCTTATTCTGACTGATTCAACTGGATTTGTTTTAAAGTTTACAATTTGATAAACTATATTTTATGAGCAAAAAATACCATATTTTTACAAAATACAAGGGTACTTGGGGAGTTTTTGGGTTTATAATTTTTACAGCAATGGATTTACCACCCCTCATAACGACTCTATACTAAATTTTATTAAATTTTTTTTAGTAAAAACGATTTTATAGCCAAATTAAAAATGAACAATAATAACTGTTTTTCAAAAATTTATTATTATTATTATTCTGTCTAGTTATCCATGAAAAAAACATGGAAATAAAATTAAACTAATAGTTACCTACATGGTATAAATATTCTTATGTTTAGTTTTGACAAATAAAAAACGCAATAGAAATTAAAAAAAATGATACAATAGAAAATTTAAAAAATTCTCTTCTATTAGATTTTCGCCACCTCTACTGCACAAGAACTACGGGCTAGGGTAATACAAGCCATATTACTCCAGAACAAATATAAAAGGTTATTGAAATAAATGCTGGATACTAATCCAGCTACTATAGAGGTGACGAGAATATTTATGCCATGTTACCATTATAATTAAATTAAACTATAGTTTAATTTTATTTCAATGTTTTTTCATGGATAACTTGACAGAATAAATTTTTGTTAAAAGTAATTTTTAATTTGGCTACAAAATCGTTCCTACTTAAAAATTTTCGATAAAATATAGTATAGGGTCATTTTGAGGGGTGGTGAATCCAGTGCCGTGCAAAGATTTATATTAAAAAATCGCTAATATGAATTCTTATAAATTTACTCTCATACAGATGTTTTTTGCTCCAAAAACAGTTTATTAAGATCTACACTTTAAAACCAATCCGGTTAAAAAAGCAAAATAAAGATTTTACAGGGGTGAAATAAATTTAAAAACCATCACATCATTATAAAAATATTTATTTAGTAAAACAAAACATTAGTTTTAATTATTGTCTAAGAATTGTGCCGCTTCCTTGTCTACAATCCAGAAGAGCTCTCCTGATGTTGGTTTTACTCTAGTTGAAGGCAAATCTTCTTTGTCTACCAAAATTCTCTGAAATATCAAAAAACATGTAATTTTTAAAATATAATTTTTTTTTAAATATCATACCTTGACCATATCTGCCTTTTCTTTCCCACACATGGCGAAAACGCAGTTTTTGGCCTTATTTATAACCCTAAACGTCATTGTGATCCTTTCTGCAGGGGGCTTAGGTGAGTCAGTTATAGCTGCCACTAATCTAGTGGTATCCTCAGACAGTGGATGGCCGGGAAATAGGGAACAAGTGTGACCATCTGGTCCCATACCCAATAAGAGCATGTCGAACTTGGGGTCGTTATTTGGGAAACATTCCGCGATTTTTCTCGCATAGTCTGAAGCTGCCTCAGTAGCTAAAAAGATAATTTGTATGTGAAGTAAATTGCATAGAAATATGTTTTTTGCGTACCTGTTACTCCTTGTAGAACCTGCACGAAATTGCTTTCTTTTAAAGCTATGTTGCTAGCACCAATGAGGTGTTTTTTGTAGAATCCAAAAGTTGAGTCTGGGTTGTCTACAGGCACTAATCTTTCGTCGCAGAAGAATATTTTCCATTTTTCAAAGTCTGTTGTTATTTTGGGCAAGCCAATTGATAAGAAAGTTGCTACAGACCCCCCTGAAAATACAGATAAGGAATAATTATTTTTCATTTTTGAAATTCTTACAAAGAAATGGTTGCAACCGATATTTTTCTCTAAGAACAACGAATTTAGTATAGAAAACAGAAGATCAAAAAAATCACCGGACCAAACGAAAGGGATCAATTCCTTACGAAAATCCAAGACGAAATTTCCTCTACCATTTTTTTCGAATTCGCATAGTTCGCAGGAGATTTCATTTTTAAAGCCATGGTGCACCAACGAGAGCGCATTGTTTCTGCGTGCTCTAGAGCTATCTAACGAGTTTTTGTTAACAATAATTATATAGTTTTCAAAATACACTAATATTCTATTATTGGGAGCAGAAACACTGGCGGCCTTAAAAATTAAATAGGTAACTCAAGCAATTTTGCAAATTAAAAAAATGGTAGGTAACGGAAATTTCTTCTTATATTTTCGCAAGGAATCGAATGTATTACTTTTTGTAACTTTTATCATTTGTATAATACAGGTTAAATATTTTTAATATATTATTTATGAATATTATAACAAGTTTGGAATATGGAATTCCAAACGTGTTTCAGACTATGCTTTTTCTACGTTTCCAAAAAATACCATAGAAAAATAATTTAATTGGGAGAAAGTGAGGTTAGATCGGTCTAAAATTTGTTGGATATTAAACACAGAGATGTCGCCACCAGTATTTATTTTGTCATCCGATGAGAATAATTAATTCTGTAATACTTTAAGGAATATATGTCAATCTACATTAAAAAGTGATATTAGACCGGTCATATTCCGTAATAGGAGTAGAAAAAATAATATTAGAACAATAACATATTATTTGAAAGAATTTCTTTCTATAGGATTCATCGCATAACCCTCGTATAAGGTGTAGATGGTTGTCTATTTTCTAAAGTCTATGGATTTTTCTATGGAAAACACTGCTGGAAGTGGCCACCTGTTGCATACGGCAAAGTTGATTTTTGAGGTTTTGGAGTAAAGAGATGTTGAATTTGTGACTTACCTGAAACGCCAAGGTAGAAAGTACCGTTTTTCTCGATGCTAACATTGGCAGTGTGCGCTATCAGCTGGGTCAACTTGGTTATAACCTCGTCGCGGTCCTGAGTGACTATAATCGACATTTTTAGAGAAACTTCAGCCTTTTTGAGCTTTCGATGCGAAACTAATGGTCCAGACTAATAATATCGACGCCTTTCAATTAACGATCTGTAAGCAGTTTCATTAATTGATAGAAAATATTTATTTGAAATAATTGAGAAGGTCAAGCAACGATCACGTGGTTCTGACATTGTAGAAGCACCATGTCGCGAATGCCTAGTCATTGTTAAAAACTGAACAATAAATAACCACCTAATAATAGTTGTGCGGCAAGAAACTCACTTTAACAAATTGTTGTTCACTACGGATGGACACCCAACGAATTTGATGCGATAGTACGGCTTGTAGATAATTTGAAATTTTTATCGGGACGTTAAGTTTCGAAACTAACGTTCATTATCTCCGAGTATAATAAAAACATTTAACATTTTAATTGACCTAAAATGTTAATGAAAGTGGACAATCTTACACTTGCATTATTAACTGATTGATTGATATATTTTTGCCGGGCAACGGTCGTTGTGCGTTCGATCGATATTTACAAATTTGTTATTATTTTTTGTGTTCATTAAAACTATTGGGTTATTAACCTTAATTAAAAAAAAATCATAGAATATAGCTATATATATATATACCCTAGGGTTAATCACAATCCACACAAAGAACACCTTTGATCCACACATTGATTGTGGGGTTAATAACCTTAATGAGAAATGTCTTTGTTATCTATGGTCTATATTATACTCTGCCGGACATCAGGTGTATCATACACATCATTTTGCAGATTGCCTAAATTAGCGTAAATTTGCAGATTGCCCAAAATGGAAGTGATTTTGCACAATGTCCGGCCAAGATACATACACCGTGTATGTATCTTGGCCGGACATTGTGCAAAATCACTTCCATTTTGGGCAATCTGCAAATTTACGCTAATTTAGGCAATCTGCAAAATGTCTGATAAGATAGTCAATCTGGGGATTACAGGTTTTTATCTACTCGAGTAGGATCCTATTGCATTATATTAGACTTTTTCAGTGATTAATGACATAGAAAAAGGAATGATAAACATTATAAATTCCCTACCTATAGGTTATAACAACAAAGATATATTATATTATTAATATAATATTATTATAACTTATTATTCACGTTGTTAGCCAATTTCAATATTCACTAGTGAATATTGAATATCACAGTTGTTATTTGAACCAATCGGGTTTTAATTTGGGAGAAGGCGACTATAACATTTAAAATTGGTAAAAAGTTAGGTTAGGCATTTGAAATCTGTTAGATTTTATTTATTTATTTTTAAAAATCATTTAATTATCTACTTATTGGAGTAGATAAAGTATAGTATTGCACTCGAGATTATGCGCATTATTTAATAGGATAATTTAAGTCTCTCGTCTGGCGACTCGAGACGCAAACCTCATCCTTGTGAATAATGGCCTGCATTACCTCTCGTATAATAATATATATATTATACTAAGTATTACTTCTCACAATGACCTTTTTCTATGATGACTTCTGTCGAAATTGCCTCACGTAATTAATGGATGCCCCCCAAGGGGGAAGAAAGGAATATTTTTAGAGAAATTGAATACATTATGCAGTAAAAACCCAACCCAACCATTCTATAAATATCAAGTGTTAGTTAATTTAATTTTTGTTTGTAGTTTTTATTTTCTAAAAATAACATTTAATTTAATTAGTTTTTCATTTTACATTTGTGTTACGTTTGTATAGTGTTGCGCACACTGCCTAGTCAATGTGAGAAGTAAAAACTTTTAATCCCCGGATTAAAGTGATTATAAGCTGGGTGATTTTTTATAATTTTCGACTTCAGTATACTTTCGAAAATTATAAGGAATCACCCAGATTCACAAAAATGAGCGCTGAAATCGGAAAAATGTTCTTTCTATAGCCTATAGACTATATATATAGGGATACAGAGACCATATCGACCAAGATACCTTTATTCCGTAATGAACGTGTTAATTAATAACATTTTCTTTTAAATTCAACAAATTACACAAAAAAATTGTGTGTGTCCAAGACACTGCTTCTCCTGTATATAGGCACACTAGTGTTCACACTATTTATTGAAGTGAAACTTAAACAGAATTCGGATATTCGTGTATTTATCTTGATAGGAATCAAGTTGTAGATTAATTACTTGAGTACTTATACCAGATCTGGTAATGATTAGAGTTGTATTGCTATATCATTGATTTGTAAACATATTTCATTATTTTCTGTTACATATATCCCAGTTACTCATTAGCTAATCTATAGATTACTATAGTATATATAAGTATATATACTTATATACAGTGTCCCACTTATAAGAACTTACCACCCTTGTAAAATTTTCAATTAGTCTTTTTTAGAGATCAGATTCTATCCACAAAAAAAGGTTTACAAAAATCGGTTGAAAAATTCAAATTTTACGAGGGTGGTAAGGTCTTAAGTGGGACACACTGTATTCTTACTGACTGGTTACTGTTTGTAGTTTTGAAAAGTATAGGAAATTTTAAAATTTAAGAATTACAAAAATTTTAAAAAATATTTATTTCGGAAATTTTACTCACCTGAATAAATGAATTTATGCTCAGCACAGCAAAAATATAATCACTTCATGCTCTCCTGATACTTACGGGCGTTTAATAACGTTGCCGTGACATTTTTCGCTTCAATTTTTCGGTACCTCGCAAAAGAAGTTCTCTAAAAAATGGGTTTGAAATTGTAGGAACAATTACATTCTAAAATAATTGTTAAATATAAAAAAGGATGAAAATTATACAATTAAGGGGCAAATAAATTAAACAAAAGTATCATGATAATATTATTTATTGGTATAATTTAATATATACTTCCACCAATCGATTATAATACATACGTGATTAATGTAATCAGTATAAATAGTAAATATAAATTACATGTGCAACATGACCAATATATAATGTATGCCAAAATTAAATAAATAAAAACCTGACTATAGAGGCAAACATATCTCAATTAATTAAATTAAATTTACTTTACAACCACAATGAAAATATAATAATTATTACACAGCCTAAACTAATATATTGCTTTAACAATTTATACCAACAAATGAAAAACATAATTGCAAATTTTTCACGGTGTGGTATAAAATGTTATAATATTTAGGTTACCACCAAAGGATGAGGAAAAAATCCACCAACTTTAACGTAACTAAACAAAAAATGGTAAAAAGAGCCGTCTATAATAAAAAATACAATTCAAAATATTAACATGTAAGCCAATTTAAATAAAAATAATTAAGGTTAATAAATTTACCTAATCTTATTTGATAAGATCAATTATTTTAGTACATAAATACTCTTCAAGAGGGAATGGAGATAATAAGTTTCACTCACTTTTGTTTTTTTTAATTACAATACTACAATAAGTTTTACTTATGAAAAATGTTCTTTTACTCTATAAAGAAAAGATTTTAAGTGAGCGAAATTTTTAACTACCATTCCCTGCTCTGTATGTATGATAGATTACATCTATATTATTAGTACATATATATATAAAAAATATATAAATAATTTAAAAAGGGGACAGCTCATAGTCAAATAAATATAATAATTACATATACACGTATGCTGTAATACAGTAATTTTAAATGCATTTTATAATAAACACATTCAATAACATCTGATTAAAATTGAAATTAATAAATGAGCAAAAAAAGAATAAAATCATAAGCAGAAACAATTTTATGTAAAACACAAAGTGTTCCACAACTCAGGTAACATACTTTTACTAGTAAAGTTGTTAAAATGACATTTGAATCATAAAAACCTATAAAATAACATTCCCGGAGTTGTGAAACACCCTGTATAATAATTATAAAGGAACATTATAGAATCAAGATGGGCATTAGTGTTGACTAGAGAATTGTTAAAAAGCAAAAAATGTTATTGCACCATAATTTTAGCAGTTAATTAAGTAAAAAAGAAATAGCATAAAAAATTGTTTCATCTTTGCCTGTTGAAGCAAATAAATAAATAAAATCGGTAAAATGGGGTATTACGTCAAAGTTTTCGTATGTCACAAAGAGTGATGTAAAAATATGGAAATATCACAGTTATTAAATCGGTATGTTTTAATGTCTAAAATAGTCGCGGGGTGTAGAAAAATTTTGATGTTTCCCAAGTTACCGTTCTGATTTGTTTCAACTATAAGAAGTCTTTAAAAATAATTGCTTGAATTCATGCGAAGACAGCAAAACAACTGATGGCTTTTAACTAAGTACTTTCAAAGAAAACAGTGATTAAAAATCAAACACTATTGTTTCGTGCAGTCTTTTGCATCTGGACCGAATGTCCAAACAGCCATTTTGTCATCTCCGCACAATTAAAAACTCTTTTTAGTCGCATGCATTTTCAAACAAATGCACACAAAATATGTAAACATAGTAAATATTTATCGTTTTTATCAACTTTTAACTTTGATATACCCAATCACACACAGTATGATTAAAAAAAGATGACATTTCGCCAACATGTCGTCACTGATGCGCAAAATATATTCAGTTTTTGCCATCAGATTTCCATTAAAACTGGAAAAACTCTCTTTACACGGGAAATTTATATTACATAAAATTGAAATGCCGCTGTATTGTATTTAATGTGAATAACTATTTTCCGTTGTTTGAATTACATTTTGAATCACGTCAAATCAGAAAAAAGTGAGCAAAACGTGTAAATTTGTTGAACCTCTTTTCACATGATCCAAGAAACTATCCTGTTTGCGTTTACGGAAATTTGCGACTTCACTTTCTATAGAATGTGGTTAACCAATCAGAGCACGACATTCCCCACCGCATACTAGATTGCGAGAGAATGTAGTGCTCCGATTGGTTAATCACTTTCTATAGAAACCACTTTCTATACAGGGTGCACCAAGTATCCTCCTGGGGGTATTTTTTTATTTCAAAAGCTACAAGGTCGTTTATGAAGTAAAAAAAAAATCCAACTCTAAACGCCTTTAACAATCTTTATAAAATAAAAAATATAAAAGGGGTTTTTAAAAAATATATAATAAAAGTTATTTTTTATTATAAAATAAAAGGGCTTTATAAATATTTTCTCGAAAAACCCTCGAACACGTAAACTTAGTTATAAGTTGAAGTATTTTTATACAAAATTTCAAGATTGGTAAAGGCGTTTTAGAGTTAGAATTTTTTTACTTAATATGCGTTAATTTTGACGCGCAGTGTAAATTGAAAAAAAACAGCGGTTATTAAAATATTTAAAAGAACTAAAAACCTCAAATAAAAAAACATTTCAAATCCAAAAATGGTTCTTATAACAATGTTATGATATAACTTTGTTATTCCTGGGAATTTTGAAACGAAGTAAGTTCTACATGTAAACATACACATTAATCTACATTTTAATCCAATTTCTTTTTTATTATCTTTTGTTCCATAATTTATGTATTTTGATACATTTTTGGATTTCTTGATTTTTTTATCTAGGAAAAACAAAAGATGGTGGTGGTATCTCAAAATCCAGTAGGCGCTAAAAGTCCCAAATTTATTGAAAATGTAGATACATGTAAAACTTACTTTTTACAAAATTCCCAGGAATAAAGAAGTTATAACGTTTTTTGGTTTTTACAGGTTTTCAGTTTTTTTCAAATTATTTGAGAACCGCTGATTTTTTTAGTTAAGCAACTTTTGTCTAATTTTACCGACCTTGTAGCTCTTCAAAGAAAAAAGATCCCATACATAGAAGATACTTGGTGCGTGTAAAAAGTTAAATTTATTAGAATTGTCTTTTGGGTCATGCAAAAGGACCTTTGGCATTTAAAATGATTCAAAACAGCTTTAAGACAAAACTTGTTCATGACTTTTGCCAAGACTCTTCAAAATACGACCGCAAAAAATTCAATAAAAATAAAGATGTTGACAATAAAATGGTCGGGTGTTATTTTGAAGAGTCTCGGCAATATTAGTGAACCCATTGGGTTTAATGTACTGGTTTAGGTGAGTCGTCCTCACTAAGTTGCTCGAGCTCCTCTTTGAGCCTCAATTCCAAAGCTTTCATGCGAATGTCCTCTTCTTCGTTAATTGCGTTATCAAGAACCTGCTCCGATGTGTTACCGTTACTGTAACTACTTATGCCCAGGGAATGAACTATTTTGTTCTTAAAAGAAAAATAAACAATTTTAACATTTTTTAAACAACTCAAAATCTACTTTTAAACAAATTTACTAAATGTTTTCTTATTTTTTATAATTCAAGATTTATTAAAAATGTTTTTAACCAACTGACCAAATATGGAATACCAGCATTTTTCTAAAAACAAATATTCACTCAGTGTTTTATTTTGTGGCGATAGAAATTTTTTTAAGAGACATACAAACTTGTAACCAGTTAACAAAAAATACCTCAGTGATGTGGTATTTTTTGTCAATGAGTTGAAAAAATATAATGAAATCCTAGAATTCTACCTTTATTATTTAAAAAGATATGAGAGAGTAAACATGGTTTTTAAACTTGCAAGTAATTTAGCCTGTGTGTGTGTCAATGTTATGTTAATATTTGTATAGTTTTTTTCATAGATTTAATCTATGGTTTTATGGTTGCCAATTAAAAAAATATGTATCCCCTCTATCTTTTTAAATAACAAAGGTAGATTTTTTAAACAATTTTCCGGGATTCCTTGGGATCTGTAGATCATACTCCTTCAAGGTGGCATGTCGTATTTATGTTTGTTTTTATATTGTCTGGACCATTTATTGCTCCTATGTTATTTGTAAAATACGATAAAAAATTTGATCTGGTACAAAATTAAGTATAAGTATGGAATATTTAGATTCTTACTACCATGTTTTTTCGCTGTAGAATGTTTATAAAATAGTATGGAATAATAACAAGGTGGGTAGTCTCATTTGTGGAAGTTTGACAAGTGTCCAATTAGACTTGCAAGTTTCTTGATCTTGCAGAAGATAAATACTATACAGGGGTTATGTAATTAATGTAATATATTAAAATGGGTTCTCTAAATTCTTAAGACTAATTACGTTTATCCCAAAAAGTACGGCACTGATCGACTAGGAACTTTAGGCTAATCTGGTTACCTAATTTAATTTATTATGTTATGGTTGGTAACAACCAGCGTTTTCAGATTCTGTAAAAAAAGTTGCCATATTTTGTTTAAATTTAGATTCATTACAAAAATGACAAAATCAACAATGAAAATTTGTAATTTGGCGTTTTTATTAATTGTTGATTATGGTATTTTTGTAATGAAGGTAAATTTAAACAAAATTTGGCAACTTTTATGACATAATCTAGTGCATTTCTTTTAAATTTTTTGGTTATGTGCTGAAATTGTAAATATCTTAACTAAGGGAAGTGCTTTCGGAATGTTTAAAGTTTAACCTGTGAACTTGTCCTAATTTCATCTGAGTAAACAGAAAGAAAAAAACAGATGTAAAAATTAATTTTCTGGTTATGGAGTTTTTAAAATAGGTACTAAATTGTCTAATCATTGCTTAAGCTAATGCTGGATAAGAGTAAATAAATACTGAAGGGTATTAGAGCTTTAAGGGCATACAACTTTTGTATTTATTAAGTTTTTATTTATTTTTGCAAGAAAAATTTTTAGTAAATTTTTTTTACAACTGGCAAGTGTGTAACCAGTAGCGTATCACAAAAAATATAAAAAACTTCTAATGCATATTTTTTCCTTATCTTTGGGGAAATATTTTTAAAAAATATTTTCCGTTACACCTTATGTCAAAAGGTATTCAGTATTTTAATATATTACATTAATTACATAACACCCTGTAAATGTTGTTTCTTAAGAAAGTATGCTGATGTTTCATATTTGGCCACCTTTCTTATTTTTGTACAATTAATAATGTTAATTAAGCCCTCTATAAGATATATGAAATAAGATATAAAAAGATATATCGAAATATATATTTTTTAGATAGGAACTTTAAACAGTACAGCAGTACAGTATCATGAGTACTTTAAGTCTTTGGGAATTTGGGTTTGAATTTTTTTTGGAAAATATACAAATTATATAAATTGATATGTCAAATAAAACGGATAGTTATGTTAATACAGCACTAAATATGTATATTTTGAGGAATTTTAATTATTAATAAAAGGAAGGAATATTGAGTCGGAAATTGACTTTTTTCTCGATATCAGTGTACATATATCATCTGTAAAATTTGTATTTTTTCAGAAAAATTTAATTTTGCATTTTTCTCGTATTACCCCTTGAATAAAATGAAAAAATGACATTTTTAGACATCTTCTAAAAATATATAGGACATAGGGGATATTTTAGTCATTAGTAAAAAAATACATGGAATTGGTCATCTGGTAGATATACTTTTTGAGATGTTTAATAAATATATAAAAAAATATATCTTAAAGATGTCTTTCAGAGGTTGATGCTGGGTTGTGTTTTTAACATTCTTAAGTAAGTTTGACATTATTTAAAATGGTTTTGGCACTTTTTTAGAAAGTTTTAACAACTTGGAACATTTCGAAATATTCTGTAAGATCTCATCTTCTTTAAAATAACTTAGTACTTACCAAATGAGCCTCTTTCTGCTTTTCTGTAATTCCTTGCTCAATCAGCTGCAATTCCTGAGTGAGGCGATCGCTCTCGCTCAACGAGGTCACGTTATGCGCCGCGGCCATCTTCAAATCGTTCAGCTGCTTCTCCAGGTTGCGCAGCTGCAGCTGCACGCGCTGCGATTCCGCCATCAGCATTTCTTTCGAGGGGTCCTGCATGCGACCGTGGATGATCATTGGAGAAGAACCGGCTGAAAATGAAAGTGTAAGTTGTAAGCAAAATTATTCGGGGGGTTTTTGATGTTTTTACTTACGGTAAGTGACGAAACCATCATTAATTCCTGTGACCTGGGGGCCCACCATATGCGGCGGTAAGTTTCCTTGTAGATATTGAGAGTTATTGTTGTAGTAGTATGGTGTTACTGGACTTGGAGATGACACTGGTCTTCTTAACTATTTTTTTATATAAATTTTAGTTAAAAAAACGCAATTTTAAAAACATGAATAGAAAAAATCATATAGTTATGGAAATAAGCCAAATTAAGTGAAACCCCAACAAACATAGAAGTCTGATTATGTAATGGCCCATTACATAGTTTCATGGCTTAATAATGGCATTTTTAGCCAAAGCTTTCCTTGTACTGGGCCTTTACAGGAATGTTTTAATAAAATATTAATTTTGTTAAAAGGCTGTCATGATAAAGTCTTGCAATGGCCCCTTTTAGGCCAATATTTGTATATTTTACCATAAAAGACCCATATTTGAAAATGTCCAGTATCAAGTTAATGAGACTTTAAAAAAACCATTGAAGTGTCAATTGTTTTCTGTATATAAAACTTACATGAACCTTTAATTACACAGCCACACAAAAAAAAAAGTCAGATACTTTTTACGAGACATATGTATTTCTATGTATTTTGACTCGCTGAATCCGAATCCGAGGTCAAAATAGGACCTTTCACGATTGGTTTTGGTTATAGAATCTAAATCATAACCTCAAAACGTAGTTGTTTGAGCGGTGCTCTGCAGGACTAAGTAAGGTTTCCGTACTTTCAGGAATCGAATCCGATATATAAGTCGAGCTAGCGTTTGTTTTTCATAAATCACCTCGGTGGATCAAAATCAGTGAATTTTAAATCATTTTTTAGGAGAACATACTTTTATTATTGGATTAGTAGAATTTAGAGCCGTTGATTAGATAGCTGTCTGCGAATGAGATGGTTTCTATATAGTTCTGCATACCACTGACTTTTGATAGTAAATCTTACTTAGTCCTGCAGAGCACCGCTCAAACAACTACGTTTTGAGCTTATGATTTAGATTCTATAGTTATATTAAAAAACTGATGCTATATATGAATTCAGCAGCTTGAAATCTAAAATGAAACTTTGTTTCGCCATTCTATACTTGAAAAACCGGTTTTTTGAGGTTATGTCGAAAACCAATCGTGAAAGGTCCTATTTTGACCTCGGATTCGGATTCAGCGAGTCAAAATACATAGAAATACATATGTCTCGTAAAAAGTATCCGACTTTTTTTTTTTTTGTGTGGCTGTGTTATCCTTTGATTTTTTAATAATGACGCCCAGTGTAATTCATATAGTTTTAATAGTGTGTTTTGTACCACATAAAAAATAATAAAACCTAATGGTTGGTTAAATTTAAATTAATACTTAGGTGCGTTTTTATATTTACAAATTTTAGAAATTTTATTACAGTCAAAATACCGCCATTAAGTAGGAAGGTTTAATTGATACGGTCAAAATTGGGGCAATTTCGAATAAAAGAAATTAATAATGGCATAGAGGACAATCTATCAAAAAAATCAAGTGATATTTTAATTTTAAATATTTTCTATTTAGTTTAAAGATTTTTTTTATTTGTATAAATATTATTTCATTTATTACCTAATAAACAGTTCTTAAAATAAAAATTTTATGTTTTACTTATACAGGTCTTTATTGCAACACATTGCTGTATATTTTTTCTTGTAAATTTATGAATGTTTTAGTATTGGGCCTTTCCATCTTAAATTGACCAGGCAAAAAGGGGTAGGTCGTTATTTTTTAACGAATTTTATAGTTTCTCTACCGAAATCGATGAGACCCGTATTTTTATAGATTTTTATCTTTTACGAGTGAAATTTTTTATTGAAAATGCGAAAAAAACTTAGCCAAAAATGTTTAACATTTTTTTTTAAATTAAAGGCAAATGTTTACTACATACCAAAAAAATTAAGTAAATTTACTCAATTAATTGTTTTTTCTAAAAAAGGCAAAAAAAACTGAGGTCAAAATTTTGTCATTGCCACATTTTTATTTACTTCATATTTAAATAACCACTATAGAATCTTTAACACCCCATATCGGATAATTTAGCTTGCCACATTTGTACTATGCTCCACACCTCAAAGTCCCACCACGTGACCACGTACGGAACGCAGTCTTTTGAAAATTTGGCATTTAAGGCTTTTCAGGTTATGTATCTGTCAAAGTATAGACAATGAAAGAAATATTATTTATAGTGTTACCGCTTATGTTTAAGCGTTAAAAATTAATAAATCTTTTTAGTATCACAATAACAATGGTTGGTTTAAGAATTTAGGAATATAAATACTGCAATTAATGAAATTCCAAAGTGTAAGTTGCAATATAAGTGATATTTTTGTGCATTGGTTCTACATTTCTCCATAAAAGAGACTAAACAGCATTTATTAAAATAATCTAATTTCTCTAAAGGTAGGTTAATGTATTAGAACAAAAAAATCTAATTTTGTATTTTAAGGTTAAAAAAATCTATTTTGACCAAAATAAATAAGTGGATTTTTTGGAAGTGTGTTAATATGGTCATAAATAAATATAGGTATACTAAATAATTGTTGAATATGGTTCAAATTAAATTGAAGCTTTTATACTTCTAATGACTAACTTGTGCATACCTCTCGGCATACCTACTTTAAGTTAGATTATAAGAAAACAAACAATTTTTAGAGAAACTTGCAATGTGAAAATATTTAATACTCCCATGACATGTTATTTATTAAAATTTTTAAAGTTATAATGATTTTTTGATGTAGATCAAATTCAGTCGAAGCTTTTTAACTATTTGTATTGACAAAACTTTATGTAGGTACACTTTAAGCTAGATAAGAAAAACTACCACATTTTTAAATACCATATTATACAGTCTTTTAAATAATCCAAAATACTTATTTATTTTGGACAAAATAAAATTTTTCTAACCTTAAAGTTACAAAATTAGATGATATTTTTGTTATAATATTTTAACCTACCTTTAATACAGATATTCTTATTCCATAATAGAGAAGCAAGATTTTTTTTAATAAATGCTGTTTAGTTAAAATTATTTTATGGAGAAAACCAGATATTTGGGCCAAATGCACAAAAATATTACTTATTTGGCACCATACACTTTAGAATTTCATTAAATGCAGTATTTATATTCTTAAATTCTTAAACCATCCATTGTTATTGTAATGTTATAAAGATTTATACATTTTTAATGCCTAAACATAATATTATTTCTTTCGTTGACTATACTTTGACAGATACATAACCTGAAAAGCCTTAAATGCCAAATTTTCAAAAGACTTTGAGGTGTGGAGCATAGTACCTTTAATCTGTCATATCAGAACCTTTAGCGCGGCATATCAAAATATGAAATTGTTCTTGTACGTACCTTTATTGACTGCCATTAAAGGTAAACATGACATAATATGTACAGTTCCATTAGAGTTAGCATTTATAGGGCCTTTAGATCATTAAAGGCTCGTTTATAAAGGGCCATTATAGAACCGGTTGTGTTTGCTAGGACGTATCAGCTTGCCGGCTAATAAAACGCAAACTGTTTCTTTTTTGGAGACATTTTTAACGAAGCCAGAGTTACAGGTTGTTAAAAAATAAACTGAAATTTTGTTTAGGGCGCATTTAAACTCACCATTGAAGACGACACTCCGCCATCCCTGAACCCCGACACAGGCATCGGCTGCCCCATCCCGTTGTCCTTCGGCATCCTACTGATGGGCCCGTATTTACTTATGGCCGGCGAATCGTACGGCACGTAATCGTCGTCGGCCGTTAAAATGGAATCGGACCTGACGAACGTCGGCCCGGTGTTGAACACGTGCGAGCCGAAAAAGTTGTACGGCGACGTGGGCGACTCGCAATCTTGCATGGACTCCTGTCTGGCCAGCGTGGCGGCCGTGTGCGATATTTCCGTTGCGGCGTTTTTGCCGACCACTTTTTCCAGCTGCGTGAGCACTTCGAGCTTGCGTTGGTGCAGTTCGGCCAGGGATTTTGTGTGCGCGCGGATCGGCATGGGTTTTTGAGCTGCTTGAGTCGGGATGTGATTCTTCTAAAAAAATATTTTAATTTCAGCTTTTTAAAGATTATTCTGAACCTTATATATTTTTTAAACTAGAGTTAAATTTGATTTGTCGCATATTTTATATTGGACAAATTTGGCCGTTATTTAAAAATTAAAAATGTTTGGCATGAGCCTATAGAAAAACAAACTATATAGGTACTATACTATATATTAACATTTTTTAATTACACAACAGTATTCTCCACAGCAATAAAAAGTAAAATATAGTCAGGTACAGCACAATTATACCCCACATATTGGCAACATTTTTCTTTGTCCATTGTTTTATATTTTTACAAAATCTTAAATAATTGCAGTGTTTTAATTCAGAATGAATGAAAGAATAACAGAAATGTCTTTGTGTTGAAGTAAAGTGAAATCTGGTGAAAAAAAATTAAAACATGGTTTTTATTAAAATGCTCATAAATCCTTGAAAAGTGCTTAAAAGCAGGATTATAACTTAAATCGCTAGAGAGCCATTCCACGCGTAACGGATAGGACAGTTGCCGTGTTTTTATTTACAAAATAATATTGTTCTATTATATTACTAATGTCAAATTTTTATAAATAGTTCTAAACTAAAGCTGTTTAACAAGGTTTTTATTTGGCAAAATTAGTTATCGTGGTTGACTGTTTAATTCCTTAAAAACTAATAATTTAAAGCGTAACGGACGGGACTTTGTAATAGTCCCGTCCGTTACGCTTTAAATTATTAATTTTTAAGGAATTAAACAGTCAATCACGATACCTAATTTTGCCAAATAAAAACCTTGTTAAACAGCTTTTGTTTAGAACTATTTATAAAAATTTGACATTGGTAATATAATAGAACAATATTATTTTGTAAATAAAAACACGGCAACTGTCCCATCCGTTAAGCGTGGAATGGCCCTAGAGCGCTTCTAAGCACTTTTGAGCATATATAATAATATTATATAAGCTCACCAGCAAAAAAAAACTGGCTACCAGAAATTAACAACAATTTTAATGTTGATTTCCTCGCGAACCGATCATCTGATTTTGATGATTTTTTTTGTTGATTGAAGTTTAATTCAGATTTTAATTTGAGCATATACAGTAAGAAGAAGTTTTTCCCCGAAATTTGTGACACCCTGTAGGGTGCATTAGCAATTAGAACGGTTTATTCTGGTAAGTTACCGTAACTCTCCCTTGACTCGCGTTTGTAAATCTGTCATTAACTATGGTGATATGAATTTTTATGTCAACGATGTACCTGCATTTAGAAACCAAATAAGAAGGTTTATGTGATTCACTAAGTTTTAGTTATTTAATTCTTATTAATAAACATATTTTTGTCGTTTATTTGTTATATATATTATTATTTAATTGTTCTATTAGTATTATGTATATTAGAGTATTGATATATATATTTGTACTATTTTATTTCTTGTATCACATGAAAAAAAGCACCGTAATATATATAAAGTGTGTCCATGGATGGACTTGTAAAAATAAAATATTTATTTTAAATTTTTTAAGGAAAAGTCATTTTTCATCATTTCTTTTGCTTGTTATATAAATACGATTTGTGTTGAGAAACATATATGTACATATACATATTTTTAAAATTAAAATTTTTTAAATATTTTCTTTTGAAGCGCTAATATAAAGAGCTGGTAAGGAGAAATCAAAATGTCAAATGAAGTTTTTTCATAAGAGTTTTTGATCCTAAGATATTTGAAATTGAAAATTCAAGATATTAGTTTTCAAATTTTAACAAATAATTGTAGACATTATAGACATGTCAGTTGAAAGCAACAACCTTGATTCATAAACACAAAATTAGATAGCAGTCAATTTCTACAAAATAATAGGACCACTCAAGTTACGACCTGAATTGATTTTTTTTTTAAAAACAAATATCTTAGTAATAGCTCACATAACGTTATAAAGCTTTTTGGTTTATCCTTAAAAAAAATATTTAACAATTTTAAATTTTGCAAAATCTACAATTGTATTTTTTTTGCGCACCCTGTTTAACAAAATACAAGTTCCTCATCGTAAATGGTATTTATATAACAAGCAGAAGAAATTATATAGAGTGACTTTTCTTCGAAAATTGAAAATAAATGTTTTTACAAGTATAGTTAAGTCCATCGTGAACACACTGTATATATATAAAATTTAAAAAATAACCAACAAATTGGTTAATTTACGCTCGAGCATTTATAGTCACGGCCAAATCTATATGGGTGCACGTCATCAATGAGATATAATGACGTCAGCATTACCAACTTTGAATTGTAAAGTTACTGCCGTTAAATTTACTTTTTTAAGGCGTAATTCTGATGTGTTATTAAAAAGAAATCATTCATTTGCGTATTGTTTACCAAGAACTGTAACAATTTCCTTGTTTTAAAACGTTTTTTTCACGAAATTATCAAAATAAAACCATTCACTTAGTAATTTTTGTGTGTGCCAGTTGGTAATAGCTTAAGGCTGGCGCGCACCGTTCAATATTATTGATGGGTCGCTGTCATTTTATATTTGACGTATTTTTGTAATTGTGACATTTCGTCCGGAAGCATCGTTTGTTGCAAATTATTATAAATAATATTATACATTATGTTTATAAGATTCAATCCCTGGATTGTGCAAACAATGATATAAGGCTTGTTGGCAACTAGCCGTTATTAGATTTCGAAGACATTGCGCCCTTAATAATAAATTTGGGGAAATAATCAGACTTCTGACCTGGTTTGCTCTAATGACAAGGACGACTGGTAATTTATTATTTTTGTGTTTCTGATAATTTAGTATTTTTTTGTTATGTGCATATGTAATAAAAATGTAATAAACTCCGTTTGTTTTCTCTTTAAACACATTTAATAAAAATTTGCCTGTAACAAACTCCTAATTAGTTAGTGCAGAAGATTATAACAAGGACGTTATAATTCCATCTTAAGAACAGCCCCCACCGCTATAAACAGTCAACAATACACGAGCGTTAGATTGTGTCTGGGCACGTATGAATAGACCTTAACGCTGACGTCATATGCCGTTGATGACGTGCACCCATACAGATTTGGCCGCGACTATATGAACATTTTAAAAGGCATCTGCCATCTCTAGTTTTTCTACTTTGTTGCAAATGAATAAAAGATAATTTTTAGGCTTTTTTTTCTTTTTAAAATTCTTTTTCAAGATAAATAAATAACAGATCATTGGAATATTTTTTGTTACCTCTACAATTTTAATGCAAAATGTACTCACCATGTGGTCCCAAATATGCCTCTTGGCCAAATCGTTGACGTTAACATTGACATGCTGATGGCCCATCTTGACGAAATCCTCGGGCTCCGCGTAATACGGATTCCCGTTGGTCAAGACGACGCTGGCGGGGGGCGGCTGCGCGTAGGCGGGGTACGCGGCCGGCTGCGGCGGGGCCATGTACGTGGGCGACGGGTACGGCTGCTGGTTCTGCGCGTAGGCCGGCGCGGCGTTGAAGGGCACGTCGTAGCGCGGCATCGGCAGCACCGCGTGTATCGGCACCGGGCTGACGGTCGCGTCGGCGTTTTGCGGTATCGCGTAGTAGTCGTCGTTGTGGCCGGGCGCGTACGCCTTATCGGTGGGCGATTGGCTCTCGATGCGGTGCTCTTTGCTGCGGCTCATCATTTTCCGGTTCTTTGCCCTGTACCTACAATTAAATGTTGGTTTTTGACAGAGTTGCAAATAATGCAATATTTTTTAAATGCTGTAGGTAAATTTCAAACTTTTGAAAAGACACATGAAAACGCCGGGACATGTAAACCTAATTTTTGGGTGTAGAATTCAGTAGTGTAATCAGTTTTTCAAAGTTAGCTCGTTTTCTGAAGATACACTCACAGGCAAAATAATCGATCCACACAAATTTTCGATCAATTTCAATCGCAAATAACTTTTTTATTTGATTTCGGATTTAAACGAATATTAAAGAATATTGTAGATAAATTAATGGACAATCGCTCGCATTTTAAAAAATTACTAAAAAATAGACGTACGTTTATAATAAACAGGTTTAAACAAAAATATGTCACATCTATTCTTAACAGTTTTGTTTTTGGTTCACCTCGATATATTTATTTTTGTGGAAAATATGGATTTTTCAACATTGCAATTTCCAATATTTTTCTGTATGAAGAACTAAGGTCCATCCATAGGCTATGGAGATTGACAGTTACAGTTTTGTTGAATCATCCCATATATGGGATACTTGGACATGTCATACACGGCTTTCAAAAGCTATCAAATTGTTTTTTGCAAATTAATGTTTAAATTTTGAGGTGTCTTCTTACTTTAAAAAATGGATATGTATCCGACTGATGTTGCCAGAGCCATTAATTTAATCCAGGATGGACGGTCACAGTATTACGTGGCAAGTGTTTTAAACGTCATAAGAAGTAAAGTTCAAAGGGCAACATCAGTCGGAGACATTTTTAAAAGTAAGAAGACACCTCAAAATTAACACATTAATTTACAAAAAACAATTTCATAGCTTTTGAAAGCCGTATATGACATGTCCAAGTATGGGATGATTCAACAAAACTGTCACTGTCATTCTCCATAGGCTATGGATGGACCATAGCAACCTTAGTTCTTCATACCGGAAAAATATTGGAAATTGCAGTGTTTTTTTAAAATCAATATTTTCCACAAAAATAAATATATCAAGGTGAACCAAAAACAAAACTGTTAAAAATAGATGTGACTTGACAATTAAAACTTAATTTAGAACAATATACGGTTTTGCCACTCTAAAGAGTGTCTTAAACTTATGGTAAAAAACATCTTTTTGTTTAAACCTGTATATTATAAACGTACGTGTATTTTTTAGTAATTTTTAAAATGTGAGCGATTCGTCATTAATGCATCTAAATACAATATTCTTTAATATTTGTTTAAATCCAAAATCAAATAAAAAAGTTATTTGCGATTGAAATTCATCGAAAATTTGTGTGGATCGATTATTTTTCCTGTGAGTGTATTTAATATTTAAGTTTGTAAATTTTTTGGTTTGTTATTTGTTTATAAATTTAGAAATACCAAAAAGACACAAAAAACGCCGGGACATTTAAAACTGAATTTTTGTGTGTAGAATTCAGTGGTGCAATCCGTTTTTTTTTAAGTTAGCTCGTTTTCTCAAGATATTATATATTTAAGTTTTTTGTTTTACCATTTTGCTATATTTTTAATTAATTACTCAAGAACAATTACAATTTTTTTATGTTAATGAGTAATGTAGCTACTCATTTTACATTATTCATTTTTTTATTTTTAATGAGAAATTATCGAATGGCTTATTTTTAGTGGGCAAGGAAGGTATTTTATTAAATGAAACATTTTTTAAAATTTTTGTTTTGAATTGGTTTTTTACCAGTAACAGAGTTCAATTAGTATACTATTATACGAGATATAATGCACGCCAGACTAAATCCATTTAATGGATCAATTCAAAATTGTCACGGAATATTATACTTGAAGAAAATGCAAAAAATAACAATTTCTCAAAATAATGGGGAAAACCAAAAAATACGAAATACTACTTACTTTTCTAGTTCTTCGTTCGAGTGCGCAAAAGTGCAATTAGTCCCTCTCGGACAACTCCCTCTCAAAGTCAAATCCCTGCACATGCTTATCTTGTAACGCGTGTGCTGCGAATGCGCGCTATCCTGCACCTTCCTGCTGCCGTGCTGGTGTATAAACTCCACCAGACCGGCCACGACCTGCCTCACGGCCTCCAAGCACTCGCCGCAGTCGCTCCAAGAGAGCGCTGAGGACTCCGGGCTCGGATCGATGTTGGCCAGCAGCTCCAGCTGCCCTCTGAGGGCGGCCAGCTTCCCCGGATCCCCGGTCCTTTGCAGCGCGATGACCAGCTCCTGCACGTACGAAACAGTAATTACTGATATGAATATACAGGGTTTTTCATAATATATGCGCAGGACTTCAGGATGTGATAGCTCATCCAAAAAGATGAAAAAAGTCGCTATTAACTTACGCTCTAAAATGCACAATTTTCGAAATACAGGGTGTAGAAATTTTAGAAAAAAATTCGTTTTTTTCGAATATCTCCGGAACCGTTTATCGTACAAAAAACAGCTTTTGTAAGCATTTTTTACTCAAAATAAGCTATGTTTATTGTGCCAGAAAAAAAATTTTTTTCCTCATAATTGGTGGAGATTTTGAAGGGGTAGCGGGTGTTTTTCTCCTTAACTTCTACGCCCCTGAAAAAAGTACGGTTTTGAAAGGCCCATTCGAACCGCCAATGTTTTCTACACAAAAAAGGTACTCTTGGTCATAAGCTCTAAACTTGACCGTTTTCGAGAAAAATCAACTTTTATGTTTAAAAACATGGTCAATTAAAAAAAAAATATTTTTTTTTTACTAATTAAACAAAATTTATTTTAACATTAGAACAAGTAACAAAACCAAACCATAATTGCAAAATAAAAAATGATTCAAAAGTTGTCTTTGCTAAATTCTCCAAACCGTAAAGGTAACGCATTTCGCACATTTCAGCATTTGTGAATAAAATCATTTTTTATTTTTTTTTTAATTTTGAAATTTTCGTTTGGTTTTGTTACTTTTTCTAACGTTAAAATAAATTTTGTTTAATTAGCAATAAAAAAAAATTTTCAAAAAATTGACCATGTTTTTAAACATAAAAGTTGATTTTTCTCGAAAACGGTCAACTTTAGAGCTTATGACCAAGAGTACCTTTTTTGTGTAGAAAACATTGGCGGTTCGAATAGGCCTCTCAAAACCGTACTTTTTTCAGGGGCGTAGAAGTTGAGGAGAAAAACACCCGCTACCCCTTCAAAATCTCCACCAATTATGAGTCAAAAAAAATTTTTTCTGGCACAAAACATAGCTTATTATGAGTAGAAAATGCTTACAAAAGCTGTTTTTTGTACGATAAACGGTTTCAGAGATAATCGAAAATTATTTAATGGTTTTTTTTCATATTTTAGATTAGTCCCATTTGCCTAATTTTTTATGTTTCCAGTCTAGTTCATGGACTAAAATTAGCCACTAAATGAAATTTAGTAAATAAAAATACAGTCTCGCGCTATGCACGCGCCACCACCACCGAATTGACCAATAAGGGCCGCGCTTGTTTTAATTTGGTCCTAAAAAAAGTAACTACCTATAATATTTTTGATTCAGCGCTTGATTTTTCAAAAAGCTACCAAAAGCACTTTTTTCATGATTTTTCAAATTCATGTAGAGTATGGATTTTTTTTTTCAAAAAAACAATAGCAAATTCTTGTAGAACATTTATTCATTGGTGGTTAAGTCAGAACATTATTACGGTATTCGTTAGGATTGAGTGCAACATTGCACGTTTTTCATCTAAAAATCTCAAAACTATAGTTTCTATAGTGTAGAAGTTTCACATTGCTATTGGTTTCTTATGTGGAAACTACCAAAATAAGAAATGAGATTTTTTGATCTCACAAAATTTTCAATAATGAAAAATGTAATATATTCTACATTTCACTTTATTATTAATATACATTTTACTCAAAATTTCATTTCGACTATTTCCCTTGTCTTAATTCCCACCAATCACAAACGCGCAATTTTGAATTAAAAATGATTTCTAGGTGAAAAAACTGTATGACAGCACCTGTCAGCAGTTTTTTCGAGTTTACCCCATAGATGACCGAAGGTTTACCCGCGGCAAAACTTGACAGCTGTTGTCACCAAAAATTGCTAAGTAATATTTTTTTAACAAAATTCATTCGTGCAGGTTCTAAAATCCTCGTCTTCGACTCGGATTTTTGTTGCCACCAGCACTCATGCTTCTTGTTAAAATATTACTTAGCAACGTGTTTTTTCGATTTTTTTCGGAAAAATTAGATGCCCTTATGATATTACTTAGGGGCATTCCACGTAACTCGGTAATTTTTGTCCCGCCCGTCACAATTAAAAATTGTGAGTAAAAGCCACAAGTTATTAAATTTATATTTTATAATATTATTTTTATTGTGCTTATAACTTATTAAAAGCATAATAAACAATATTTTAAAATAAATTTTATAACGTGTATTTTTTACTCACAATTTTTAATTGTGACGGGCGGGACAAAAATCCCCGAGTAACGTGGAATGACCCCTTACGAAAAATTACTCCATTTCACATTGATGTTATTTATAAAAAAACCGTTTTTTCTAGTTTTTTTTCACATCTGAAAAAACCGTTTTTTTACATTTCTGTAGTGTAATCGATTATTTTATACAGGGTGTTATGTAATTAATGTTATATATTAAAATGGGTTGTTTCTTAGGGTCCATAAAGAAGCACCTGAAACTTTTTTTTTCTAAATTCCAAAGTCTAAAAATAATTTATAATAACCTTTATCCAACCAAAAAGTACGCCACTGATCGACTAGGAACTTTAGGTTAATCTGGTGAATTTATTATGTTATGGTTGGTAACAGTGTTTCCAAAATCTCTCAAAAAAGTTGACAAACATTGTTTAAATTTAGCTTAATAAATTTTAGGTTATGTTTTCAAATTGTAAATATCTTAACTAAGGGACGTGATTTTGGATTTATTTACACAAATTAAATGTTTAAAGTTTAACCTGTGAACTGGTCCCAATTTCATCTGAGTAAACAGAGAAAAAAACTGATGAAAAAATTAATTTTGTGGTTATGGATTTCAAATTTAAAAGGTACTAAATTTTCTAATCATTGCTTAAGCTAATAGCTGGATCAGTTAATAAATACAGAAGGGTATTAGAGCTTTAAGGGCATAAAACTTTTGCATTTATTGAGCTTTTATTTATTTTTTGCAAGAAAAATTTTTAGTAACAATTTTGTACATCTGGCAACGCATAGCTACTTTGTTGGTTGGTATCTATGTACTCACAAAATACAAGTGTGCAGAGATAAACTAAGTGTGTAGCCAGTGGCGTATCACAAAAAATATAAAAAACTTCTAATGCATATTTTTTCTTTATCTTTAGAAAAATGTTGTTTTAAATATTTTTCCTTTATTCCTTATGTCAAAAGGTATTCAGTATTTTAATATATAACATTAATTACATAACACCCTGTATAATAATCGATTATTTTATACAGGGTGTTATGTAATTAATGTAAGGAATATTTAAAAAAACATTTTTCCAAAGATAAAGAAAAAATATGCATTAGAAGTTTTTTATATTTTTTTGTGATACGCCACTGGTTACACACTTGTTTATCTCTGCACACCTGTATTTTGTGAGTACATAGATACCAACCAACAAAGTGGCTAGGCGTTGCCAGATGTAAAAAATTGTTACTAAAAATTTTTCTTGCAAAAAATAAAGCAAAACTCAATAAATACAAAAGTTTTATGCCTTTAAAGCTCTAATACCCTTCTGTATTTATTTACTCATCCAGCTATTAGCTTAAGCAATGATTAGAAAATTTAGTACCTTTGAAATTTGAAATACATAACCACAAAATTAATTTTTTCATCAGTTTTTTTCTCTGTTTACTCAGATGAAATTGGGACCAGTTCACAGGTTAAACTTTAAACATTTAATTTGTGTAAATAAATCCAAAAGCACTTCCCTTAGTTAAGATATTTACAATTTGAAAACATAACTTAAAATTTAAAATAAATGCACTAGATTCTGTCATAAAAGTTGGCAGATTTTGTTTGAATTTACCTTCAGTACAAAAATGAAATAACCAACAATTAATAAAAACGCCAAATTGACAATTTTCATTGTTAATTTTGTCATTTTTGTAATTAAGCTAAATTTAAACAATGTTTGTCAACTTTTTTGAGAGATTTTGGAAACACTGTTGTTACCAACCATAAAATAATAAATCCACCAGATTAAACTAAAGTTCCTAGTCGATCAGTGGCGTACTTTTTGGTTGGATAAAGGTTATTATAAATAATTTTTAGACTTTGGAATTTAGAAAAAAAAAGTTTCAGGTGCTTCTTTATGGACCCTAAGGAACAACCCATTTTAATATATAACATTAATTACATAACACCCTGTATAATCAATAATCGAATATGAATTTCGATAATCGCCCAGCCCTAGTTATCAGTAGAAATTTTTAGTGACAGTTACGATTCCTACCTGCACGGACTGCGCGAAGGACTGCGGCGTCTGCAGCTTGTCGACGATGCTCTGCATGTGGCTCTTGTGCGCGGCGTCGCCGTAGAGCAGCGCGGACCACTGGTCGGGCGCTATGCGCAGCCCAGCCTCCGTGGCGATCTGCACGATCTGCGCGTCGTGCTCGCGCCTCAACGCCTCGTACGTCCTGAACTCGTCTTTGAGCTGCATCAGCGAGGAGTCTCCCTCGCGCTTCGACACCTTGAAGCAGGACGCGCGGTAGAGCAGTTGCACCACGTGGCCTATGCTTGTTTTGGAGGCTTGCGGGAAGTGCGGTTCCAGCCTTTGCACGACGAACATCACGAGGACTTTGCGGGACAACGCGGAACCGTCTTCGAGGGCTAGCAGGACCAGTTTTAGCACTTCTTCTTGCATTGCTAATAATTATCATAATAATTAATAGTTTTAATAAAGATTAATTATAATTATAGGATAAGAAATGTTTGACAAAATCAGCACGATAAAAATGGCTATTATTGATTTTTTGCGAAATGTTATTTAACACATTCGCGGACACTTCCAGATTTTAGAGGTTACTCAAAAACACACCAACTTTTGTCTGCAATTGCAGACGTCTGCTATAACAGACACGTCCTTGTATATCCCAAAATTTTATATTAAGGGACATGCGTCTGTAATTGCAGACGTTAATAAACTAAATGCCGGTTTCGGTAATAAGAAGAAAATCGTAAAAAACATAAACTTTATTCAAATAAATAATAAAAACTACAACAAAATAAACTTTTAATCCAAGTCTTTGTCATCTGAACCAGCAAATGGATCTTCTATACTAGTACTGCTTGATCTATCACCCTCAGGCTCTGATGACGTATTACGTATGACGTAATTTACGTATCCCTATAGGGCAATACGAAACATCATCTCTTTTGCCAATGATCTTATACGTATATTTATTCAAAAACCATTTTATATATTGAATATATATATATATATATATATATATATATATACTATATAATATAATATATATAATATTATTATATATTTATAATTTATAATATATATATATATTTATGATTATTAAAATTTTATAACAAAATATAAAAAACCGTATTTAGCTTAGGCAGGAATATTTCCTTAGAATAAAAATAAATAAAAATATTTGAACAAATATAGTACTTACCGAGAGTTAAAATAAAAAAAAACAACTTAAAATAACATTTAAAAACAACAAAATAAAATCGAAATTTACAGGGACACTTCATAGCCTCTTCCATTGGCCGTTATGAAGCTACTGTCTGCTTTTGCAGACATGACGCTTTTCGTGAGAAAACAATCTGCGCGGGAACTATATATTTAACCATAAAATTTATCACTTATAGGGACACTTTTCTGCTAAAAAACTTGATGTACAGGGACAATATGCTTCCATTCATACGTATTTAATAGTAAATAGCGACTGCTAATGCAGACATGCGTTTTTCTGTGGTTTAAAATTTGTCTGCAATTGCAGTCGTGTCCCTACTAGTGCTGTCAACGATTATCGATTAACCGGTTAACCGGTCATAATTTTATTATAACCGGAAAATGAGGGTATAACCATAATCGGTTATCGGTCAATCGGTTACCGGTTACCAGTTAATCGGTAACCGATTAACCGGTTATGGTTATTATCTGGTCATATGGTTAATCGGTCGACCGATCGGTAGGTAAAGATTTTCTCTGCCCGCTTCTGTACCGGTTTCGGGTGAATCCCCGTCCTACATGCTTACGGTTTTAATTTCAGTTGCCTGAGAGTAGTTGCACGGAAAAAAATCCCTTACTAGGTTTAAGAATAGTTCTATACTTCATGTTAGGAACTTGATTTAAGTATATTTATTATTTCTATGAGATTAGCGTACATTTAAACTAAGTAATGGGATATACTTAATTTTTAAGAAAAACTGTTACTTGATTTGAGATGAGTATTCTTGGATTGAGTTTAAAGGTATTTTATTTTAAAGAAAATTGGTATACTTAAATCAAATATACAATAATGCTTAGATGAAAGAGCTCTAGTTTTTTACTCAAAGCGGAATATTGCCACTTATTTTAAGTATTCTGTATATTTGTATGAAATTTCGGTATACTTTATTTAAATATATGTATATTTAATACAATAACGCTTATACTTCAATTTAAGTATAAGACCTCTAGAACAAAGAATACAATATACTGTATTTAAGTATAGCTATTATTAAAACAAATACCTAATTCTTCGCTTAAGTAAATTCCGTCCACCCTCTATAAGACCGCTTCGCTAAAAGAAAAGACGCAGTTTCTGTGTTCAGTTCTGTCCTGTGTTCTATTGTGGTAGCGTGTGTTCGTTTTTTCCTTTTTCGGTCTGGATGATATTTTTAATAAAAAATAATGGAGAAGAAACTTAAAAATTGGGGCAGAATGTTTACTAGACACATTTTTGGGTAAGTAAATAATATTTCATTAATTTAAAGTAGTAATTAACTAGGCATGATCGTAAAAATGTAGTGTAAAATGGATAGGTATACTGTAGTGTAAAATGGATAGCATACGACAGGTAATAGACAATAGCACATAAACAGCAGAAAGGCTATCGCCTCCAATTCAGCTATATTATTTTTGTTTTAGAAAACGAGATAGATATCGATATTACGGTAAACCTAAGCGAGGAGAATTTAAAGGAATTAATTCCAAAAATAGGATTGAGGATCAAGGTTAGAGAAAAAATTGAAGAATTAACACCAAACCATCTACGATGATAATGGTAGCCTTCTTAGAGACTCATTTTACAAATTATTTAGCTGGAGATAAATTTTACTGACAATAAAAATACCTACTTAAAAAAATAATAACTAAGTATTGTGATTAAAAACATTACCTTTACATATAGAACCAAAAATGTGATACCTATAGGTACTTAAAAAAATAAAATGTAAAATATACTTAGTATCTATGCTAATTAACCGTGAAAGAATGAATTTATATAAATTGACAGTACTTTTTCTAATACCTCTAAGACTGTTAGGTAATAAACCTATTGTGATATCAGTGCCTATTATACTAAATACTTAAAATAATCTGCCAAAAATACTGTTAAATTACTGTCATAACGAATATATTTTCACTTTCACTTGTATTTTCGGTAGTGGTAGGATAATTAAAACAAATATTTTTCAGGGTCACGAATGTTTTTTTTTGTAAAAATTATTCCGAGTCGCTAGACGAGGGAATTTTTTTTTCCAATCAACCACTTTCTTTAAGAATAGTGTAAAGTTATTTTAAATATATAGTATATATCGTCACCGTTCTGGCAAAAGTCATTAACTCCATTTTTGTCTAAAAGTAGTTAACTACCTTCGCAATCATAGAACAATTATATCTTTGGTCTAGAAAAACTTATTAAGTGCAGTATTGTATTTTTGGCATGCTAAAAATACAATACTACACTTAATAAGTTTTTCTAGACCACAGATATAATTGTTCTATGATTGCGAAGGTAGTTAACTACTTTTAGACAAAAATGGAGTTAATGACTTTTGCCAGAACGGTGACGATATATATACTATACTTTTATCAAATATAAAAAAAGGAAAAGTAAGAATACAAGCATTTTATGCAAGTAAAGCGTGTACTTACAATAAGTATAAATAAATAAATTTTAAAGATATTCTTAAAACAAGAATACTGTAAAGATTTTACAAAGAAACTATACTTTGATGAAGTACATACTAACGTTACAACAAGAATACCGTAGTCTTCATTGAAGACAAATTTGTATACTTAACTCAATATTAGTGTGTTTCTTATTTTTAGTATAGCAGTAATCTTAGATTAAACCGAAGCTATCTTTATTTTATAAGAATATGAGAATACTTGAAACAAGTATAAATTTACTTGCGGAATAGGGAAACTAAACTATACTTGGATAGAGTTGAATTTTCTTGGAATCAGTATAGATTTTATTCCGTGTGGATGATCCACGTTGCAACGTTGTGAATGACATAGTAACTAAGTAGGTACTGTCCTATTTTATTCTAAAATTATATCAAACAACTAATATAAAACGTTCTAATAAATTATACAAAAAATAGTCTTACCTTTTAAGAAAACTAAATAGGTCAGCAGCAGCAGTTCCGCAGTATTCCACACGTTAATTGTCACAATCAAACGATTAATTAAACAAATCGATAATTATGTTAAGACAACAGTCGTAAGTTACTTATAAGACAGGACTGGATTATTACCTCCTGCCTTATGTGTAAGAAAGGAGTGTGAGTGAGAAAGAAAAGAAGCATGGTTTCAGCCTTTCACGCAACGCCTACGGAAAAAGTCGAGCGCGCACGACGCAGGCACGAATATTTAAATTCTGGCGGCACGAGGCATGGCTGGTACAACGTTGTCGGATTGTGGAAAAATCCTTCGAAAAAATTGAAAAATTTGCCAACGTGAAAATTATGAACATTTTACGTCCAGCCAAAGGTATTGACTGAACGCTGGACAAATGAGCCGAAAAGGTGGACGTCCACCCAAATTCTGGACAGTTGGCAACCCTACCTTCAATGTACCGGAGCCCGATGACGACGACGATGAAGAAGACCTAGGCATGTACGCTGACCTCGTCTATGAAGAAGTCCCAGATGTAAATGGTGTTGCACCCGGTAGAGTAAACAGAGATTTCGCTGACGGCAGACTTTTACAGAGACGAATCATTCGAGCGCATTTCAGATAGTAGCGATCTTTTGTAATATTTTTGTTGAATGGGTGCATAACATGAATTATGTATGAACCTTAAATAAACTAAAGATAAAGTAAACAAAACACAATAATTTAAAATAAACGTTTGAGCATGTATTAAACAATTATAATTACTTCTTTAAATGTTTTATTGTTGTTCCCCATTGCTTAGCTCCAATTCTCATGATCTTTTGATGATTTTTGTATTTGTGGTGTTTTATTTTATTTAGACCATGATCGATTAATTATATTAATTAAATTCGGTTATAAATATTAATCGATCATGGCCACGGTTAAATGGTCATGGTCAACTGGTTAATAATGACCATTTAACCGTGACCATGATCGATTAATGACCGGTTATGCAACATATTCAGTAACCGGTTATTTACTTAACCGGTTAATATTCCATAACCGGTTAACCGGGAAAAATTTTAACTTTTGACAGCACTAGTCCCTACACATGTGTCTGCAATAGCAGTCGTGTCCGCGAATGTGTTAAACTCGTTATTTGACCATAAAATTTAATTCACCAAAACATTTTTTTTTTACCAGTTATCGGCCATTTAAAGCATGCACATCACAAAACAGCTTTTATAAAAAAAATTGTAGGTAATTTATTATATACACTCACAGGCAAAATAATCGATCCACACAAATTTTCGATGAATTTCAATCGCAAATAACTTTTTTATTTGATTTCGGATTTAAACAAATATTAAAGAATCGCTCACATTTTAAAAATTACTAAAAAATAGACGTACGTTTATAATATACAGGTTTAAACAAAAAGACGTTTTTTACCATAAGTTTAAGACACTCTGTAGAGTGGAAAAACTAAATTAAGTTTTAATTATCAAGTCACATCTATTTTTAACAATTTTGTTTTTGGTTTACCTTGATATATTTATTTTTGTGGAAAAAATGAATTTAAAAAAAAAAAACATTGCAATTTCCAATATTTTTTCTGTATGAAGAACTAAGGTTGCTATGGTCCATCCATAGCCTATGGAGGATGACAGTGACAGTTTTGTTGAATCATCCCCTACTTGGACATGTCATATACAGCTTTCAAAAGCTATCAAATTGTTTTTTGTAAATTAATGTGTTAATTTTGAGGTGTCTTCTTACTTTTAAAAATGTCTCCGACTGATGTTGCCCTTTGTACTTTACTTCTTATGACGTTTAAAACACTTGCCACGTAATACTGTGACCGTCCATCCTAGATTAAATTAATGGCTCTGGCAACATCAGTCGGAGACATATCCATTTTTTAAAGTAGGAAGACACCTCAAAATTTAAACATTAATTTGCAAAAAACAATTTGATACCTTTGAAAGCCGTGTATGACATGTCCACGTATGGTATGATTCAACAAAACTGTCACTGTCATCCTCCATAGGCTATGGATGAACCATAGCAACCTTAGTTCTGCATACAGAAAAATATTGGAAATTGCAATGTTTTTTTTAAATCCATATTTTCCACAAAAATAGATATATCGAGGTGAACCAAAAACAAAACTGTTAAGAATAGATATGACTTGATAAATAAAACTTAATTTAGAACAATTTACGGTTTTGCCACTCTACAGAGTGTCTTAAACTTATGGTAAAAAACATCTTTTTGTTTAAACCTGTATATTAAAAACGTACGTCTATTTTTTGGTAATTTTTTAAAATGTGAGCGATTGTCCATTAATTTATCTACATTATTCTTTAATATTCGTTTAAATCCGACATCAAATAAAAAAGTTATTTGCTATTGAAATTCATCGAAAATTTGTGTGGATCGATTATTTTGCCTGTGAGTGTATATAATAAATTACCTACTGAGTGTATTATTTTTGGATCAAAATTGTCAAATAGTCTTAAGAATTATTTTATTAGGATATACATTAAATAAAAAAACACAAGAAATATTTTATAAAAGTAAAGATAATTTCAATAATTGACAGGTGTGGACGGGACAAGATAAATCTTTTTTTTGTCCTGTCCAAACCTTTCAATTATTAAAATTATCTCTATTTTTATAAAATATTTCTTGCGATTTATTTTAATTAATGTGTAAAAAAAAGAAAACTTTTTGACAATTTTGATTTCAATATATTATAATAAATTATCTACAATTTTTTTTTATAAAAACAGTTTTGTAATTCGTGCGAAATGGCCGTTATTACAAATTAAAAAAAAAATTAAACATTCGAGGCCAATATTTTGACCTGTTAAACTTGAAAATCAAAAAAAATATTTTTGAAAATACTAGATAAAAAGTTTATATGACGCACCCGTTTCATTTTGAGAACATTTTAGAAAATGAAGTATACAATATTTGTGCATTTAAAATACGTGCTTTTTTGAGGTTACTATTTAAGTTTTACACGAAAAATTACTACTATTTGCTTTCATCCAAAATTTTACAGGATCAACTTTGGAAGCCAACTTGGTCGCATTTTGCCGATTTTCTCGCGCCCGTTACGCGATTTATGACGTTATAAAAGGTTTTTTCTACTCCTATTACGGAATTTGACCGTTTTATTATTACTTTTATCTATGGAATGACATATATTCCGTAAAGTGTTACAGAATGAAATATTTTATCACCCTATGATAGAATAAACACTCGTGGCGACATCTCTGTTTTTAATATCTAATAAATTTTAGACCGATCCAACCTCACTTTCTTCCAATCAAATGACTTTTCTATGGTATTTTTTAGAAACGTAGAAAAAGTATAGTCTGAAACACGTTTGGAATTGCATATTCCGCTCTCGTGAAACCGTCAAACTCGCCTTCGGCTCGTGTGACAAACTCTTCACTCGAGCGGAATATGCTGTATTCCAAACTTGTTACAGAATATACTATTCTATACAAGTGTTTATTGAGATTTTGTTCGAGTTAAATATATAATTTTCCATACTATTTTTGTATATTAAAGTATCTTCATATATCTAAACAAACTTTATTATCATGAAAAAACGCGGTGTCAGTGTCGCACCCGTTACAATGGAAATAACATTTAGCTCGACATTTAGTTTACTGCCGGCGAAATCAAAAGGTGAGTACAACTGTATATAAACTTTTCAAATAGTGGCGTTGAGAAACTTTAATACTTTTGTATTTTTATATTAAGATTATAAAATTATTTTCACATTTAGTATTATTTTACAAGGACACTTTATTTTAACGATTGTATGACATTTGACAACTGTGAACTAACTTAAAACTCACTAAAAACTTGTTGCTAACTTTAGCCCGTCACTAAAACGACATAAAGCCACAACTTGTCAATGTGTATTTAAAAGGTCACTAAGTGTCATGGAAACATGTACAATAAAGGGCGTTTAAAGGTGGGTGTAGAAAAAGATAATTATTTAATTGGTGTCAGTAGATATTTACTTGATGGACACTATAATTCATTTCAATAACAATGAAATAATTAAAAACTAAAAAATGTTTTTTGTAATTTAAAAAAATAAGAATGGTCGCGAGTTTACTTGTTAAACAACAAATAATAAAGCATTGAGAACTTGAGAAGCAAACTTTTTAAAAAGATATTTTTTTAAGTAAAAAATTATGTTTTATATTTAATCAACCCTGGAAAACGTATACCAACCTGCGCAGCATTATTTTAATAATAATAAACAAATTGACGCTTGGATTTTTCCTCTACGGAAGTTTTGTTGTAGAGACATATTTTTCATATTTTTAAAAGGTTCAGAAGACGCAAAAAATTAATTGTTCATAAAAAGTTTCATACATTTTTGTAAATTTCAAAACAATTTTTTATGTCTAATTTATTACTTTGGATATGCTAAAGTCGGCTAAAGTTTTATCAGTTCGAGAATAACAAGATTTTGCTTGAAAAGTTACCGAAAATTTCATTTGACAATAACTTTGCTAATAAATAAAATAAAAAATAATGTTTTGGTGGATTGATTGTTATGCTCAAATAGAACCATTTTTTCAAAATTTTGACATAAAACAATTAACCAGTAAACTTAGTACCTGGTCCCAAAAATTGGCACCCTCTGGCTCTCACGGCGGCCCACAAGTTCGCCGACAGCTGCTGCGGGTTTTGGTGTTGCAAAATGAGTTCCGTGACGGTTCTTTCGCCCAAAGATCTTGCGGCGCGCATCGCTCGCGTTCTGCCCTCGTCCTCCACCAATTGGCAGTTTATTAGGGTGACCAGTTTCCTTTGCATAGGCCTGGACAATATGCTGCCGCTGCAAACGTTCCCGTTCGGGTACGGTTTTAGATACATAGCTAGTTCTTCCACGCATTTCGTCGATTCCAAGTAGGCGTTGACGTTTTCCCTGGGTACCACCTTAAAATTGGGAAGAAATTTAGAAAACACTTCAAAAATATGAGTATTTAAACATTCATAAGTAAGCTTTTTTACATTCCTTAGTAAGCTTTTTTAAGCCTTTTTAAATACAAATATTTTCTAAATGAGTTGTATATTTCAAAATTTGTAAGAAATGCGTTGATACATCTTATACATTTATTATTTGAGTTATTGTTTTTTTTTCTTATATTTTGGGTCGATATATTTTTTTGAGCACACAACCAAACTTGGAACTTTTATTGAATTACCCAGTAATTGCAAGAAACATTATTCCACTTAAAAAAAGTGATTTTGAAATAAAAAGCACTTTACCTGAACCAATTTTATTACAAAAATAAAGAACAAAATATTTAAACAAATCTTCTACAGAACAAATTATAAAAAAATGAGTATTTCTCTGAAAATAAACAATAAATTATAATTTAAGAATAAATAATAGGTTTTTATTAATTTAATAATCAGTTTCCACGTCTAGCCACAATGCAAGCACAAATTCGACGAGGCATGCTTTTTGTTAAATTATTTATTTATTTTTTGTGATCTTTTTTCCAGCCATCTAAAACTACTTATATTAGTTGCTCTGCCAGGGTTGTTTTAACGGGCCCTAATCCTTGTTGTAACCTTATCCCCAAAGTTCTCAATTGTATTAAGATCCAGTGAACAAGAAGGCCACTCTAAAACAGTCACACTTTCCATTAATCAAAATTTTTTGACAACTCTGCTTATATTATAAGCATAAATAAAAAAAAATACCAGCGGAGTTGCCAAAAATTGTTTTGGAATGGAAGATGTGAATTAAGAACTTGTGGAATAAGGTTAAAAGAACGATTATAGCTTGTCCAAATAGCTCTGATAATGCAGAGAAACTAACAAAAGTACTTTTAGAGGGGTGGTAAAATGTTTCCCCATAACTTAATAGAAAGCATGCCTCATCGAATTAATACTTGCATTGACGCTAGAGGTGATTATTCTTATATTATTATAACAAAAAACTATTATTTCTTCTTAAATTCTAATTTACCGTTAAGTTTATTCTCAGAGAAATTCACATTTATTTTAATATTTTCTCTTTTTTTTGTAATAAAATTGGTTAGGATATGGTGCTTTTTATTTTTAAAACACTTTTTTTTACTATACTATTTCTCGTAATTACTAGGTGATTCCATATAAGATTGGTTGTGTGTATTTAATTAACGATATAATTAATGACAAACTTAAATGTCAAACGATATTAAAACTGGTAAATTGCATAAGAAAACAAGGCATGTGAGACAAAATAGTGTGTATTTTGTTTTGTTTTTATAAGCTGATCAAGTTTTCATGCACATTTTTGTTTTTTTTTGTAAGTGCTGTATTTTATAAATACATTTCAAAATATTGACAAAAATATTCATGTATGTTATCTTTTTAGTTCAGTGGCTTCACACAATAATTTGATAAAACAACTGCACCGCCAAACTTGTTTCCTTAAAAGTAAATAAATTAATATTTAAATTATCCCTTAATCGAGAAATTTATTTATTTTAGTTGAACAAGCGCGCAAAACGCACAAATTTCAAAACTGATTTTATAAAAAAAATGTAGATAATTTATTATATATAGTACAGTCATCTTAGTCAAAAAAAGGGATCAACCTCGGAATCTAACGGAATAAGCTGAATTTTTGCGAAAACCTTTATTTTAGCATTACAAATGTTGTCTCAAAAGTCACATATGCCAACGTGTGAGCGGCCTTAGATATTCAAGGTCTAAGGTCGCAAAAATCAGTTTTTTTAAATGTCTCGTTTTCTGTAGCTCCTATCGTATTTGCATTTATTATAAAAGTTGTAGAGAATAAAATTCTCTACAAATTTTGTTTACAAAAATTTTTTATATGTCGAACTGTTTTTGAGATAGAGGGCGCAGAGTGTGGAACGCTCAGCCATACGTACCTTTAGCGCAAGGTAAATCGTGAATCCCAATCTATTATACCGTTTTTTTAATTAATTATATAATAAATATTACTAAAATAAAAATTTAATACCTTATACTTATTTTTATATTTCTTTTAAATCAAATATATTTTATCATCATATATATCTTATATTTTAATTTAATTTTAATGAAGGGTAATTGGATCGGAGTAGGAAAAAGTTTTTATTTATATCAATATTATTATTATTATTAATATTAATCTTTATCTTCTTCATCCTCGTCTTCTTCAGGTTGGCCAGCAATTTCAGACTTATTTTCATCATCACTCTCCTCGTTATCATTGTCATATCTTCAAAAACTTAGTTATAACGCGTTTGTACTTTGCAGATTTTTTTGCCTTTGCTGCCTCATCTGCGACTTCACCACAAAATAAGCACAATATTTTAAAATCAAACACATCATTCCCTTTTTTACGAGGTACAGTTGATGACGTTGAAGGTCCAGTCTCTTCAAGGCGACGCGTCGCCTTGAAGAGACTGGACCTTCAACGTCATCAACTATAGTAAAATTGCAGCAGCAAAACGTCGCGACGTTTTGCTGCTGAAATTTTAATATAGTACGCTATAGCGTACAATTTTCGACACTCAATATGAACGTTCACAGAAGTCAAAGTATTTAGGTAGTTTATGTTTATTTATCTCAATAATTGCTTCTTTTAAAGTCTTTATACCGCGCACAAAAGTCACAGAATCACCTTCAGAAAGTAACTTATTACAAATAAAACACAAATCAGCCATGTTAACCTTTTAAATATTACGAATATTACCTGTCACAACCCTAGACCTATACCTAGGGTCACAACTTGCTTTAAATATAGGTATACCTAACCTTTTTATTTATAGCAAGCCCACTATAGTATTTCCAGGTCTGCTATTTTAAAGGCAATATCTGGATCCAAGAGATGACCAGAGACAAATTCAAGGCAAATTCATTTAATGTATTTTCTTCTTAAAATGCATTTATCATTAATTAGAATAACATTAGAATATATTTAGAATGATTCACTTCATTATTTAATTATTTGTATGTCAAAAGTAAGTAATATTTAATACCTTATATTTATTTTTATATATTTTTTTAAAACAAATATTCCATTTTTATATATTTTTTTAAAACAAATAGTCATTAAATTGTTATTTAAGTAATATTTAATAAATAATTATAATTAATTAAAAAAACGGTATAATAGATTGGGATGCATGATTTACCTTGCGCTAAAGGTACGTATGGCTGAGCGCTCCACACTCTGTGCCGTCTATCTCAAAAACGATTAGACGTATAAAAAAATGTTTTAAACAAAATTTGTAGAGAATTTTATTCTCTACAACTTGTATAATAAATGCAAATACGATAGGAGGCAGAGAAAAGGAGATATTTTCAAAAAATTGATTTTTGCGACCATTCACCTTGAATATCTAAGGCCGCTCACACGTTGGCATATGTGACTTTTGAGACAACATTTGCAATGCTAAAATAAAGGTTTGTACAAAAATTCAGCTTATTCCGTTAGATTCCTAGGTGAAATGCCTAGATTAGGTTATACATTAAATAAAAAAACGCAAGGACTATTTTATAAAAGTAGAGATGATTTTAATAATTAAAAGGTGTGGACATTAAAAAAATATATTTGATTCCAAAATAATACACTCACGTGCAAAATAATCGATCCACATAAATTTTCGATGAATTTCAATCGCAAATAACTTTTTTATTTGATGTCGGATTTAAACGAATATTAAAGAATATTGTAGATAAATTAATGGACTCACATTTAAAAAAAAATAGACGTACGTTTATAATATACAGGTTTAAACAAAAAGATGTTTTTTACCGTAAGACACTCTGTAGAGTGGCAAAACCGTATATTGTTCTAAATTAAGTTTTATTTATCAAATCAAATTGCATTTTTTTTTAAAAATCCATATTTTCCACAAAAATAAATATACCGAGGTGAATCAAAAACTGTTAAGAATAGATGTGACTTGATAAATAAAACTAAATTTAGAACAATATACGGTTTTGCCACTCTACAGAGGGCCGGTTTTTCAATCGTTGGTTAAGTTTATCTTACGGTTAAATTTCTTAGATACTATTGTGTTAACAATAGTATCTAAGGAAATTAACCGTAAGATAAACTTAACCAACGATTAAAAAACCGGCCCAGAGTGTCTTAAACTTATGGTTAAAAAAATATTTTTGTTTAAACCTGTATATTATAAACGTACGTCTATTTTTTAGTAATTTTTTAAAATGTTAGCGATTGTCCATTAATTTATCTACAATATTCTTTAATATTAGTTTAAATCCGACATAAAATAAAAAAGTTATTTGGGATGGAAATTCATCAAAACTTTGTGTGGATCGATTATTTCGCCTGTGAGTGTATTTAGATGATACATTTATAACAATTTAACTCATAAAACAAAAAATTGACGGCCATTTCACCGACTGAAATTTTGATAGTTTTTTATTGTAAACCCACCTTAAAATCCACATTCGACTCGTCCAGGTCCGATGCAGCTCCCGGCACGATCAACTGCAGCAGCGCAGTGTTCACGGGTAGTATGTCGATGTCCACCGTGATGGTGGTCTGGTCGAAGGGGCATTGCTTGCGGTGCAAATTCGAGAGGCAAGCCTTGCATATCGTGTGCCCGCAGCCTAGGCTGATGGGCTTGCGCACCTTATCGTCGAACGAGTTGCAACAGACCTGGCACGACAGGAACTCGGTCCACTGAGGTGCCTGTATTGGCATTCTGTAAAGTGAAATCACCATGTCATCATGCCTAAATTAACAAACAAACAACCGCTTTTTCAGTTGTGGCTTTTTCAATGAACTAAAGTCTTATACAAAGAAATGGGGTAGTTAATTTTTTTTTGACCTATACTTTTTATGGTTTTATTCAAGGCGTTTTGTAATTTTAAACATTTCTGTGAAATCGGAATTTCAATTGAGTTTACCGTTTTCGAGATATTTACAAAAAAAAATCTCCTAATTACGTCACTAGGCTATTGACAAAGTTGCCAGCTTTTTCTATGGTTGCCAGTGTGTTTAGTTTAAGATTCTTACAATAGATGGCGCCACGTTTAGAGATGTAAAAAAACGGGTTTTTTCAGATGTGAAAAAAAAAACATGAAAAAAAAACCTAGAAAAAAAAAACGGTTTTTTTTATTTTTTTTTCAAATCTGCTACAATAAAGCATATTCTGCCAATAAATAACATAAATCTTAAAAAATTGAGTAATTTTTCAAAATGAAATTTTGGTTAAATGTATATTAATAATAAAGTGAAAGGTAGAATATATTTCATTTTTCATTATTGAAAATTTTGACAGAGACTAAAAAATCTGATTTCTTATTATTTGGTAGTTTCCACATAAGAAACCAATATCAATGCAAAACTTCTACACTAATAGAAAAAATTAATGGATTAAAAAAAATTTTCGGATAGCTGTATCTTCGTTAAAAATGGTCGTATTGGAGCCGTAAAAAAAGCAATTTGAAGCTTGAAGTTTCTAATTTTTAGATGAAAACCGTGCAACGCTCAATCCTAACGAATACCGTAATAAAAAAATTTTTTTGGCTTTCTTTTTTGGTCCACGGAATGTTCTGACTAAACTACCAATGAATAAATGTTCTATAAAAATTTGCTATTGTTTAAAAAAAAATTCATACTCTACATGATTTTTTTTGGTAGCTTTTTGAAAAATCTAAAATATTATAGGTAGTTACTTTTTTTGGTCATTTAGTAGCTAATTTTCCATGAACTGGACTGGAAACATAAAAAATTAGGTAAATGGGACTAATCTTGAAAAAAAAACTAAAATGTGAATAAAAACCATTTGAAAAAAAACAATGAAAAAAAACCTGAAAAAAACGGACCGTTTTTTTTCAAGTCGCATCTCTAGCAACGTTATAATATTTTAGTTTTAAAACCACTTGATCTATAATTTTAGTTGAGAAGAAGAAGAAGAATTGATTTTTTGACGTTTCTTTTTTTCGGGTTATGTTTTTTTTTAAATTTAGATTATTGAAAATCAATGCTATTGTTATGTTATTTGTAATTGATATTAGATAAGTAATTTAATAATAACGGACTCCAAAGCAGAGGAATCTTGTGGAATGGTTGGTTACATTGAACATTGGAGCTTTTAAACAAATAAAGTAAGTACCTATAATTATAATCATATTTTGCATTTCATTAGTATAATGCCTAGTTCTTTATATTCTTTTAGATATATCTTGGACTCTAAAATATCAAACAGTAATATGATACCTCGTAATAAGGAAGATAGGTACTTAATGAATTTGGTGACCATCTTTCACTCAACTGACAGTGACAGTATTTGTACATAACCTCTTCGGGTATTTTCTGACATAACCGAATGAAATCATTAACAAGACAACTTGACAACAGGGTAATTTTCAACCAATAGAAATCTTAGAATGTTGGTCACATGGCGAGGTTTGTGACGTCATAAAAATTTATATTTTTTGTAAATATCTCGAAAACGGTAAACTCAATTGAAATTCTGATTTCACAGAAATGTTTAATATTAAAAAACGCCTTGAATAAAACCATAAAAAGTATAGGTCAGAAAAAATTTAACTACCCCATTTAACTGGAAGACTTGTAAATGATTAAAATTTGGAACGTCAAACGCCTTTTTTAGTACTCTGCTCCACACCCAAAAGACCCACTTCAAAACATGCCTGAACGTAGCCTTAGGATGACAAAATGTCTTTTTTGGGAAAAATCTATTTTATTTTTGTTGGAAAATATACACATTTAAAAAAGTAGCAATTAACAACTTTACATTATTTTAATTAAAAAAATTATCCTTACAGAAAAAAATATTGAATTAAATTAAATTGATTTAAGAAAATAAACTTAAACGTTAAAAATACTGTCGCTTGGGTGTTTTTTGCAAAAAGGAGTACATTGAAAATGTCCAATTACAAAATAATGAATGATTAATAAGGTAAAGTTACAAAATTATAATTTTATAAATAGTGTCAAATAAAACGAAAGTTATGTTAATACAGCACCAAATATGTTTTTTGCGACCCGGTAGAATATTCTTACTGAATTAAAATAAAATAAATAATTATCATAATCATATTATGATTATATTCAGGAAAAACAACTATTTAACATTTCTCAGAAAATTTCATTCTTGATAAAAGTTTTTGATTGATTTCAAACCTTCATTTTAATTGTCTATGATTTATTAGGAATTTTGATTTTTCTGTTAAAATTATTTTTGATTCATTTGTCATTTCTCAAAAAATCGTCTATATTGATTTGTTCAAAGCTTTTACTTTTTAATTTATTGCCAAAAATACATTTCTCATCGCCTTTTTATGCATTTGTTATCCTTTTTTATGAGTAAAAATTGATGACATCAGTATTAAAAATTTGTCAGTCCAAAATTTTTAGAAAAATTAAAATTGCAAATTAACAATAGACAATAACATGAGAAACATACATTTTTTTGTTACCTCCTTGTAACCCCATCCGTTGACATACTATTTAGAGGAAAAAGTAAAAATAAAGTAACTTTCTGGTACTTTGAGTTTTGAGTCGCATGTGAGCGAAATGTCCTATTACTATTGCGCATGTCCCCAAAAGTCACTGGTCAATGGTCACTACATGCAGTGCAGGAAAGAATATAGACTTGTTTTTATGGGAACAAGCCTATATTCTTCAATGCAAAATACATACAATATAAAAGTAAATGTTATTTTACCCCATAGTATAGTATTTAACAAATCAGTTTAAATAATATATTTTGATTTTTTAAAATTTATGTTGATGTTTTATTATAATTATTGTATTTTAAGTACCTATAAAACTAAGATGTTGTTAAAATTAAAAATACTGGTTTAGGGGAATACTAATATGTATGTACTTAAGCAATTTTGTTTATCATTTACCTATTTCCAATTATATCATATAATTTATGTGTTGTTTATAAATTAATTTTTTCACAATTTTAAAATTTAATTTAGGTAGGTAGGTACATTGTACATTTAACATGGTTATCCATTTAATTAAAAGTTTAATCTGATCAATAATGATTCATCATTTTTGCACCTAAAGGTCAAAGTTTTCACTTTTAAAAAGTAATTATACCAATTATGTGTAAAATAAAAAAATAAAGGTGGTAGTTACTTGTTATTAAATATTTAACTAAATTATAATAAGTAATTAATTATTACTGTAAATTGAAAAACCAATTTTAATTCTGATGTCTTAAGTATAGCTTATAACTAATGCATTTTTAATTTAAGTGTGTTTTAAAGGGTTAATGGCATTTGGTTTCCAATAATAACCTGTTGAGACGCATTTATTTCAATAAATTTACAATACTGCCACAAAACACCAAAGAATTTCTAAATCCATTTTACAGTATGGTTTCAAAGATGAATAATTCTATAATAAAAGAACCGTTATATAAGGAAAATACAACGCAAAATTTAATATTTTCCAAGGAAAAAACCTTTTAAAGCACTTATGACTAATTTTAAAGTGGCTTTCCCTACAAAATCAAACAATGAGTTTGTCCTTTTCCTTATGTGATAAGAACTTATCTAAACTTTAAAATTGTTTTCCTTTCAGTGAAATTAAATTCTATAACTTATCTCATATCGTTTCAAAACGTTATCGGACCTGATTTTTGAAAAAAAAGAATTTTTTAATGCTAACATCAATTTCTAGTTGTCAAAATCAGGTGATGACACATTCATATGCCAATGTGGCATGGTTTTATTGTGAAAATCGGAGAAATGAACGATAATTAAGCGGTTCTTTTTTGTACACGTATAGAAAATAGTTTGTGGTATCAATATTGTATGATAAAATGCATAAATACCTTATTTAATGCACAAAATAACATCACATCATGAAGCACACAGATTCACATTTGTTGTGAAATCTTTCTCGAATGTCATACGTCAATGAGCTGATCATTTTGTGATTTATCCATAAAAATTACTTTCCATACTGGTTTTAAACCTTAAAATTTAAAAAGAATAAATTAAATTATGCTATATTAGAAAGACGTTATTAAGTTTTGTAATTAAAAAATAATAAAAGTTAATGTATTTGCTCAAATTAACTGAATATTAACGTTAAAATTATGGATAAAAATCATTTAGTATACGGCACCTTTTACTAAATGATTTTTATCCATAATTTTGACATTTAAAACATTGAGGTTATGTTGGTTTTAAAATTCAAGTTTTTCCGAAAAACCATTAATAAAACTACAATTATTTAAATGAAATTAAGTAGAGTGAGTGTAAATTTAATGTGAGAAGTCAAAATGATGGACCCAGAAGTAGTAAATAAAAAAATCAATGAGTATGAAAAATATATAGAAGAAAAACTGAAAAGCGACTTAAAAGAAATAGAATTAAAGTTAAGTGATAAAGTTAAGAAGTACAAAGATTGGGAGGATGTGAAGGAAATCGCAAAAACGGTCAAAGAGTTTAAGGAAAAGGATCGTGACATGTTGGTGAGGGTTGATATCGGTAATAATATACAAGTTACTGGTGAAATTACAGACTATGAAAGAACTTATGTTAAAATAGGGTTAGGTTATTTACTTGAAATGGAATGTAGAGAGGCTGATAAATATTCTGATATTAGGTTAAGACTGTTAAAAAAAGAAATTGATCATTTACGTAAGTTGGCTGTTAACGTAAAGGTTCATATTAAGTTAGTTTTGTTGGCTATTAATGAGTTGCAGGCTTCTTTGATAACAGAAACAGTAAAAAATGTAAGGAAAATAAAATAGTTTATATTTTTTAAAACAATTTTTATTTTAAAATATTTTAAATTTAAGCTATTACACAACATGTGAACACTTTTTAATAAGTCAATCTTACAATTACATTACAAAACTATGGTATAAAACTAGCGGCCTACGTACAAAATTAGACTGTTGTGTGTTTAACAAATATTTTACAAGATTTCTTTTCTGATTAATTAATTTCACTATCGTAAACTGTTACTGTAACATATTTAAATCTTCCTTAAAAGTCTACATTTCTAAACTAAAAAAATATACATGAATAAATTGACCCTCAGAGTTAAAATTTTGGGACAGTAAAAAAGTGAATGAAGATTTCAATTTATTCTGTACATTAAAAGCATGTTTATATTAAGGAAAGAATTACATGTTATACTTTTGGCTATTAAAATGTGTTTGTCTATTTTATGCAGAAACTTTAAATTATTCAGTCTTTTAAGAAGTAGGTGAACATTTACCCATTAATTACACACATAATATTTTTTTTTTAATAAAAGGTTATTTTAATGCCCAAAATTTAAATGAATAAATGTCCTTTTTCCAAATTAAACCTTAAATAGTAAATAGAATAGATAACATTAACGTTTTTCTGCATGAAATAAACCAAAAGTGACTCCCCCAAATATATCTTAAAAAAACTACAAGAAGACAGTTTCAATGGGTTTGCCAATATAGAAAACATTTCAAATCTCAATGGACTCCGTTTAAGTAATTAAATACAAAATTTATTGCTGTTTTTTAGAATATATTTTTTAAACTACACATTTATAAGTTTATTGAACTAGGTGTTTAATGCATAGAATATAATCATTGTCTTTTTATCTAAAGCCCTAAGTCTAAGGATATTAGACATTCAAGAACAAACCATTTAATTATTTTACAACTTAAAATATGGGGTGATCTGTCATTTAGAAGTATATGGAACAGTTATTAAAATTTTTTACTTACTTTTGCTCATTTTTTACTTTTAATTAAAAAGGTAAAAGGTATTGATTTTGTAAATTCTACGCAAGATTTATAACTGTCTAGAAAATTCTACGCAAAATTTTTGCTTTTAAAATACTCTACTATCTATTTTCCCTATATCCATTGAGATTGAAACAAAACTTTGTACAGTAAGTATTTTTAAAATTACAGTTTAATAATTCTTAATAATTTTTAAGTTTTACAACGTCACGCGTTGTTCACATATTTATACAATATTTGTCTGGACAACAGCTAAGAATGAATTAATTAACGTATCATAAATTTATATAGAATTAATTTTTATACATGGAATACTGATAGAGAACAATTTACATTTTTAACAGTCAAAAAAAGTAAGAACAAATATTTTTATGTGCAACATCGAAAAATTAGCAATATCATTAAAAATATTAATTATATTAAAAAAAGTTTTAAACAGAAAATGTCTACGATTTTATTCTTTACAATAATTGTAATTACAACTTTTGTCAAAAAATTAAAAGAAACAATATATTTAACAAAAAGTATGTTTTAGGAAATTTTTTGACAAAATTTGAAGAGACATTTTTTGTATAGAATAAAATTCTTCGAATTTTTTGTCAATTACAATTTTCTGTAAAATAAATATTTTCTATTATATCCTACACTTTTAGATATTATAACAATACAATGTCTTATTGATGTCCTTTTTTTGGTTGTTAAAAGTGTAATGCATATACATAATAATATAATATGTTTTTACTGTACATTGAATGAATTAAGCAAGCGACTTGCAATTGTTATCGGCAAGTGCACTGTGCCAACTTGACTCGAGTAGGCCATATGGAAACATGCGCCGCTTGCACCTTGGATTCAGCAGGTTTGCCAACCGACTGCTGCTGCTGCAGAGTATACACTAATAAAATAATGGACTTTATTAGCCAACCTTTTGTATCTTGATTATTAAGAAAAGAAGAAAATTTGTTTTATACGATTTTCAGAGAAATTGTTTAGATTTTAAAATGCAAAAAAAATTGTTAAAAAATATTTTTTATCATCCGAATTTTTTTAATTTTTCGCGATCATAAGTTTAAAAATTAATCGGGTGTTCATTATTTAACATTGTACAGCCAAAATTTTTTTTTGATTTAGATTATAATTAAATAAAAAATAATTATTACAAAAAATAAAAGATGGATGTAAATTCAATAAAAAAAATTATATTCACAAAATATTATATCCTTTAAATTGTTTTAAACACATGTAATGTATTTTATTAAATTGCAGACCTGTATACCTGTATTAATAAAAAGTACATTTTATAATTTTGAAATATACACGAAAAAAATAATTGGATTTCTTTAATTATACAGGGTGTCTTAGGTTTTAGTTGCAGAAAATAGAAAGTTATTTTAACTAAATCTTAGCTGTTTTTGCGTACAAAACGTTAAATACTTAAAAGAATATAATACTGGGTCTTAACCGTGTAAAAACTTTAATCTTTAATGCTTTAGAAATTTATAACATAATTTATGATTTTCTGTAATTCTCAACAATTTTGTATTACTTACTGTTTGTATCTTTTTTTAAGAAAAAATAGGAGATTTACTGAAATAATTAAATTTTAAGCTTATTACAAAATTTAAATATCGAATAAAATAGCAACATTTTTAGATACAAAAGGTTGGTGGTATGTATGTATATGCGGTACACGGCTATAACATTCTAAACCTAAATCTTGAAAAGCTCCTTGCAGATTATACAGACACTGAAACGATGTAAGCATTGCATAAAATATTAGATAATAAATGTGTTTACATGCATTTTACATTTGTTATTTTGATTCAATATACCAAACGAGATTTAAATTTTAAATTCACATTCTTTAAACTTTAACACATCCGACAACTTTTAGGACTAAATATTCAAATTAAGTTGTCGATTATGTTTTCAACATTCTCTAACTATAGTTTTAGTTCTCTATGGTATCTAGGTATCTAAATTATTACAGTCTCGAATCACACATATTTCATAAAAATAAGTTTTTTATTATTTTGAGTTCCATGTTCATATCAAAATGTATAGTAAAGAGTTTATATTTAAGGTGTAAACTACGAATTTAAGCATAAGTTTATTTTAAAATAATTATCACTTATATGGCCGTATGCACAAATTATAGTCAAGTTTTGATGAGCCAACAATTTTTTTAACATCTGAAATTTGTGTCTCTACTTTCTATAGAAAACCTATAGAAAGCAATAGAGCAATCAGAGCAAGGGATTCTCCGCGCACACAAGATGCGATCATCGATTTAAGAAGAACGAATTTTCCTTGACTTCTTCAAAACCATAATTTAATCCGAAACAGTGTTGCCGGATGTCATTTAAATTTGTTGAATAAACAAATCCTAACTATCCTTTCTGCATAAGGCCACTAATCAGTCAATAATTTAGTAGTATTAAAACGATTTAAAATTTTCGGTTGATAGGCATGCCAAAATATATTTAATGCAAGAGTTCGTTTTTTGATTCAATATTTTCGCAAATTATTTGATTGTTTATACGCCTAAAAATAATTAACATCAAATTTTTTTACGTATTTTGAGCAATCCCTTTATTCTTTAAAAACATCGACAAAAAACGATTTTAAAAGTTTTATTATTACTTTCAGGTGGTAATGTATTGTATTCAGTTTGTTTTTATTCAAATTGCCTGAGTTCAGTTAGAATAAAATATTTATTGCGATTTTAAGAAGCAAAAATGAAAATTAGGAATTTTTTAATAGTAGGTATATATTACAAAAGCTTGATTATGAATTCTATTGTTATCCCTAATAAAAAGATCTGGTAAAATTGTTTCTTAAGTTTACATAGATTCGTTGCATTGAATGTTAAATATGATTCTAATGTAATTATTTTAACTTTAAGATTGTTAATTTTATTCATAACATTTTTTTGATTGCAAACTTTTCACATTAATTTTTTAATCTAAATACTACTATTTTATAAAAAATTATTTAATATTTGGATAAATATTAATTAGTAATAATAGTTTTGTATTATGATTGGTGTTAATGTAATACAGTAATTTTAAACAGGATTAAATAGGTATTGTTAAGTAGAAGTGCCTTTAAATAAATTTAATAATGCAGTACTTTTTATAGGTGCCTTTTTATATAAAATCTTATCCATTCAAATGCATAGTTACTCCACCCTGTGCCCCATGATATGATTTTAATAAAAAATAAAAAAATTAAAACGATTAAAATGTACCATAAACGTTTTAGATATGCTTAAATTTAGTCACATATAAAAAGTACAGCAGTAATAATAACACATCCTTAGACCCTAACAATTTTGAATGCTGTGCTCTAAAATAAGTTATTAGTTTTAAATAACATACTTTTACATTTAAAAAAATAATTTTGAGTAGCTCCGTGTTTGTTTGAATATAGGTAGGCAACACAGATTTCAAATCGATAATACTGGCGCACAGTGAATCAATTATCGAAAATATCGGCAAAACCTCAAAAATTTACATTTTTTTTTTCAGGTAAATTTTGAGTTAGATGGGTAGTTAATACCTGTCTCCAACCTGTATTGAAAAAATATTATATAAAATACGTATATTTTGTCTTGTACATCAGTTTAAACTTGATGCTCTCAGTTGAAGGTACTTTAAACGCGATCGCTGCGAAAAATTGTTTATTGTTTAAAAGTGAATAACTTGTATTTGGTGTGTCCGATTGTTATGCGGTTTGATGAAGGGTGATCTTCAAGGTATGTAAAATTCAGATATGTATTTTTTTTCGTAGATTTTGCTTGTACAACGGGTTATTGTAACCGACAAGATCGGTCTGTTAAAATCGCAAACTTTAAATCAAGCTTTTAGAACAATGGAGCTACAAAAATTGTTATGAATTGTAAGGCATTAGTTCAAGATCCGTTGAATAGCTTAGAGTTTTGTCTATCAAGCCATCAATAAATTATCTGCCCCAACTCGCCCCCGGCTCTTTAAAACTACTTGGGCGCTCAGGCACGGTTGTGGTAAAAAACCTCGCGATTTTAAGCCAATGTCGCGCGCGTATCTGTTTTTGCTTTACAAAATATAAGTTTTTTTTTATTTCTGGGTTGCGTTCATAACGTTTACTCGATTCACTCGGATTTAACTCAAAACGTTTATTACAAACAACAGCGCGCTGCAGCGGTGTCTAGACTTTTACTTGCGTAAATCGTTTGTGACTACTAAGATATTTAACACCGATTTTACATATTTAACCCACCTCTTGTAGGTGCGTTAAAACAACTTCGCATGCGCATTGTAGTGTGTTAATGTCGAATTTGAATTGTGGTTATTTGTGTTGACAATTTTTTTTAGCGAATTCAGTGACGGAGATTGTTTAATATATGTAGCTACATAGATATTATAATATCATATAAATGTAATAATGATATACTAAATTATATTTTATAAAAAGATATTTTATTTACATTTTTAAAAAGAACCTCTTACGGGTTTTTAATTAATTTCGACAATTTTTTGATAAAAATGTCCGCAATTTTGGAATTCTGATTCCAGATTCATTATCAGCGACCACAAAAACCCCTGTATGGTGATTTTTAATTTATTCCGTCAATTTTTTGACAAATATGTCCGCCATTTTGGATCTACCATTTTGAATGTTGGAATTCTGATTCCACATTCATTACCAGCGTTCACAAAAATTCCTGTATGGTGATTTTAAATTAATTCCGTCAATTTTTTGACAAATATGTCCGCCATTTTGGATCTACCATTTTGAATTTTGGAATGCGATTCCAGATGCGTTATCAGCGACCCCAAAAACCTCTATATACGGATTTTTGGGAAAAACCGACTACTCCTTGATATTTTGCCGAAATTTTCGAGAATTGAAACACTGTGTGGCGGTTTAAAAATTTAAATAAATCCTGCAATTTTGCGAATTTAAAAAAATCGTAAAGAAATTTCAAGAGAAATTAATCCTTACCATTTGGGTCGCCAATTTTGGGACACCCTGTAGAACTCTTGTTAGTACTATTCATTTTAATACTAAAATCTTTATTCCCTATATCCATGGCACATGTGCAGTAAAACAAAATAATTTAATTGATTTTTTAGAACACAGCAACGATTTAAATCTAAATTTAATTGACTGTTACAATACAAAATTCATATACAAGGTGTTTCTACTCAAAGTGAACAACATAATAGAGACTAACTCTTTTTTTTAATAAATATTTTTCATTTGAGTTTTTGTTTTTACTTAAACCTCTTTATCTTCGTTATTTGATATTTTTGAAAAAAATGTTTAACACAAAAATAGTAGATATTAATCTGACGATTTTGTAAAGCCCGGAGATAAAAATGGTTATGTAAAAAGAAAGAAGGTCGATAATTCAAAAACAATAGCTCAAATGAAAATAACTTATTTAAAAAAATAGTTTTTATGAAATCAACAACCTCTTTTACGTTATGATACATACACTTAATCGAACATTATTAACAATTCATTGCCATTTTTATTATTAGACTAGTCGACAAATTCGAATTGTATGTGAATAAAATAAAACAAAATGGTTTTAAAAGGTTTTAAAGTATTTTTAATATTACTGCGTCTAAACAAATTATTTCCTTTAGAAATCTTTTCAAATAACTTTTCTGTATGTCTTAAAATCGGACTATACCCTGGGTTAATAATCCATGGACCTAAATTAAAATAATATTTTGTTATTTCTACATTAGCAAAATTTTATGAAAAAAAATAGCTGGGTTGAAACCAGAAAAAGGCCAAACCACTGGACCTAAGGGACTGAAATTTTGACAGTTTTTACATTTTGTTTTTTGGCATACTGGAAAACTCATGGAGCCTTCATGTGTAAACTTTGTAAATTTAATATGCAAAAAAACGTTTAATATTTTTTTTGCGACGATGCTAAATTTTCAAAAAACTCCACACTTTGGAATATTTTTGCGACGTAGACAAATTTCCAAATTCCAAAATCTGTGTTTTGCTTTTTTGCGATGTTGCCAAATTTCCAAAAATTCCCAGAATCTGAATTTTTCAAAATACCTACACAACATTACTAAATCTTTATGTGCTGCTAAATTTAAGTGTTGTCAAATTTCCAAAAATTCACATAATCTTGGATTTTTTTAGCTTATTCAGGATACCTTTATTAAAGTCATCTTGCATTATTTGGCGGTGTTTCCGAATTTCCGAAAATTCCTAGTACTTGGGAATTTTTAAAAATCTTCATATACTTTCAGTGAATTATCTTGCACTATTTAGCGGTGTTGCCAAATTCAACCTGATTTGTTGCATATACAGTTAATGAATCAGAGAGAAAGATATAGCTATGTATCTATCTATATAGAAATAATGAATTTTGATTTAAATTTGAAATGACCCTTCTCCTTTTACCTAGTTATAATTATAATGTTCTACTCAAAATGAACAACGTAATAGAGGTTATAGAGATCTAAGATTATTGAGACTCACACTATGTTTAAATACATATTTTTTATCTATTTTGCGTTCATAATGACTTCATTATAACACCGCTTTCGGTGCTGTAATGAGATACTTTATCCCACCCAAAATTTTGATTTTATAGGATGGCTATACTTTAAACAGCATAATATTTTGCATATTGGTTATAATATTTTTATGATTTTCTTTTCTGGAAATAAATTTTGTTTAACAACAAAGAAAATCCTTTTTTTCTTCTTTAACATTAACAGCCGCTTATTGTAAATAAGTAAATTAAGGACGGCATGGCGAATCGATTTTGACATTAACTTTCAAACCATTCACTGTGATACCAACTATCTAAAGTAAAATTTGACCAAATTAAATTTAAGGTTTAAAATTAATTTTTTTTATAAAATTTTTGCAAAGTAGATACATAAAATAGCATAAAGAACTCATGTCATAAGACCTTTTGTCGCACTCGTCCATTACATAAATAAATTGCCCGCGTGCAACAAAATGACGTCTTATGAATTGTTGACCTTGTTTGTTTTTATATCTTTGTTATTTTTGTTGAAAATGTCTAGCACAAAAATTGTAGATATAAAATTTAATTTTTTTAAACTAAGACCATAAATAACAGAAATTTATGAGAGGTTTATGTAAGAACAAAAAAGGCCAATAATTTAAAACAAAAGCTCAAATAAAAAATATTTATTTGAAAAAAATGTCAGTCTCAATGAAATCTACAAAATCTATAATTATTATGTCGTCCATATTAAGTATTGTAATGTAACGTTAACGGTTGGTCAAAAATTATCCGTTTTCAAAATTAAATCTGTATTAATTATTTTATAATACTGCATTCATTTTTCCTGGCCCAACCCAGCTATTTTGTTTGTTTCACAGTATTTAAATCCTCGAGTTTAAAAATTAAAAAAAAAACTAAAAAAATATAAATATTAGTAATATTGTATTACTGTGTAATTTGTTATGAGATTGCTAATTTGCTTAGGTTCATTTTATAATAATGTTTATCACTATTTTTTTTAACCTTAAAAACATAAATTTCGCAATAAAATACCTTACAACAAATTACACAGTAGTATTTACATTTTTTTATTTTTTTTTAGAAATTTTTTAAAATTGATTAAATTTAAAAAAAAAAAAAGTGTTTTCTATTTTTTTAGTTAAAAAAATTGCTAAACCCTAAAGAACCTACAGCTGTATCAAGGAACTAGTTAATAGGAATTTTTATTATTATTTTTATGCAAGAAATCTCATCTTAATTTTTTTTAATATTTATAAATCGCCCTTTATATTCAAGAACTCTTATTTTAATTAAATATCTTTATTGATAAAAGCTTATTTAAAATCCTCTTTTACTTAAAATGTCTATAGATATATGTGTGTATGTGTAATATACATTGTACATTTTACATTTTATTTTTGATTTTTGATTTTTTGAAGAAAACCAAATTTTAATAAAAAAGTATGGATTGTTGAAAAAAATTAGAAAAATATGAAATCTATTCTAAACCATTTTTAAAAACTTGTTCGTAATAAAAAACGAAATCTGAATTAAAGAAATTACGATAAACATTATAAAGTTGAATATTATTTTATTTTTTTCAGCATTGAGTTTGTCCAGGAAAGATAAGAGGCATTTTTATTTTTTATTTCCTGTTTTGATTGTCAAAAAAATAACATTTACGTATAGTAAAATTTGTGTTTTTATCTACAGGGTGTTGAAATTTTCTTTGTAATTTTTGTATTCAAACTTTCTTTTTCTAATTACAAACAAGTTTGTCTTAAACATTTTTTTAAAACATTTTATCGAGAAAGAGTTTCCTTTGAAAAAACAAAAAACAATGCTTATTCCTCTTAGAAACTTAATCCTAGTTTTTATATTTATCTTATAGCATGATTTAAGTAATTATTATATTAAATTCAACCAAAACCTGACTAGACTCATTAAGCCAACAATTTCGACAATAACGATGAATAACATTTTAAAATCTTGTTTTATTTCACTCACAAAACAACTGTTGACTGGCTCAAATAAAAGTCACTAAAGCTCAACAATTACCGGAACCGGAGGCGAAAACTGGTTTAAAAACGGTTCAAAAGTTTAAAACTTTACTTGCTAGAGATCGTGTCCGTGTCGCGTTGTAAATTGGCACCAATATCTGCGAATTTTCGCCACGAAATAATCGTAGTCGCGTATGGCGAGACCGGTGATAGGAAATCTGGCAACGGGGAAACACCCGTCCACTCTGATAAGTAGTCAGTCGTTGTCCTCCATGCCTACAAAGCGAAAACAGAAGAAATTTGCCATTAAAACTAAGAAAAACTAAACAAATTGAGGGTTGGAGGTTTGGGGTTCCACAAGGTCCCGTACTAGGCCCATTAGAGTTTAAGGTTTTCATTGACGACTTTGGTGACACAAAAATTAAGTATTATATATTTACACTGCGTATTTTTATTTGGGAATGGGTGTTTTTAAAAAACTTAATTATTGACTTGTGCTGAAAAAATCATGATTCAGATCTTCTTTCCTAAAAAGCAAAAACCCCAAAGGAAAAATGTTTTACCTATAAGTTCGGCCCGCATGCGTCCCTTGTATCGGCAGCAGATGGTCATGCAGAAAATCCTCAGCGCCAATCGAAACTGCGGACTGAGCGTGATCAGGATGAGACTCTTCCAGAATGAGTTGAGGAAGCCCAGCCACACGATGCCGAAGTGCAGGAACTGCATTTGCAGCCTAGTGCCCGTAAAGTATTCGTAGAGTTTAACGCTGATGTACGGGGTCCAGGAGAACCAAAATGCAAGGACCTGAATAAAGTAAAATAATATTAATACAGAAGTTATTTTTATTACTCTACTGTACAAGATCAAAGTCTATCCGAAGATACGTTGTTAAGAGTTTTTCAATAATATGTTTTTAAAATAAAGAGTGTGGCCATAATTGAAATGTCAAAGTATTCTGTCACTGTCAGTTGTATTAAGTAAGGTTTGGAATTTAATCATATATTATATCACGAGAACTATGAATTTAATCGGTTAAACTACAAGATACATACACCTTAAGATAGGATGGTGCGCATGTTGGGCGGGGCTTAATGACGTCACTTGATGAGTGTTTTTAAATCTTTAACGTGCTTTTTAATTATCTGCTGCTAAAATTCTTGTTTTTGCGATGCTTTTGGATGTTAACTTGCTCTACTTTTTGTTTAACTTGTCGTTTTTGTGTTCGGTAAGGTTTGAATTACTTTTCAGCATTCAAATTATTGTTATTGCATAACCTGTTAGGTTTGTTTATTATTGTTTTTGTGTTGCGTTAACTTGTTTTGTTTGTGTTTTTTGATTGTATAGTGCCATTTGCTTTTATTAAAATGCGGTATGGCATATTTGGATGCAATTCGGACAACCAGTCTAAGAAAAACCCTTTAAATAAAAACATTAAATTTAATCGACTTCCGAAAAAGTTTGATTTGTGGAAACAGTGTTTAAATGCCACAAAAATAATAGACAATATTTACGTTAAGACCGCTCCTGTTTCCTATAAACATTTTCTGGACAGTGACTATAAGTTTAATTTAAAACACCAACGCTTAAACTACAGCCCTAAATGTTATCAAGGACTGAAAGCATTTATTATCCATATTATAACACTTTCTTCAATATTAAGTTTAATAAAAACGCACTATGTCCAGAAATTTCTCTATTTTCTTTGATAATATTACTATTATTCGTGTATTCGTACGGCAACTACTCATCAAGTGACGTCATGCGCGGGACGAACCAAAACTCGTACACGGGAGCATCCAGCCCTGGTTAAACTAGGCTCAGTAGTTTTTTGTTTGGTTTTTGTTGGAAAATGTTGAATGCAAAATAATTTAATAAAATCACGAGACCGCGTAGCGGTGTAGGGGTTTTATTTTTAATTATTTTGCATGAAACTATTTTCCAAAAAGAAAAATCAAATAAAAAACATACTGAGCATAGTTTGACAGATTAAATTTATAGGTTGAGTGATATACGTCTAGATTATTTCTCGAATTAAAGGAAACTATTTGAAAATTCATAAAATCTGACGTATGTGTCAAAATTTATAAATATTTTTTTAAAGAAAATTCCATTAATTTAAGGTGTGTAATAAGTAATAATTGATTTTTCGTAAACTAGATAACTTATTTTTTATTGTTTTCTAAAAAATGTTTGTTAAAACTTGTAAATAACACCATAAAATCGTAAACAAAAATCCAATACGGAGGCAAAAATTTAATCGCTGTTAAATAGTTCTAGTGATTTAATCGCTTATTTAAACGAAATTTATTCGAAAATTCAAGGCTTTTTATTGGTTCATATTATAATGAGGGAAATAATCAAAAAGATACACTCCTTAACAACGTTGGGGCTGGAATACTCAAATTATTCGAATACTAGAGTTATTTGAATACTCGAATTATTCGAATACTCGAATTATTCGAATACTAGAATTATTCGAATAGTCGAATTATTGGAATACTCAAAATATTCGAATACTCAAATTTTTGATTTTTAAAAATTTGGATATTCAAACATTAAAATACTTCAAATATTCAAATTTAAAATAAATATTATTGGAATAATACGTTTTTTATGATTAAATTTTGATATTAATTAAAAAAAAAGTTAATAAATTCCTCGTTTTTATTTCGCAGGCACTAACGAGTAATGTTGCGAGGTCTAGTGATTTAATAAACACTTTTTATACTTAATTGTATCTTCTTTTGCTAATAGCATATACAAAATATCTGTTTTTCGAGGCTAAGCATGGGTAAGTTCTAAAATATTTTAGCAGATTTATATTTCTCTTGAATAAATGCACTAATATTGCAAACATGACAAATTTTAGTCTTTTACGATATCTCGAAAACTAAAAATAAAAAGTCAAATTTCTTTTTGGATCATTAATCGGAGTACAGTTGCGCAGCTTTTTCTTAATTTAACCAAATATATAGTATCTCTAAAGATAAGCAAAATACCCATGCTTCGACTTAAAAAACAAACACTCAAATATCCTAATATTTTCAGTTTCGAATGTTCGATTACTCGAATATTCGAGTATTCGAATAATTTTGAATCGATTTCCAACTTTATTGGAATACTCGAATGTGAATAAACAAGAAGTTGCCGTTACTGTTAATGGGGAGCGATGCAGATTAATGTAAACGGAATTTGTATGTCCTGGATTAGAAAATATTGATTAAACGAACATGTTATTTTAACAAGATGTGGCAATCAATTGCAATTGATTTATTACGAGAAAAGTTCGAAGAATCAATTATTTCAAGAAATTCAGATATCGAATGGCCTCCAAGAAGCTGTGACTCAACACCTTTGGACTTCTTCTTGTGGGGCTATTTAAAGTCATTGGTCTAGGTTAATAAACCAGCAATAGTACGTTAAAGAAGTATCGGGGTTTTGCGCGCCATCTGGTGGCGCTCGATAGCATTGTGGGAATTCAACAATTGTCAACAATACATTTAAAGCATACGAACTGCACATCATTTTTAAATAAGTTAATAGTTTTTTCACAAAAGAGAGGACAAATTTTGTTCGCAAAGTTTTAATTACACATCTAAATCGCGCACGTCATTTGTGTTTTGCATTCCAAGTAAAAAATGAAAATTTGGCTTAGTACTCAATTTTAATGTATTATTCCTTAAATCATTGATTATGAAACTCAATGCTTTTATGCTTTACGTTAGTGTGTATATTTTATCTAAGAGATTATGGTGAATTATTGTGTTTTAAATTGTAAATATAATTCAAGAATTAAATCGTTGCATTTTCATGTTTTCCCTAAGCATTCAATTCGGTACGTATATTTTAATTAACTATTGATAACTTTACCTAATATAAATTATATTTAAGTTTGGACATTTTTAAGAAATCCAACCAAAAATGGATAACGCTTATCGAAAAGGAACCAAGCGCCAATAACTGTTTCTGTGCTTAGTAAAATTATTTGTAAAATAACTCATTTAACAGCATTAAAATGAGTTATTTTCTAAATAACCCGGTAAACATTTAACGTAACACAGTATTGCCGTTATGTAACATAGGAGTCACATTGCAATGTAACGATGTTACTAAAATGCAACGCAACAGTTACCTAAACTAATGGTAACATTGTTACCGTTCCAAGTTAACCAATAGGCAATATAACAGTAACGTAACATTGCGATACTATTGTAATGTAACAAAATTACCAATAAGCAATATAACAATAATGTAACATTGTGAAACTATTGTAATGTAACAAAATTACCAATAAGCAATGTAACAACAATGTAACATTGTGAAACTATTGTAATGTAACAAAATTACCAATAAGCAATATAACAGCAACGTAACATTGTAAAACTATTGTAATATAAAAAAATTACCATTAAGCAATATAAGCATGTAACCTTGTGAAACTATTGTAATGTAACAAAATTACCAATAAGCAATGTAACAACAATGTAACATTGTGAAACTATTGTAATGTAACAAAATTACCAATAAGCAATATAACAGCAACGTAACATTGTGAAACTATTGAAATATAACAAAATTACCAATAAGCAATATAACATTAACGTAACATTGGGGAACTATTGTAATGTAACAAAATTACCAATAAGGAATGTAACAACAATGTAACATTGTGAAACTATTGTAATATAACAATAATGTAACATTGAGAAACTATTGTAATGTAACAAAATTACCAATAAGCAATGTAACAACAATGAAACATTGTGAAACTATTGTAATGTAACAAAATTACCAATAAGCAATATAACAGCAACGTAACATTGTAAAACTATTGTTATAACAAAAATACCATTAAGCAATATAACAATGTAACCTTGTGAAACTATTGTAATGTAACAAAATTACCAATAAGCAATATAACATTAACGTAACATTGGGAAACTATTGTAATGTAACAAAATTACCAATAAGCCATATAACAGCAACGTAAAATTGTGAAACTATTGTAATGTAACAAAATTACCAATAAGCAATATGACAGCAACGTAACATTCCAAATTTATTGTAATTTGTTACGTAACAGTTACATTTATGTTACGTAACAAACATACTTATACACATCATTTACATCTCGCTCGTGTTACCACCTCGGCAAGGTATATAAACTAAGTTAAGAGAGCGCTCCATGTCCATTTGTCATTAGACCTCAAACAGTTTGCCTGATTATAATTATGGGGAAGTCAGAATACAATATTATGTATCATTTGATACGCTTTAGAGTTAAACTGACCGGACTTTCTCATGTCGAGCATATTAACGTTGCAACGTAACAATGTTACATAACCGTAAAGGCCATGTTATGTAACATAACTTGGATTGTGAAAAAGAAACGGCAATGTAACATTGTTACCTATTTGCAATCATCAGGTTATGTAACTGTAATGTTACATATTACGATTGTTACATAACATTTTGATTAATGTTACGTTACAGTTATGTTTCACTGTCATAACGGCTATGTAACAATGTTACTTCAATGAGTGGGAAATAGGAACCTATTTGCAACCGTCAGGTTACACATCACAATCGTTACATAACATTTTGATTAATGTTATGTTACAGTTATGTTTCATTTTCATAACGGCAATGTAACATTGTTATGTAACAATGTTACTCCAATGAGTGGGAAATAGGAACCTATTTGCAACCATCAGGTTATGTAACTGTAATTTTACACATCACAATCGTTACATAACATTTTGGTTAATGTTACCTTACAATGTTGACCGTGAATTTTATTTACCCAAGAAAAAATTTTTGGCGCTGGGTTCCTTTTTGTAAACGTTATCCAATTATTAGTTGTAGAGCTTTATTAACGTACGCATGTGAAATTTGCCCAACGAGTGCGTAGCACGAGTTGGGCAATCGCAAAAGTACGTTAATAAAGCGTTATCACACGTATATTGTACAAATTTTTATCTACGCCTCTAAATGAAAAAATAAACGGTAATTATTTTTGTCTAAGACTTAATTTAGGGTTATTTTGACATTTTGACTTTTTTATTTGATTGGTTAAAAGCAGAGCGTGCGTTAATGAACTTCTTATCTCACTCAAAATGAGTGGGATAAGAAGTTCTTATCTCACTGGCGTAGATAAAATGTCTGGGACATGAGCCAAATTTAAAAAAAATAGATTAATTAATTTATATATAAATTGTTTACTTTATTAACCAAGGATGTTATGGATTGCTATAAAGCAACACAAAGTTCTGGTTATTCAATATTAAAAAAAAAACATGTATGTAAGTTTTATAAAACGCTTATAGGACATGCGAAAATGTGTGTTTCACAAGTTTCAAAATTAAAAAAAAATATTCTGAAATAAATAAACAAAAATTTTCTGAAAGAGTTTACTAATGGCTTGTTAGGCTTTCACTTATTTTTTAAATCAATAAGATCCGATAATTTTTAACAAAGTTATTGGAATTCCAACTTACGGACAGCGGAAGGCGGGTGTTTTTTGAAAACGACCCAAAGAAAACATATCACTTTTAAGGAAAACCTTTATAACTATAATTTGTAATATAAATTACTTGATTTATTTAATTAATCAAAACTCACCAATGCAAAACTCATAACATGACTGGGGTTGCTCAAATTCTCCGACAGCGCGGTGGCGTACTCCTTATCGTGGAAGGGATATCCGCTCCTCAGCTTTCTGAGCATGTTGAAGATGTAGGTGTAAGTGTAGACGATGGTTATGAGGCTGGGGCCTAGCACGAGGATGGAGAGCGTGACGGAGTAAGCCGCCATGCTGCCCCAGTCCAGCATGCAGATGAAGGCCTCCTTGTCGAACAGCGGCTTGTTGAATCCCAGCAGCGGTGGACAGCAGAGCATCGCTGCTGAGATCCAAGTAAACGCCATCCAACATTGACATCTAAAACAATGTTTAAAGTCAAATGGGGATTTTTTCATTTTTCATTTTCTTGGACATTTAATTCGATTCCATGTGCTAGCTCAAAAGCAACAATGCATTGTTTAAATATTGAACAATAATGTATTAACAGTACGAAAAAATTTGATTATTTTTCCTCCTATGAAAAATTACTCATTTTTTGTGCGATCCAATAATATAATATATATAACAGCTTTGTTAACAGCTAGACTAAATAGTTAAAAAAAATATTCACTGAATAACCGTAACAGCTACATTTTAAAATTATTTTAATTATATGTTGCACATTTACGAAATATAGGATTCGTGGTCCATTGAAAGTTTCTGGGAAACGACAAAAGATATCTATTTGAAATTTTAAAAGCGTTTATTATCCATTTAAGTCTATTTTTCTAATCAACTTTGTTATTTCAAATAGAACACCCCATATACAGGGTGTTTCAGAATAAGATGCTGAACCTTAAGGGTGTGAATTCTTAGTTGATTTTAAGAAAAAAATTCAAATAAACCTATGACCTAAACCTCTTAATTTCTGAGTTACAGGGTGTTAAAGTTTAAAAAAAAAATCGTTTTTTATCATAACTTTAATAACTTCCTAGATATTTTTATAAAATTTGGCACACGCCTTCTAAGCATTAACAGTAAGTTTTTGATGTAGAAGATTTTTTATTTTTTTTACCAGTGGCGTCCGTACAGGATGTGGTCTAGATATTTTTGGAAAAATATTTTGCACGCCACTGCTATTTTTCAAAATAAAAATTATTTTTTAAATCCCCAATCATTTTAGGGCAAATTTGATTTCTTGACCATTTTTCGTACGACTCACGGTTTTCGATGAAAAAAATAAAAAGCATTTAATGCACATATTGAGAAAACAACTCTCTTAAAATGAATTAGTCAAAAATAACTAATTATAAGTCATATTTGACTAATTGTCATAGCGAAAAAGCAGTCACTAATAATTAGTCAAATTCCACTGAATGAAATAGTTAAATTAGTAAATTTAAATTTAAAAAAAGTTTTGACCCAGCCTGGGATTTAACTCACGTCTGTCACTTGAGAAGCTTGTCAACCTAACCTCATAACCAGTCGGCTGTCAGCCGTTCTTATAAAAATAAATTTTATTTGTCAATAAATATTCTTCATAATATTTTAAAGTTTAATATATTATTTGTGATACTGTTTTGAGCTAAACTTTTTGCATCTTTATTTGTTTTATGGGTCATTTAACCATGGAGAGGTATATGCATTTAATTCAAATAATACTTTGTTGTTGGCCGTAAACGATTAAAGAAATTAGTTACTTTTAACTGTCAGAAATAGTCAAATATGGTGACTAATCTTAAATTAGTCAAACTTTAACTATTTACGTTGTAAAAAATAACTATTTAAAAGTGAAAACGACTATTTTATTAGTAAAAAATGCTGGTACTAATTCAAATAGTAGAATTTTAACTATTTCATTTTTAGAGAGAATGCCATGATTAAATAAACATTAAAAATAAATTTAATTATAAAATAATTTTAAAAGAACTAACATTAAATAATGTAAACAAAAACAAAAATAATTTAGATTAGCTGTTGAAAGTGGCCACCACCTGCAAGTATGCATGCTTCAGCTCTTCTCCTCATTGAGTTTCGTACCCTTAGAAAAATTCCTGGAGTATTTCTGATAGTGTCACAACAAACTATTATGCGGTTTCTCAACTTCTCCTCAGTATTTATTGGGGTGCTGTAAACCAACGCCTTAAGATGTCCCCATAGGAAAAAATCTAGACTGTTTAGGTCTGGCGATCTAGGTGGCCACGATTGTGTTCCTCCGCGCCCTATCCAGCGATTTCTATAATGTTGATTTAAAAATTCTCGTGCCTGAAGACTGAAATGGGGAGGTGCACCATCGTGCATAAACCACATATGAAGCCGGGTAAAAGCAGGGACGTCGTCTAGCAAATTTGGTAAACTCTGTTCAAGAAACTGGCGATAACTATTTCCGTTCAATCTGCCTGGTAGAAAATAGGGTCCAAGTAAATAATCCCCAAGAATTCCAGCCCATACGTTTACAGAAAATTTTTGTTGGTAGTTGGATTCCGTGATGGCATGCGGGTTTTCTTCAGTCCATAAATGATTGTTGTGAAAATTTCTTATGGCGTTCCTGGAAAAATTAGCTTCGTCCGTAAATAAAATTTTGGCGCCAAATTGTCGGTAACCATTTAAAGAAACCATTGGCAAAAATTTAAGCGTAATGGAAAATCCTGAGGAAGTAGGGCCTGGACCCGTTGAATATGGTAAGGATATAACAAATAATCATGAAGAATTCTCCAAACTAGAACATGAGTAATATTTAAAATATTCCCAATTTTTCTAGTACTTATTTCAGGGTTTTGATCCACTAAATGTAAAACTGTTTCTTCGGTTTCCGGTGTTCGTGCAGTATGGTGTGCCCCTTTCAGGTAGTTTTTTGTTTTAAAAGATCCCGCTTCACATATCTTTCTGTGAGTTCCTGAAATCGTATTTTTTTCATCGAAAACCCTTAGTCGTACGAAAAATGGTCAAGAAATCAAATTTGCCCTAAAATGAATGGGGATTTAAAAAATAATTTTTATTTTGAAAATAGCAGTGGCGTGCATAATATTTTTCCAAAAATATCTATACCACATCCTGTACGGACGCCACTGGTAAAAAAAATAAAAATTCTTCTACATCAAAAACTTACTGTTAATGCTTAGAAGGCGTGCCAAATTTTATAAAAATATCTAGGAAGTTATTAAAGTTATGATAAAAAATCGATTTTTTTCTAAAAACTTTAACACGCTGTAACTAAAGAATTAAGAGGTTTAGGTCATAGGTTTATTGGAACTTTTTTTCTTAAAATCAACTAAGGATTCACACCCTTAAGGTTTAGCATCTTATTCTGAAACACCCTGTACATTCTACTGATATAATTATTGTAATAATTGTAAATTTTACAATATTTATAGTGGATTTTTTGTGGCTTTTGATAATCATAATAAAATATCATTTTATTATGATAATAGGTCTAAAAAATTTAGAATAATAATTGTAAAATTTCCAATTACTTCTTTCAGAGTATTGAAATGGCAAACAAATGCATTCCTTGAAGAGTTTTTTCATTTTAATTCGACATTGCCAAAGTATTGGATAAATATTGTAGAATCGTTAAAACAAGTTGTTATTTTAAATAAACATGTTTGTTGCTTTAAAGTTTAATTTTATTTAAACTGTATAAAACTGTTATTTTTATTTAAAAAGTTAACGTTCTCGGTCAAATACTTGTAAATTAGTAATTCAATATTGTAAAATGCTTAATTCAACATGCAAAACTTAACAAATCTAAAACTCTTTCATTAACATGCTGAGACTATCGTTTGTATTTAATATTTATAAACATGTTAAGTTAGTCAGTTTTCGTTTTCAACACTTTCTTTCTCTCAGTGCACAAAATAGTTTTTTTCAAAATTTTTGTAAACAATTTATAAAAAAATATTAAATAAAAACTTGCCTTGTCTTAGTTTGCAACGTCTCGTATCTGAGCGGTTTCCTCACAGCCAGATATCGATCTACACTTATCCACATAAACGTGTACACTGTAACAGCCCACAAGGTAACTTCAAGGTATCCCACAAGTCGACACAAAATGTCCCCGTAGACCCATTCGTGAACCACAGCGGGATATATCGATAGAGGTACCACCAAAAGTCCGCACAACAAGTCCGCCACTGCCAACGAGAGCAGGTAACAATTTATCACCTCGGAAGGGCCTGGAAAATAAGTTTAAAATAAAAAAAATAATAAGTTATTACTAAAGATGGGATATTTAGGTACTAAAAACTGAAAAATAGGTAACTAAAAAGGTACTAAAAAAAGCATTTTAGGTTAAAAAAACAGCATTTTAGGTAAAAAAACATTAAAAGTTCAAGTTTTGTTTATAATTTTGTTAAGCCGCATTTATATGCAATAAACTGTGTTTCACTGAGTGACACTCACTACACAGAAGTTCTATGACAACTATGATAAGCTCACTACAAAGAAGGTAACTGTAAAGAAAGTTACTTTTACAGTCTGTGAAAAAATTCTATACCGTTGAGTTGCACGCCCTAGATAAAATATTGGCGCAAAATTTAAAAAGAGAACAAAAAAATAAAATAAGTAAAAATACGTAAAAATAGGTAACAAATAGGTGAAAATAATCTGACAAATAAAAAAATATGTAACAAAAGTATAAATAGGTAGTTTAAAGCAAAAACCTCCAAAAAAGGTAAAAAAGTTGAAAACAACTTAAAAAAATAGGTAATAAAAGTATAAAAAGGTAGTTTAAAGCAAAAACCTCCAAAAAAGGTAAAAAAGGTGAAAACAAGTTAGGTTCATATAAAAGAAAATCTTTTAAAACACATTTTGGCATTATTGGTTTTAAAATAGTTACATCGGCTGAAAAAAGGTAAGATAACTAATAATTATTACTATAATGTGGACATTTTTTTAATCTTTGATAATTTAATCTTTTTTGATGATATTTGCTTCGTTTTATACATTTTTTATTTTGTATATTTTCAATCGTATGTTTTTACCAGTGGCAGTTCCTCCATAGGGGCATATAAGCACGTTTTAAAACAACTTTTGTATTCAAATTATTTGCCCACAAATAAATAGTATAGTTATTAGGTATTAAATTTAATAAAATAATTATAAACGAGTTGCATACAATAGTTTTTATAGTACAAATAATTATTATCTAAAAATGATTTAAATTAAATTTTTCTATAGGGCGACATCTACAAAAAAATAAAGCAACTCGCGTAATAAATTTTAACTTGGAAATCTGTATTACCGGCGCGCGCCAGTCAAAATTTCAAATTTGTATGTGTAAATCGAAATTTATCCCTTGGAAATGAAACAACCGTTTGAATGATAATATAGAAGCAGTTTTTTTATAGTGAAAGTGAAGAGATTGTTTTATGGGCACTTTACGGTTTAGTCAGTACAAACTTCTACATCTGGTGGACTTCGAATGTATTGCGTGAATTTAAGAATTGTCAACAATACATTTAAAGCACAGATTATACATCATTTTTAAATAAATAGGTAGTTTTTTTACAAAAGAGAGGAAGGCAGAAGTCTTACTCGACAGCCAAGTTGCGCACGTTATTTGTGTTTTACGTTGCAAGGAAAAAATTAAAAAACTTTTTTAGTACTCGATTTCGATTGATTGTTCCTTATTTCATTGATTAAGAAACTCAACGCTTAAATGCTTATATAAAGTCTATTCAAATCCAAGCTGGACTAAACAAAAACGCCCAGACGCGTGATAACTCGTTTCTATTGGTCGATTCTGATGGTGTGACTCGGACCAATAAGAGCTCACAATCCGAGTCACACCAGCTTGGATTTGAATAGACTTTAGTTACGTTAGTGTGTGTATATCAAAGGGATCATGTTGAATTATTGTGTTTTTAATTGTAAAACAAATTCAAGAACTAAATCGTTGCATTTTCATGTTTTGCCAAAGGATCCAATTCGGTAAGTACATTTGTTGGTGCAGAATTAACTAATGATAACTTTACCTAATATAATTTATATTTAAGTTTGGACATTTTTAAGAAATTACTAAAAAATAATTTTTGCACAAACATAACCTTAAAATCAACCATTTTTATATTTAATTTCTCTAAAAAACGCCGATAACTGCATTTTAAACAACAAAATATACCTACGAATTCATGGCAACATAATATTATATATAATACATAATATAATGGTATTTTACCGTTGAGTGGAGACTTTCTTAATCAACGCTTTTAATAATCCTAAATGCTGTTTAAATTTAGACGACTTATTTGTTTGACGATTTTTACTGAATTGAAATGTTTACACTTTTCACGTTAATCAATACTAAAATGTTTATTTATTGTATCTAATAGGTACAATTTATATTTACAGATACTGTATGCAATTTATTTCTTTATTCATATTAACACTGTTTATTGGAAAACCGGTAATAACTCAACCCAGGATTTCCTCTCGAAATACACCCAACAACACAACAAATCGAGCCACGGTTTTTTTTTTACGATATTTTTTAACATTTTCCGGCTTTATTCTCAAAAACACTCGTTTGTAACAAAAGCTTTTGACAGCTGATTATTAAAAGTTATACTCTTGTTACGATGATAACAGCCGAGTGGTGGCGCTACTAGCGATACATCTTTATTATTATTTTACAATTTTAACTATTATATGACATTTGAAAACTGTCAACCAACTTAAAACTAACTTCAGCCCGTTTATTGGAATTCCCGATAGAATTTCTACTGGCGTTAAAATCTTAAATTTTTCTGTGTAAATCAAAATTTATCCCTTAAAAATAGAATAACAATCGATATAGAAGCAGTTTTTTACAGTAAAAGAGAAGAAAATAACGCTTTAGCAGTTAAATCTAGTTAACTGCACTACTACGGCGAAATAAAAAGGTCAGTTTATGTATTTTTTTTGTATCGAGATAATAAAATAATTTTTACGTTTAGTATTAATTTACAAGAAAGGCACTTTATTTTAACGATTGTATGACATTTGACAACTGTCAACTAATTTAAAACTAACTTCTGCCTGTGACTAAAAAACCTGTTGCTTATTTTAGCCCGTGACTAAAGCGCTATAAAATTTAAAATCACTTAGTGTCATGGTAACATTGACGATAATAGCCGTTTTAAAAGTGGAAGTAGAAAAAAATACAACAAAAATTGACACATTATAACTCTATTTTTAGGTTGTTTTCTATTTGTTTATTTTTTAGCATTTCCTTTGTTTACATATTTTAAATTGTTTACAACCCTTGGAGTACTTTTTTTTATAAATTAATTACCGACGAGAATTTTGGTGGAAAGTTGTTTAATTAATTTTATAATACATTAAGAAACTTCTAACCTAATAAAGTTGGATTAAAGGTGTGTTTGCGATAATATTATGTAGGTTAAAATAAACGTCTAAAACGTAGGCTTGCGTGTGCACTGTTTAACGATTAATTTACATTTAAATTATGTGAACAGTTTGCTTAAGGTTTTTTTTATATAAAAGTTAAATTTTATACAAGATAACAAAGTGTTCGAATTAAAATTAAAATGAGTTAAAACATTTTAAAAACAAAGCGATAAAAATAATAGAGTACCTACAACTTAATAAAGAAAAAGTATACGGTATTTTAAAGTTAAACTATAGTTATATAATGAAAAATCAAAACTTATTAAAAAATGATGTTCTTTAAAATGAATAATTTTGCATATAATTATGTAAATAGTTCGCTTAGGAGTTCTTTTATAACAAAACTCGGTACAAGATAAAGTTTGCCCTATAAAAAGAAATAAGCAAGATTGCGTTGGTTTCAAGTATGTATATAAACTTTATAGATCAAAAATCTTTACGGTACATCCGTTACCAAAAAACTTTACTATGCAAAATATTTACATATAAAAGATACGGGAGCATATATGTCAAAGAAAACCGTATGTTATGTAGTAGAAATATTACTAAAATATGTTTTGAACATTTATTAAAATTTAACAAAATTGTTTTTAAACAAAATTATTAAAAGTAGTATACAGTATATGCTTGAAAATAATCCCTAAAACCTAAAACTAAAAATTGTTCTACTCCCACCTTTAAAACGCACTTTATCGTACATGTTTCCATGTCACTAAGTGACCTTTTAAATACACATTGACAAGTTGTGGCTTTACGCCGCTTTAGTCACGGGCTGAAGTTAGCAACAGGTTTTTAGTCACGGGCTGAAGTTATTCTTAAGTTAGTTGACAACTGTCAACTTCATAGATGGCGCTTTATACAAATTTTTGATTTAAATCATTTTAAGATAATAAGTATTTGTCGTAGAAAAAGTATAGTATGCACCTCGTTTATAATCTTTTCTATACACTCATTAATTTAAGCACTCGCTCGCAAGATCGCTCGTGCCTAAATTAAATTCGTGTATAAAATGGCGTTTATCAAACTTGATACATAATATACTATTATATAACTTATATAAATATATATTTTGTAAACAATCGTCTTTTTAAATATTTTTGGAAGCAAAATATACACACTTTACAGGGTGTACCAAGTATTTATTTAAAAAGCAGCAAGGTTGGTTAAATTAGAGAAAAATTGCATCTATTAAAACGAATATGGAAATTTTCAGCGGTTCTTAAATATTTAACAAAAACTGAAAACCTGTCAAAACTATAAATTGTTATAACTTCGTTATTCCTGGGAATAATAAAAAAATAAGTTTTACACATGGGCGATTCCATGATTACTAACGGGACAAAAAAAAGAAGACAAAGTGTTTTATAAATATTTTTAAAGATATGTTGTTCCTATAACAATAATTTTATGATAGTTTGTATTACTTAATTTTATTGCTGAGAACTATCATAAAATTATTATTATTATTATAGGAACAACACATCTTCAAAAATCTTTATTTTGTTTTTGTTGGTCCGTTAGTAATCATGGAATTGCCCATATAAAAATTCAAATTTTAATCTAATTTTTTTGCCTACTAGATTTTGAGTTACCACCAACATTTTTGTTTTTTCAATGGCCGCCATACTAAAATTTTACATGGTTTGATGGAAAAAAAATCTAGGATTCCAAATCATAAGATGTATGTAGCCTAGGGTTGCCATCCCCAAATTTTGAAAACCAGGATTTAAAGGTAGAAATACCAGAACATTTTGGTGTTAAAATACTGCGAGTAGTTAATAGTAAAACGCAATAAAAACAGCTTCAAGGAAATTCAGAGCTTTAGTACTGGGAAAATCTAATTTAACTTTGATATCAGAAAAAAACATAAAAATAGTTAATCCACCCCTAAGAATTGTTTCTGGGCCCGACCCTGATGAAACTCAACTAATATATTGCTATAGCAAGAATAATTTTGGATGAAAGTATCTTCAATTAAATTATATAAGAAATTAAATAAAGGAATTAATTTTTAAGGTATAAAATTAACAATGTCTCGGTAATAGCTTTAAAAAAACCAGAAGGCTACTTAAAAACTATCCAGGTCACCCCAAAAAGCAGGACATGTCCTTGGAAAACAGGACGGTTGGCAACCCTACTATAGCCATCTCTTTTTTGAAAAATTTGTTTTTTAATTTCGTTACAAGCGTTATTAAAGCAAACGCACCGGATCAAGTCTTCGCATTTAAAAAGAAGTAAGCGTAAAGTCGAAATACGCTGGAACGGATGTCAGTTACTTTGAAATATGACAGTAAAAGTTGTGAAAGGATTTCAAATAAAAAAACACGTTATCTGTAATGGATATTTCTCTTACACAATTGTGACATTAATTGAAGATGGTCGAAGTCTGTGTATGTGTCTAATACGAACACTTTATCGCGTTAACTTTAAAACAGTGTATCTTTGTTAACAGAGATAATAAAACAACAACAAAAAATCAGGAAAGTTAGGACTAGGGTTTTAAAGTTTTAAAACTGTTTTTTTTTTCGTTCTTTCCCAGGCCTTCAAAAATTGATTTTTTGTTTGGAAAATATACACATTTAAAAAAAAAGTAGCTAACAACATCTTAATGTTATTTTAATTAAAAAATGTTCCTTTATTACAGAAAAAAATAAAACTAAATTGAATTAAATTAAAATGATTTTAGAAAATAAAAGTAAACGTTAAATATACTGTCAGTTGGGTCCTTTTTTGCAAAAAAAAAGTCCATTGAAAATATCCAATTATAAAATAATAAATTAAAGTTAAATTACAAAATTATAATTTTATAAATTGTGAAATAAAAAGAAAGTTATGTTAATACAGCACCAAATATCTTTTTTTGCGGTCCGGTAATATATTTTTACTGAATTAATTAAAAGGAATAATAATTAAATATTAGTTCTTGATATCAGTGAAAGGATATCATCCATATTTTTTTTCGCATTACCCTTTGAATAAAATGACAAAAATGCAAAAGTCAATTTTTCTGAAAATTTCCTAATTGTTCCGTTTTTTCCGCCGGCTCAACTTCTCCAGAAATTTTCAAATCCTAGTTAGGACTACAGTATGATCCGCTGTTATTGCTAATGCACCACAAAATAAATGAAACTTTTTACTTATGTATAGGCTTAGAATAAAATTATGTATAGGCTCAGAATAAAATTGATACTACATCATCAAAAAAATTAAAAAACAAAAAATCATTAAAATCAGATGAGCTGTTCGTGAGGAAACAATGATTGAAGAGATAGGATGAAACTCGCATAAATAACGAAACTAATAATTTTTGGTTTTTTAGTTTTTTTTCAAATGTTTTTTTACAAGTTTGTTCTTTTTCAAATGTTCTTTTTCAAATATTAGAATCGCTTTTTCCAATTTTTTAATGTCATTTTAATATGCTTGAAATTACTTTTCTTTGATATACTCCAGAGCCAAAATTACACCACAAATTGTTTGCCTACATTTTGTGTATTTTGTCAGTGGGGGGGTGCTAGCAGAGTTGGGCTTAGTCACTAATATTTTCAATCGATTGACGAATCAAACTAAAAAGTTTGTTATTATTTTAGTTATGACTAAATTAATCGACTAAAATCAAGTAATCATTAGATATTAGTTTTAGTTTGATTGAAATTTGAAAGTTGACCAATTGGGTTAGGTTTATCTAAACATTCTTTTGAAGATGATTTATGTCGACCACTTTTGAAAACTGGGTTTGTAAAGTACAATAGGCCTATGCCGTCATCGGCACCAGTTGAACAAATGTTTTTCCAAGCAACTATGATCACACAAATTTGGATTTAAGATGTTTGAAAAAGAGTTGTCATGAAAAATAATTTAAATATAATGAATCGGAAACATTGACGTACCCAACCAAGAACAAATCATATGTTTAATTAAATGTTAATAAATAAAAAAATAGCATAAGTAAATATAAGATTATTTATATAAACATATGAGACTTGTTTTCTGGCACACTATGTTTGACTTAAATAAATAAACTATTTGTATACTTTATTGATTCGTTTACTTTGCATTTTCCCCGACATTACTATTTCAATTAAAATTTTAATCAAGGTTAAAAACTAAAACTAATTTAATCGATTATTTCAATTTTTTACACGAGTAAAACTAATTCAATCGTCAGCTGTTAGTTAAACTAATTACGTTAGTTTTGGTTTTAAATCGTTATTCAAACAAAATTTTTGCCAACACTAGGTGCTAGTAAGTAATTTTTTGGGATGCCGTGGGGGAGAATGAAGAAGTGGGCAAAATTTGAAATTATGTGTGCAAAATTGGAGGATCAGGATAGCACAAAAATTTCGACAGTAAAAATAATAAATATAAAACAATGAAAGTGGCACAATCTCATTAGGTTACCAAAAAGTGCTATATCTCTCTTAGTTTTAGTAATTTTAAAAATATTTTAAAAGGAAATCTCAAGAAATTTGTGGTAAACATAGGTATTTACTATTTATATTATTGGTGCAGGGGCCCACAGAGGGGTAGGAGGTAAGAGAGGCAATTTGCCATGGTCACCGAGTGGGCTTATTTCAATATTAATATATTACACTTAAAGTGATTGAAATTTATTGAAAGTTTTAAAAAATTTCATGAAATTTCAGACATTTAGGAAATTTTAATAAATTTCATAAATGTCGTGAAAATTTCAAGTGAAATTTCAAGTACAAGCAAAAAGTGAAATTTTCCCAACCCTACTTGTAGCTCTTCAAATAACAAAAAAAATAAAAGTATACACATAAAAGGATAATCCGTGCACCCTGTATAACAATGTATGGAAAAAACATTGTAAAATAAAATAAGAACACTTTTCTAAATATTATGAAAAGTATTATTTCTCTTTAAACTTTTTTGAATTGTTTCCGTTAAACAAGAAGCAACTTTATTTTCCGTCGACAATCATCCAAAGAATCTTAGGCAAACTTGTACAAACTTTACGTAGTCTGAAACAAAAAACAAACTTAAGTATCGCAAGTTGAATAAAAGTTGTTTTATACCTATATAACAATGATTATTTTATCACAATAATTATTAATAAAACTTTTCCTGGTGCATTCGCCATTATTAAAAAGGCACTTAAATTTAATCCCGGCGCATTCGCCAAAATTGCAAAACCATAGAATACGAATATATTCGTATATAAGTGCCTTTTTAATAATGGCGAATGCACCAGGAAAAGTTTTATTAATAATTATTGTGATAAAATAATCATTGTTATATAGGTATAAAACAACTTTTATTCAACTTGCGATACTTAAGTTTGTTTTTTGTTTCAGACTACGTAAAGTTTAACTTAAACATTATTACTCTGAAACGTTTGCAGGCGCTAGTATTGAATATTTCATCACTTTAAACTTTTATTGCGGAAATACACGTGGGTTTTATAGGACTGTAACCGAACCATATCCATTTATTTTACTGGGTTAATGGTTTTATTAAATAAATAATTTTACTCGAACGAAAACTATGTGCATTAGACTGCGGTGAAAATGGGTATAATAGAGATAGTCAGTTTTTAAAAAGCCCTAAATATTAATGTACAAAAACAATGGTTTCTAGACGTGTAGGCAACATTAACATAATTCAGCTCTCCCACGAGTAATACATACGTTATTTTTAGAAGGCGTGCGCGCAGACAATTTAACTTTTTAGGAGGTACGTTTTACCTAAAACATAATTTAAATACCGTTACACAAAAATATTAGATATACTTGATGTTTATTTTATACTATTTTTTACTTATAGGATATTTTTATATTCAAAAATAATATTTGGACATTTAATATCTCTGTTCTTTTATTGTGGATTGTTGATAGGCCAACTAGATTAATGCCATTAAATGAAGTCTTTTCAGGTAGAATAAAAGTTAACACTTTATAATTTATAGCCTATAAAGATAAAATATACGGACAACGTAAAAATCTATCCAGTCTTTTAATGGAAAGTTTTATGAGTTACTGGTTACTTAACTTAATTACTTCCCATAAATTGAAAGCTAAAACATAATAAGTTTGTTTTATGCCGGGAAGGAAATAATCGTTTAAAAAGTAAAAATAAAATTTGTGCCTTTTATTATGAGGAAACAGTTTAATAGAAAAGTTTGTATTTTTTGTTTTAATCTACTTAGTTTGTTAGTTAAATTTAAAAGTTTCGTTTAATGATTGCTGATAGAAAATGTTTTCTTTGCGTAACGGAAACTTTAACAATTGGAAGAAAATTAAAAAATTAATTAAAACTTTTGGTTCTATTCTATCCTAGTCTATTCTATTCTACTGTAGTCTATTCTAAACGGCAAACAAAGATAATTTTTAAATCGCGAGTTTGTTTTGCTTAAAGGTAATATTTTTACCAAAAAGCAAATTTAAGACCTTCGAAAATTACCCATTTTACCATCACTGTAACGTTACTTACCTTCATTATCATTATTATCCTCTACTGAATGAAAAGAAAAAAGTGTTATTAAATATACCTAACTGAAAGTCTAAGTAAGAAAAAAAATAGCAATTTGGTTGAATTAAAAAATAAATGTCCCAATTATAAAAATGACAATATTGTCATTTTAGTTTAAGCGAAAAAAGTACGGTTTTTTCAAAAGAGTATTTTTTAGGCAATCAGAATTAAAAAGAGCAATAACACAAAACTGGCTTTACTAAATAAGATATCCGAGTACATACTCGGAGAAAATAAAACAGCAACCATTAATGTGCAAAACACTAATCCACTTAATATAGAATGTCAATGTCAATGTACTATAGTACAATAGTTATCTGAAATCATACAATTCTAATAAAACCTCACGGGTTACTTTAACAAAAGCTTATTTTTTTATCAAGTACTTCTACCTAGGATCTTGCTATTTTAGATAATAAGGAAAGTGTACACTGTTAGGATTTTTATATTAGGACAATCAACACATAAAAATGTTTGTTTTAAGTCAAACAAATTCATAAATTTAAATGCATATACTAAATAAAAAGGTATTTTATTTAAAACAAATCTATAACTATTGCTATGAATTTAGCAATTTATTTTAACTAAATCTTTGATTTATTTAAAAGATATTTTATATTTTACTTTACAAGTGGATCTTAAAGCTATTAAACTTTTGTTAAGACTATTGCCAATAATTATGTTGAACGTATGAAATATTGTTTTAAGCCATTCATCATTTCATTGAATGGGGAATATACGAAATATTTAATAAAAACAATTCATTTAATCGCGGTATATTTAAAATAAAAAACATAAATTTACAGCAAACACTAAGTTTTTTGTGTGTACAGGTTAAATTTATAATATTATACGAAAACACGGTTACCTGCAACACCCTGTGTGTCTATTTAAAAACGAGCAAGTCTATAAGTCTGGATCTACAAAAAATATCAAACAATTCTGAAAATTGTTTCTAGGATATGTATGACCACAAAAATTACATTCACTAAGCACCCAACTCAATTTTTGTGTTACCACATTAAAAAGATTTTGGAAATAACAATATAAACAAAATAATTAAATTTTTAAAAAATACGCAAAAGATTTTTTATAATAATTGTCGTAAAACATTAGTAAAAGCTGAAGAACACAAAATAATTTTAACAAAAGTATAATAAACTAAAAAAGCATAAATAAACAAATTATTTAACAATAATCAAAACACTTTATTTAATATTATTTTGTAATTTTTGTCGCCAAATATATTGGCAATATTAAACAATTTAAATCCTCAATGGAATGTGTATGTTTTTGGTGGATTTTTTTTTTAGATTTATAAAAACTGCTGATTAGTTTTAATATTTAAAATAGTATTGTTCCAAAATGGTTTACACAACGGCTGAACGTGTTGAAATTATTTTTTGCGTCATAAATATGTACAAGAGCTGGATGCAAAATTTGAACAAACGGGATTTTTTTGCAATAAAAAAAACAACCTAGGCTACTCAATGAAGCTAGGCATACTAAGGTTCAGTTTGGTGTAGATCCCACAATATCACTCCGTTCAGCATCTAGAATCTAGATTCTAGATTGACAGGGCTTTGCCCTGAGTCTGGTAAGAAGGTGTTGAAACATCACAAATTCTACCCATTGAACTTGGCAAGGATGATGCAGATAGACATTTGGAATTTTGTTAAACCATCACCAATAAAATAACAAATCAGATACAAATATTAAAAACATTTGCTTCAGCAATGAGTGTACTTTTTATCTAAATGGAAATGCTAGCAAACAAAATTGTCGCTATTGGAGCAGTAAAAATTCTCATCTCATCAAAGAAAATCATATCCTCTATCCTCAAAAACTTAATGTATGGGCAGGAATTTTGGGAGTATATAGTATTGGTCCATTATTTATTGACCAAAATTTGAATGATCAAATTTATTTTGAAATGTTAGATGAAACAGCCACTAATAATAAATAAACTAGAAACTCAAAGAGGAGTGGATGATGAACTAGCTTTGGATAAAAATGTATTACATTTTCAACAAGATGGGGCACCACCTCATTATGTAGTAGCTGTTAGGGCTTGGCTGAATCAAATTATCCAGAACAGTGGATTGGTAGAAACTCTTCAACCAATAGAATTGCCTCCCAAATCCCCAGATCTGACACCTTTATACTTTTTCTTATGGGGTCACTTAAAATCTGTGGTCTACAAAACTCAGCCTCATTCAAGTGAAGATATGCGACAACGAATAGTTCAAGAATGCTGAGCTATTCCACGACAAACATTTTAAAAGGTTTGAAGGGAATTTGAGAATTGACTGTATCATTGGTTACAAAATAATGGGATTCACTTTAAGCATTTAATTTGAAGAAGCTAAAAATTAAAGTTTTTGTGTTCTCCAGTTTTTTTACTAATGTTTTTACAACAAAATTCTTTAATTTGATATTTAATTTAATTTGATGTTTAATTTGATATTTATAACATAACGAGAAATTGAAATTATAAAAACTATTTTGCGTATTTATAATTAAAGTTTAAAAAATTAAAAAAAAAATTGGTACCTTAGTGAAGGACATTTTTGTGGTTATACTGATGGCCCCTATATATCCTCGAAACGGTTTTGAGAAATTTTTGATATCTTATTTAGATTCAGATTTATATATCAAACAACTAATTTAAGTACGTCATTTCTGAAGAAGCTACTGTGTTAGCAAAACAATTTTTTTAATTTTTCAAAATGAATTTCTGAAAGTCAAAAAGTTTTGTTTTTATAATAAGTATTGTGTACAAAAGCAGATAAATCCGTTTTAAGCATTTTCGAGATTTCAGCGAAAAACTAATATTTTTCGTTCTGCAACATTTACACAAAGAACAACCCATGTATTCTATAGAGTATAGTGTTATAAGACCTGAAAACTCATTTTTTATTAATATTATATTATATTTTTTTCATTAGCACCAGCACCAGCTAGAATTGACAGGATTTATCCCCATTTGCTTGAAATAGAAATAAAAAATTCGTATTATCCATTGAACTTTACAGGATGGTCCAGGATTACTCTGAAAAATGTTAATGCCATTAATTTAAAATAAAAATAATGGAAATATATTTTATTTTTATTGAAACAAGAATTTAAGTTGTATTTATTTGGATTTATCTGCTTTTGCTTGATTTGCTACGTTTCGAGACCAGTATCTCTATATCAATTACTTGGTTTGGCTTAATTCACCAATGGATTAATCTTATCTTATGAGGTAAGATTAGTCTTACCTTATAAGATAAGATTAGTCCATTGGATTGCATTTACTGTTAGTTCATACCTTACTCATTTTTCAACAAAACTGGATTTATCTGCTTTTGTCACATTGCTTCACATACGAGGTGTGTTCAGAAAATATTGGAAATTTTCGTTTTTTGAAACAAATATTTATTTATTCGTCTACATTAATGCTGTCGCCTTCAAAATAGTCCCCATTGGATATTATGCACATGTGCCAGCTCTTCTTCCAATACTCGAAACACTTCTAAAACTCGATCTTTGGGCCTTTAGTTCTTTCAGCGGTGCGCTTTTAATGTCATCTATGCTTGCAAAACGACGGCCCATTAAGGTTCTCTTTATTTTTGGGAATAGGAAAAAGTCAGAAAGAGGCATGCCTGGCGAATATGGAGGCTGGGGCATCATTACAGTATTGTTTTTGGCCAAAAATGTTGTTCAAAATTTAACAATTTTAGAACAAATTTTGCTGCCACGCGTTTCATACCCAAAACATTCGAAAAAATTTCATGGGATGAGCCAATCGATATACCAACATCATCAGTGACTTCTCTGATGGTTTATAACCATTTCTTCCACTTTTTTCATGTTTTTATCGATTGTTAATGTGGTTGTGCGTTCGGGACGTTAGTCATCTTCAACGTCTTCACGGCCATCTTGGAAACTCTTAAACCACTTGTAAACTCTTGTTTTACTTATAGCAGACTCACTATAGGCCTTTGTTAACATATCACAGAATTTATTTAATTTTTGAAGCAAAATTAGATATAAATTCTTTGATCCATTTCTTTTAACGAACGAAAAATCGCCGAGCTCATAAAACACGTCTAACCTCAGCGGCTGCCACAGACAAAGTAAACAATGAAAACAGCTAAAGTTTTTATCATACTTCGGGGGCATGTATACCAACATAATAAAGAAAATTTTATGACAACCGGACCCTCCAAACACTCCAAATTTACAATTCCCGTTATTTTCTGAACACACCCCGTATAAGATATTAGTGACAATTTAGTTTAATTTCATAATGTTCTCCGACAAAACATAAAATATTAGTATATGGACTTCATTACTGTTCTGGGCATCAAGGGTTACTGTTTTTTCTCTAGGTACAGAGTCAAACAATGGAATTAAACAAACATTGTTGATTTGGGGATCTTATCTTAAATGTAATATTCTATGGTTTCGGAATTACCCGAGTCAAAATTTAAATCGTAATTTAAACATACTTTGACCTACCAAAACTGATTTAAAACCTATTCAGTCTGTTTACTCCAATTTAGCACTAGAACAACCGAATTAATCTTCATTTGAACCGATTTAAACCGATTTAAACCTCTAATAAAGTTTTTGGTTTAAATTTAAACGTAATTAGAACCGAAAAATCGGGAAAATGGACTTATCTGCCATGTTTTAGGTCATAAGTTGGCTATCTTTAGGCGAATATAAAACCGTTTAAGACGGAAATTGTCAGACTTAAGGTTTAAATTACGATCTTAATTTTGACTCGGGATAAAACTTGATTTTTATATACTTAGAAAGTCAAAACAAATTTTAAAATGTAATAAACCCATTTAAGAATATTAAAATGTTTTAAAATGTCTTAAATCATTTTAAATAATCATTTAAAAATATTAGGAACAAATTTTGAAATGACAGTCAGAACTAACAATGTCAAGACACACTGAAAGAAATATATGTTTGTTTTAGCAATGTATGTGGTAGTCCATATATATGAAACATAAAATATATTTGCCTTAACCATATTATGTTAAAACTAAATATAAAAATGGTTAAGGTAAATATATTTTATGTTTCATATATGGACTACCACATACATTGCTAAAACAAACATATATTTCTTTCAGTGCATCTTATAATGTTAAAACTCGACAAGCAAGCTAGTTTTCTATCATAATTAATGTGGCCTCGTTTAACCCAGTTGTCGGATTCTGTATAAGTAGCCCAGTTACTTTAGGTAAACATTAAAGAAAACAAATTTTTCGCCTTACGAAAAAAGCATTTAATACATGTCTATTTTCGTAGACAAAACCTAAAATAAATGAGCCGAAAGGGCGAATAACGTTACCCCTAAAGTTGAGGAAGGTGGCGATGATGAGCACGTTCGTGATAACGATCGCCAGTGCCATGATGAAGATGAGGCTGGCCTGCGTGAGCGACTCGAGCGTGAACACGAGATCCGTGTCATCTTTCGAGGCGCTGAATATGATCATAGTAGACGTGTCCCTGGTACGCAACATGCCGGGACCACCCCGGCGCCCACTGATTCTTCTGCTAGGTTAGGGTGGTTACGGGTTTTTATGACGTTTGCTCGCAGCTCGTGCTGCTTTGCTCCTCGATGTCCCTTAAGTGGATTAAGACCCTAAAACAAATTGTGAAACATTTGTTTAATCATTGTAAAAATAATTCTTAAAATGAATTAAATTATTAAAAAATTATATTGTAACGTATCAAAAATAACCTTACAATACAAATGGGTTATTTTCAAATTTCTGTCTCTCAACTTTTATATTTTATAAAAAATTGAGTTTAACCCCATTTGGATCTTACTAAGCGAAATAAATTGGTTTAAGGTAGTTGTCGTGCTGTAAGCATACCATCAGAAAATTTTAAATTTTTGTATAAATATTAAGGACATGACAATACAATTATCCTTAAAATTTCAAGTCGATTGACCGTCTATAACCCGAGATAAATTCAATTAAAAATTGGATAATTAACATGGATTGTATAGGCTTTCTGTAGTTCTGTACCAGTTTCTTAGTTATAAAAAAACTAACTGTCAGAAGCTTTCAAAAAACTGACAGACTTTTAATGTATTTTTGCTGAGTTTAAAAAAAAATAATTAAACATTTTTGACCGTCCAATTGTTTATAAATAACCGTTTAAAGTTCAACAATTTGTAAAAAGTATACATCACTAGTGTCAGATAAAAACAACTTGGCAACGCTGTACGCGAGTATAGATATTATTTCCGCAGTAAATTCAAACACTGATTCAGTCTCCAATATATCTATTGGTTGAGCATAAGCGACGTTGCCGGATTAAAACTTATGAAAATATTTGAAAGTATTACGTAAAGGTATCGTCTCCAGGGTACAGTCTTGCGAATAAATTATGATTCACTTAGCTACAAGCTCGTATACTTTTACGGTGCGTATAATCTAAAATTTTTTGACAATATTGTACCACGACAACTACCTTAAGTGTATATATTAGCAAAATTGTAAAATTTTAAATTTAACTCTATAAAAAAATTAAACTTTCCCCAACAATACAGAAAAGTAGCTGTACCACTTGCAATAATATTCACTACTTAATGCTATTTAAACCTTAGAGTAAATAACATAATCCTTTTTTATATACTTGAGAATATATTCCAAATGTTACAAAAAAACCCCTAAAGTTGTCCATTAATTTTGGTCCCCAACTGCTTTTGACCTTTTGAATTAAGCGCACATTTTTTGGTGCTGCCCCCTTGCGGCAATTTATTTGGTAACGGATTTTAGTAGAAAATGATGTTTTAAACTATCTTGAAGCCACAACACGTTTTTTTGTATTTTTTATACTAGCGTGGCAAAACTGTGCATTCTCCTGTATCACAGGTACCAGTTGGACTTTGTTCAATTCTCAAAAGAAAGTATCCCAGTAATTTTAATCTTTAACAGGTTATGTTTTAAAAACATATATTTTTACCCTGGGTCACAAGTCTCCTGGATCACATATTGTGTGATTCAGGGGACAATTCCAAAGAAATAAATTATAATATATTTTTGAAATAATAATAAACTTATAGGAAAGTTTTTTAAACATTTTTTTTGACCTTTCACCTCTTCTGTTTCTGATAGTACGTAGCCAATTTAAAATAATGTCCTCCACCTTTTTAATAGTAATTTTTCTTGTCAATGTATCAAAGAAGCTGGAAAAAATTTTTTGGTAGTTCAACGAAACAATGTTTATATTGATTTTTATTATTATTTTATTATCATAATGATTATTTGTTATCTAGTAAACTACAAAGTAAATATGGTGTCCCACAGGGAACAGTGTTGGGACCTTTATTATTTATATTGTACATAAATGATATTGTAAAATGTATTACAAAATCTGAAATTTCTATGTTTGCAGATGACACCATGTTATATATTTCGGGTGATAATTTAGAAGAGTTGATGAATGTAATGAATGTTGATCTTAATAGTATTTTTACTTGGCTTTGTACTAATAATATGTGTTTAAATGTTAATAAATCCAAATAAATTATTTTGGGAACTGGTCATAAATTAAGTAATTTAAGCTTAAATAACAAAAAACTTTTAATTAATGGTTCTGAACCAAAAAGAGTAGATTGCTTTAAATATTTAGGTGTAATGATAGATAAAAACTTAAATTTTAAACCGCATATAGATTATGTCATGAATAAAATATCTAAAAAAATTTACTTTTTGTGTAGGATAGGTAATGGTTTGTCAAGGTATTTCTGTTCGTGTATTCTGTTTGAAATAAATCAGAATCAAAATAATAGACTACAAGAGTTGCAAAATAAGGTAATGAGGTTAATCCTAAAATGTAATCGCTATACGCATATCAAAACTATGTTAGATACTTTAAGTTTAATGAGAGTGAAACAATGTGTCGCGACCAAAAAGTTCGTTCTTTTTCAAAACAACATAACTTTTTTGTTTGTTGAACGATTTTATTTTGGACTGTGTTGTCTGCTAGCCTCATCCTCTGGCAATGCATGCTATAGATATCAAGCGCACGGTTCATCAAGTAAATTTCCTACAGGGTGATATGTTAAACAGTGAAAAATTTCAATAACTTCATCTAAGCACCGTTTCTAAAAAAATAATTTTTTTCTCGTTTTTATTTTGAAATAATGAAGTATTATGTGTTACCTTGAAACGTTTTTTAAGTTTTTCGAATTGGAATCTTAGCAACGACGATATGATTTTTTTCGGATTTTATTAAGATATTTAACAGCCGGGAATTGTTTTCGAATTTTGATTCCTGGTGATTTTGGTTTTATCTGAAACTTAAATTTGACAACTGAATCACAATCAGGAGGTCAAAATTATAAAGAAAACATGTCACGAACGTAAATATCGGTTCAGGTTTAGTTTTAGCAAATTTTTACCAAAATGTCATTTTGAAAAAGTGGTCTTCACTTAGGCCCCTTTGAAAATAATGGAAGTTTGTTGCTTGTCGCTTGTTCAGAATTATTCAAGGAACAATCTTTCACCATCTTATTTTCTTGTTCTTAAAAAGACTGAGTGTATTGCCTACCAAAAAGCCTTAAATGTACTCTTTTGTAGAAAAAAACAGATTTTCGTTGCTAAGATTCCAATTCGAAAAATATGAAAACCTTTTCAAAGTAAGACATAATTCTTTATTATTTTAAAGTAAAAACGAAAAAAATATTTCTTTTTTCAAACGGGGCTTGGATGAAGTAATTGAAAATTTTCACCGTTTTACATATCACCCTGTAGGAAATTTACTTGAAAAACCGTGGGCTTAATATATATAGCATGAATTGCCAGAGGATGGGGTTAGCAGACATCACAGACCAAAATAAAATCGTTTAAGAAACAAAAAAGATATGTCGTTTTGAAAAAGGACGAACTTTTTGGTCGCGACACATTGAGTGGTGCGCAGTTTATTTAATTCTATGTTATTTATTTTTAAATTAAAAATTGGAGCTTTACCAGAGTTTTTAAGTAACAGATTGATTAGGGTAGATTCATGATCATGGAACGAGAAGTGCAAGTGATTTTTATATTGAAAATTTTAGTCGACTGCAGACTACTAAATATGTATTTGTTAATGGTCTGAAAATGTTTAACAAGTTGCCAAGTGATATTAAAAAATGTGATAATTTAAATAGATTTAAGTCACTATTAATAATTTACATACACAGTAATATACGAGCCCTGTCTCAGTGAAGTTGGCCCAACCACTCAAAATATAAAATTTGTAATTTTATGCTATGAAAAGCCAACAATTTTTTATCATATCTTGGTCAATCTTCATGTTGTAAATTTTTTTTAAAAATATGTGTATGTATCAGTGCTGGATTAACCCGTAGGCCAACCTAGGCCATGGCCTAGGGCGCCGCGAAGCCAATAGGCGCCCAGGCAGAAGGCTCAATTTTTTTTTAAGTAGGTTGAATTTTAAAATTAATCAATTAAAATAAATAATTATAATTAATAATAAGAGGCGTTAACAATTTTCCAAGAAGAAATCCCGAAACGAAAATTCAAATACGCAAATTTTATGAGTTAAGGCCTGCGTTCGTTTTGCCAATCAGTGACACTCCTTACAACGTTTGTGTTTGCAAATATCATTCAAACATTTTATTTATTTTGGAAGCGTTTAGCAAACGCCTTAAAGCATTTCCGGATGATCAAAAAAAACTGATTTCTGAGATAACCTGTGACGTCGAAAGAGAAAATTGTATGATGAATGAATGTCCGGAGTGCAAAGAAATTGATATATTATTTTCCTGTTTACCTTTGCAATACAACCCAGAAGAGCCCATGCAAATCAAACAGTGGTCCACTATCGATGGCAAAACAAAAACCATAATTCTGCTTGAAACAATCAAATCAGCAATTGAAATGTTGGAAAAATTGAAGTTATTTAGTTAAATTAACCAATTACACATTTGTTTCAGTGTATAATAAATAATAATAATAAATGTCCCATCAGTAATGTCCCGTCAGTAACGAGAAATCAAAATGCATTGCCTACACAGATTACAATGAAAGATGAGTGATGTCATAATAAGTTATACTAACTGTATCTGCAACTTGGTTCACCTATACTTTTCTTCAACATTATTCTGTTTCAGAGAATTATTCTCTTCTAGTAACCAGAAATTTTTTTGACCTTTTTCCTGTCCCATCAGTAACAACATTTTATTGATTTCTAGTTCGTAAAATAAAAAACATTTTAATAGCTCTGATACCGAAAATTTTACACAAACTCTAGCTTTAATAGTTACCTAAATATTACCGTCATTAGCTCATTACTGATAGCACAAATATCAAAAAATAGTTAAATTTTTTTCCGATTATCCCATCAGTAACGCGTGCAATCGCCCAGAAGCAAAAGAAGTCAATAAAATAAATTTTGAAAATATTTGTCAGTCCTTTTCCGATTTTAAATGTAGGAAAAAAATTGTAAATCGTCGTTGATAATGCAAAAAGTCGTTTCACTTGAACGACTTTCTGCAGAAGAGAAATAACCCAGAAAAATAAAATAAATCGATTTTTTTTTATTTTTGTGCAAAAAGGCGTCAAAGTGACCTTTTGCAGTATCAACGACGAAATGTTATAGGTAAAATTCTGTTTTAGGTTATTTAAAAACTGTAAAAATTAAGTTCATTGTTTTGTTTTTCTAAGTATATAAAAATGAATTATTTTTTTATTTATTTTTTTGTAAATTTTTTTATAAAACCTTACTTGTCCCTTTATGAGCACCCCTGTCGGCTAAAAGGTATTGTGCCATTATTACTGGCCTAGGGCGACAAATTGTCTTAATCCGGCCCTGGTATGTACATTATTTAGTTTTAAGTTGGATGTTTGGTTACAATACAAAAAAATCGACAAAAATGCATTAACTTGGATGGCCAGATTTTTTAATGCAAGTCGGCTGTGCTAAAAGTAAAGATAATATTTGACATTTAAATAATTGTAAGCAAGTCGGTAGTGACATTCCAGTATATATTTATGCTTTCGGTGTGGTTAACAAATAATAATGTCCCGAGGAAAAGCTGTTTCTGAAGAAATAAGAAAAGTGATAATTCACTTGTTTTTAAAAAGAAAATCATTTGCACAAATCGCTGAAACTGTTAATTTGTCACGATATGCAGTGCGAAATATTATTAAACTGCACAAAACTGCAGGATCTGTGGCGCAGAAACCAAAAAATTGAAGTCGTCCTCACTATTCTGATAAAAATTTAAGGGCTTTAAGAAGAATTATCGTTCAAAATCGTAGGGCTAATTACGGTGAATTAAAAGTTTTGTGGAATCAGGCAACGAGTAAATGGTTTTCAAGAGCATCCTGTCATAGAGCTGCTCAAAAACTTGGGTTTAAAACTTACAAGGTTTGCTTATAATGTATACGATTTTTATTTATTTTTAATTTTACTATCTGTAGGCAAAGGAAAAACCTTTATTAACAAAAAAAACAGAAGAAAAATAGACTTCTCTGGGCAAAAGAGCACAGGACTTGGTGTCAAAATCAATGGGATTCAATTATATGGAGTGACGAAGCTAGATTTGAAGTTTGCGTTGGTGATAATCGAAGCCGAGTCATTACAACTAAAGCAGAAGTCTTTCACAATGACTGTCTTAAGAAAAAAGTAAAGTTTCCGGCCTCTGTGATGATTTGAGGATCTATGTCAGCTAAAGGGATCGGTAAATTACACTTTGTAGAGGGCATTATGAATGCTGATAAATATATTTACGTCCTAAAAAATAACTTAAAACCACAAATTAAAGAAATGCGTTTAAATGATATTGAATGCATCTTCCAACAAGATGGTGCAGCGTGTCATACGGCTAAAAAAGTGAAAGCTTGGATGATAGAAAATAATATTTCACTTTTAAAATGGACTTCTAGTAGTCCAGATCTTTCGCCTATAGAAACTTTGTGGCATATTATGAAAAAGAAGCTCAGAGAACAGCCCGCAAGAACCCTCTTAGAGTTGCGTGCTCGCCTGCAAGAAATTTGGAATAATTTTACGCCGGATGATTGTCAAAAATTGGTTGACACCATGCCGAGACGTATACAGGGAGTAATAAGCCATAAAGGAGATGTTACGCAGTGGTAGTTTCCAATTAAAATGTATTTATTTAAAAAAAATTTTTTTCTTAATTTTTGGTTTACGGACAATATAAGAGAATTTTAAATATTTTTTTATTAGGTACTTAAAAATGCAATTTAACGGTAGAAAATTTAATAAACGTTATTTATTTAATTAAAATAACGTGTTAATTTTAATTAATTACCGTATAATATTCTAAATATCTTCTATCTATTTTTGTTAGTTGGGCCAACTTCACTGAGACAGGGCTCGTATATTGATTACATGTTTTTATATTAATTGTTGTATAATAGCTTTTGCTAAATAAAGATTATTATTATTATTATTATTATCATTACTAATAACTAAAACTGTTATTAATTTATTACTTGTTAAATTGGACAAGCTGGGCGCAGATAAAAAATCGAGAAAAAACGTTTTTAATTCGCATTAAAAGAAAATTTCCTAAACTCACTTTTTTAATGGACATTTTTTAAATACAGAAAATATATTAAAAATACTTAGAAAATTGAGAAATAGAACATAGTTTTTGCTTTTACTTAGTTGTGTAAATTTTTTCATAAATAATAAATTTATGTTCTTTTTTTTAAACAAATCCTAGTATAAATAAAACCTTAAAAGGATTATTAACAAGCAAAAAAATATATTTTCAAAATGATTAAGCATTTTTATAATATGTTAGTAAATTTGTGACCCAGGGGACCATTTTTTTCCTTTTTTCATTTTAAAGGGCTTATTTAAAAAAATCCAACTGCCCACTTTTAGGTGTTAAATAACACCCCTAAATAAACAAAATTTGAAGAAAAAAACAGGATTTTAGATTATGTTTTTGTTTTTACTTATTCTTCTTTAAATGTACAAGAATTTTGAAAATGACCCAAATATTTAATATTTTCTTAATGCATAAAATATGTCGAATTTCGGATTTTCGTTTAGTTCGATTTTCTTACCGTTTGCGGACAGTCTGTCCATTAACAGAAAGGATTTGGGTTTTGGCGTTTGCGACCCACCACCCTGCCATCCCTTATTTTTAGACTCGACTTTTTCGATTCGCTGATCACCTTTGATCGAAAGGTTTATGATGCGAAGTCGAATGGTCGTCCATTGGAAATCTGAAAAAAAATTAAACATTTAAAAAGTACGCTTAAAGTATAAGTTTTTAATTTGATAATTTTAGAGTACATATTTAAATTTTCCACATGTACTAAAGGTAAGTTAAATTGATTTATTGACAAAAAATTAAATAATTTACTATGTGAACAAACATTAGAACGGGAAATGTGCACAAACGATTAGAAAGGGAAATGTGCACATTTCCCTTTCTAATCGTTTTTCATCCCGCCTTAATAATGATTCCTAGGTAAAGTATGTATTTACATATGTCAAAATTTAATTATATATACTTATTTTTGCTAATTTATAGGGACATTTGTATATAACTAATATTTGCTTTGTCCGCCATTTTAATGATTTTTATATGAAAGGTCGAAAGTGTAACAATAAATATTGGCACGCGCAAAATGTTTGAACATGTGGCTATAAAATAAATTATACCCTCAAATTGTTACGGCGATGTTCTAAATTAATGATCAACAATAACAGCGATGATATATGGCACATAAATTAGCAGCAGAACATCATTTTGAATGGGCGTTAGGTACAGATTCTATACTACAGAATACAATACAATCGAACAAAATTAAAATATATAAACCAAAAAGTATCGTATTTAAATACTTAATTTTTCGAGTAAAGTTTTTTACCTCCTAGTCTGTAAAATCCCCATTTAGACCAATGAAAAAATTCGACCACTGTAATTTCTATCTAACCTCACTTTCTCCTTTTGTAATTATTATGATAATTGTAGGTTTTATGTATCGTTTAACAAATGAAACTGTGCCTTAAAAATAAAACATTGTATGTACAATGCACAAAAATATTCACTTCTCAGCCTTATGACATGAATACTCTAAAGAAGCATCGGGTTTTTTTAACGCGCGCGCCATCTGGTGGAGCTCGATTGCATTGTAGGAATGCAAGAATTGTCAACAATATATTTAAAACATACAAACTGCACATCATTTTTAAATAAATAATTAGTTTTTTCACAAAAGAGAGGAAGGTAGAAGTCTTTCTCGACAAATTTTGTTCGCAAAGTTTCAAATGCACAGCTATAGCTATAAATATAAATCGCGCATGTTATTTGTGTTTCGCGTTGCAAGTAAAAACTGAAAAACTTTGGTTTAGTACTCGATTTCGATTTATTATTCCTTATATAAAGGATTAATACACTTAACGTTTATATGCTTATATAGTTACGTTAGTGTGTGTATTTTATCAAAGTGATCATGGTGAATTATTGTTTCATTAGGTTTTTTGTAGTCCATTTTTAACAAGGTTTGAATATTGGATATTTTGAATTTAAATAAGTATACTTCCTTGCTTGGTTAATAGTTTTTACCCGCTACTAGTTTCGGTATTTAAAATACCATCTTCAGGCAAACTACAAAAAATGAGGTAGGTATTAATATAATAGTTAAAAATTTCTTAACAGGTTTGGTTAAGTTTTACATGTTAAAATATTTGCTATTAAAAATAAATAAATTAATTTCTACTTACAATGTCAAGTTTTAAAGTCTTTTAAAAATATTATAATTATTATTATTATTATTACTATTATTATTATTATTATTATTATTATACAAACGTAGAGTTTTAAACAAATTTCTCAGGTATATAAATAAACAAATGATTGACGACAGGGCAGATGAGTTATGGGTTGGTAGATTTTTTCAAAGAATTTGGAGGGTACATTTTATATCAAGTAACCCCCTCTCCCCCTTATCATTTGGGTGGGCATTGTCACCCGCCACCCCCGCTTGTACGCCCCTAAGTATCATAAACATTTCCTGAAAACAAACGTTTGTCGACACGATCTTGACATATCATTTTTAGAAATCGTACTACGTAGTAAGTACTAGGTGGCTATCTTGTTTTCTTTCAATTTCTCCCTCAACTTTCCTAGAATATAATGTAAAACAACCCAATGTTGGGTTTCAATATTGGACCATGCTAGAAAAATCTGACGAAAGATATATTGGCCCAATATTATTTTATTAGTATATAGTATAGTTACTGGGGTGGGTTTCCCGTTTCCCTTACCTTCTGTACCAAGAACTTTTCAGAGAAGGACGTAAAACTAGCAATGGTGAACCTAAAATTGTGTTCCGTTCCCAGCAGAATAGCGTACTAGTGTACTGGGGTGAACTATCATCCTCCCAAGGGATGAGAACTTATTACATGACACCCTGTATACAAACGTTTTTTTAACTCTGAACTTTAATTCTATCTCAATGCTTGAACCCTAAATCCAGGACCTGACAACCCTAATTAAAACAATTATATATATGGGTTTGACTTTGCAAAGTAGCGTTTGGTAGGATTTTTCCTAAACCCAATTAAAACTATTTTTAGAATAATAAGCGCAAAAAGCGTGGGTGTGAACAAAGTGGACAGCCGTAACGAGCTCCTGCTTCTTTGTTGTCATCAGCAGTAAAAAGTAAGGTTCATATAAAATGCTGCTGCATTATAACTAGTATTAAATATGCAGGGTGTCATTGAATTCCATACGATTTTTTTTCTTAAGAAAAATCTTTTTGAAAATTGTTGGTTCTCTGTTATGACTAGGGATGGGATATTTAGGTACTAAAAACTGAAAAATAGTTAACTAAAAAGGTACTAAAAAAAAGCATTTTAGGTTAGAAAAAACAGCATTTTAGGTAAAAAAAAAACATTCAAAGTTCAAGTTTCGTTTATTTTTATAAAATAAGTAACGTAAAATATTTTTTTTTATAAACTGACCAATAGTTAATTAAAGCTATAAGGAACTGGATAAAATATTGGCGCAAAATTAAGAAAAAACACAAAAAAATAAAATAAGTAAAAATACGAAAAAATAGGTAACAAACAGGTGAAAATAAACTAACAAATTAAAAAATAGGTAACAAAAGTATAAAAAGGTAGTTTAAAGCAAAAACCTCCAAAAAAGGTAAAAAAGGTGAAAACAATTTAAAAAAATAGGTAACAAAAGTATAAATAAGGTAGTTTGAGGCAAAAACCTTCAAAAAAGGTAAAAAAGGTGAAAACAAGTTAGGTTCATATAAAAGAAAATCTTTTAAAACACATTTTGGCATTATTGGTTTTCAAATAGTTACATCGGTTGAAAAAAGGTAAAATAACTAAAATTCCCATCCCTAGTTATGACGTTAAGTGCCATCTTCAATGGGGCGTAGCTCCCTTAACAAGCATCTTTGACTCCATGTTTTAGGATTTTTTTCATACGCTGCGCGTCAAAATTAACGCACAATAGGTGAGAAAATTCTAACTCTAACTTCTAACTTTATATAATTTTGTATAAGAATACTTCAACTTATATCTCAGTTTACGTGTTCGAGGGTTTTTAGAGAAAATATTTTTAAAGCCCCCTTTATTTAATATTAAAAAAACCGCCCGAAAAAAACTTTTATAGGGAATTTTTTTAAGTAAATAAAAAATATGCTGTTAAAGACCGTATTTTTGTTAGTATACCCTGAAAATTGTGTAAAAATCAAACGAACAGTAACGAAGATTATTTTAGTAAAAAGTGGTCATTTTTACCGACTTTGAAGCGCTGTATCTTTTTTTATGGAACCGTTTTCGAGATATGAATTTTCAATTGTTTTTTTTTTTAATTTTCTGAGTTGGTTTGACGTTTTAGAGGATACTTCGAGTTCCAATTAATTGCTTTGACCAAACAAGCACTTAAATACAAGGTAATTGAGGCCTCTATAAGTTTATCTTTTATATTTTTGATATATATTATATATATAAGTTGAAAAAATCCTTTTCTTTTTACAAAAATCGAGGTAGAAAATTTACATATCTATCTGGGAACGATAGAAATCAAAAAGATAAGTCCAGTTTGATATGTTTTTAGTATAGATGATACTAAAAAAAAGGATTTTCTTTGATGTTAAACAAAATTTATTGTCAGAAAAATCATAAAAATATTTTAACCAACATGCAAAATATTATGCTGTTTAAACTATAGCCAAACTATAAAATCAAAATTTTGGGTGGGAATTCCCCAAGCAGCATTTTAAGTTTAAATAACTACAAATTTACTACTAAGTCAACTTTAAAGTATTTTTTACGGTTAACCAAAACGGTTTTATAACGGTATAGATACGAAAAATTACCAAATTTGGGGAATGGTTTATTTCGTTATTTTACCTACATAATAACCTTTTTGATGTACTAAGCAGTGGCGGATTTACCAGCAGTCTGAGTAGGCTCGAGCCTAGGGCGGCAGATTTTGGGGGCGGCAAATTTTGGAAACGATTTTTTTTTACCTCATAGAAATCAAAAAGATTTTTTTCTACGACCACTATGTAAAAGTCACTTTTCATGATGGCATCGTTGCTTAGAAAATAAATATTTTCATTGGCAAGGCAAAACACGAATGTAAAGTGACATATCTGTGTGAAAAGTGACAGGTCTGTGTGAAAAGAACCGGAAAGCATCGTTTGACATTCAGCTGTCAAAAAAGTTTTTAGGTTATTTTGTTTTGTATTTAAAAATAATAAAAAATAAAAGTGTCGCAGAAAAAACATTGTGCTATACTTGTGAGAAAAGCTTTCTTCAAGCTCGTGTTAATGCACACTCGGCCTAACGGCCTCGTGGGCAACTTAAAAACTCGCATGAAAAAGTCGCTTTTCAACACTTGTAAAACAAATAACTATTCTATGACGGTTTTCTGATGTCTTACAGATAGAAGTCTGCAACAAATTTTGTCGATGACTTTTCTCTCTCACTTGTCATTGCACATTCCGAGAGTAGCAAACTTTCATATTCTAGAGTAAAACAGCTAGTTCGCCGCCCCTCAACCAGTAATCGGCCTCTCGCCTCTGCGCCCTTTGGCCACACTTCTTATAAGTGAAAAGAGCGAAATTGTCAATTATTTTTAACTGTTTGAAAGCGCAATAAAGATTATTTATTTACGTTTACCAAATGTTCATTATTGTGTAAATAGCATACATTACCCCGCCCATACATGATTGAGCTTCGATTAGCTTA